TTGTGGAAAATTATATGCTACTGCTAAATGCAGAATGCTAAAAATGCCAAATTTTAGACACATGTATAATCAAATGAAGGTTACATTAAATAATACATAGTATCGATAGAGAATAGCTACAATTTTGTTAAAGTTGATGATTTGAAATTACTTTTTCATTTACATAAATGGGGCAGGGGAGACATGAAAGCTATAATATCAACATCGGTTGTCCAATATACATTTTCTATATCCTAAATGGAAGAAGACATGTACAAGAACAAATTTGACTAAGAATGCACCAACCAGTCAGCATTAAACTCAAGATATAAGGACCTATATGGTATTGCTGAAAGCTAAAATGGTCAAGAAAGCCATGTTTTGTCCTTAAATGTCTCATTTCTAGGCACTAGTTTACCAATAAAGGTTCTGAAATATCTTAAAAACATTAAATAACACATAATATTGATATAGAATAGCTACAACTTTATTAAAGTTTATAGTTTCAAGTTATTTTATATTTTCATATTTTTCTTATATTTTTCATGATAAATGGGGTAGGGGAGATCTGAAAGCTCTAATATGACCATTGGTGGTCCACTATACATTTTCTATACCTTAAATGAAAGAAGACATCTACAAAAATAGATTTTTTTACAATTGCAACAACCAGTAAGCATATAACTCAATATATGAGGAACTATATGTTACTGCTGAAAGCTAAAATGATTTTAAAAAATGCCAAGTTTTGTCCTTAAATGTCTCATTTCTAGGCACTAGTATACCAATAAAGGTTCTGAAATATCTGAAAAACATTAAATAATACATAATATTGATATAGAATAGCTACAACATTGTTAAAGTTTATAAATTCAAGTTATTTTATATTTTCATATGTTTCAGTAATTTTTCATAATAAATGGGGTAGGGGAGATCTGAAAGCTCTAATATGACCATTGGTGGTCCAATATACATTTTTTGTATCTTAAATGGAAGAAGACATGTACAAGCACAGATTTAATCAAAATTGCAACAACCAGTCAACATTAAACTCAAGATATAAGGAACTATATGTTACTGCTGAAAGCGAAAATGATCAAAAATGCCAAATTTTGTCCTTAATTATCTTATTTCTAGACACTAGTACACTAATGAAGGTCCTTAAACATCTGAAAAACATTAAATAATACATAGTGTTAATATTAAATAGCTAGAGTTTTGTTTGAGTTGAACATTTTGACTTTTTGTAGTTTCCATTTTTAGCCAATTTTTTCTAAAAAATTCAAGGTATGTCTTCCTCGGACCAATATTTAGATATGTTCGCAAGAGTTATATGCTTCGCAGGCGAAATCCCTTATGCAGGAAACCCTAATAGAATGAAAAATACAGAGAAACTCCATCCAGCTCACAAAGTCATTTTTTGCACAATTCTCACACCTTCCACCCCGAGTAAATCGCAAAAAGAGCCAAAATACGAAAAATACTTGTGTTCAAAATTTACAGTGTAAAATTATATCTATGTCTTTTTATCGTCATTTGCCGTTTATTCAGCCATTGTGTCTGTGTATAGAATATATAGGATCACTCCATCTGATTAAAGCAGCATAGTTTATGTTCAAAACGATAATGTGCCATAAACGTGATTTAAACATTTTTCTTGTCAAATTGCGCGCCTATATTCACATGTATTTCCAAAACTGCGTGGCTAATATTTCCAAACTGCTTGCCTATCCAAGCTTGTTTTGTATTATTAGAAAACGTAAGCGCCATATGTAAGGTACATATCTGTCTAATAGAAGAACCCCATAATTGCAATACAATGAGAGTCCATCAACCAAGATGATGATCTGGAAATAAAAGTTTTTTCGTTCCCAACTTAATTGTTACTCCTATTATACATTTTGACTTTCAATATGAAAATCTCATAAAATCTGACGATATAGCAAAATTTCCAAAGCTATATGAACAAGGCACAGACGTGAACAATATCGTACCTAAAACACAGCAGTGTGACAGTGAAGAATTTGGGACGGAAAATCCAAAATGGCTACCTCAAAATTTACCCAGAATGCCAAAAAACTAATCAGTTCTTAACTTTGATATGTAGAAACATCCCTGAAATTTCAGATGAATCCGTCAAATGGTTTGGCTGGAAACCTGTAGACAAGTCTTGAAAGTGAAGATTTTAGGACGGAAAATCCAAAATGGCCACCTTAAAATTTACCCAGAATGCCCAAAAACTAATCAGTTGTTAACTTTGATACGTAGAAACATCCCTGTAAATTTCAAATGAATCCGTCAAATGGTTTGGCTGGAAACCTGTAGACAAGTCTTGAAAGTGAAGATTTTAGGACGGAAAATCCAAAATGGCCACCTTAAAATTTACCCAGAATGCCAAAAAACTAATCAGTTCTTAACTTTGATACGTAGAAACATCCCTGAAAATTTAAGATGAATCCGTCAAATGGTTTGGCTGGAAACCTGTAGACAAGTCCTGAAAGTGAAGATTTTAGGACGGAAAATCCAAAATGGCCACCTTAAAATTTACCCAGAATGCCCAAAAACTAATCAGTTCTTAACTTTGATACGTAGAAACATTCCTGAAAATTTCAGATGAATCTGTCAAATGGTTTGGCTGGAAACCTGAAGACAAGCTGAAAAGTGAGACGCCGCCCGCCCGCCCGCCAAGCTGACTACAATATCGTACCTCTTGTTAGGTACGATAAAAACACCCACACGTGCCTCTGTAGAAATTCCAATGTGCTTTCTTTCTTTTTAATCTCCTGATTATGAAATTATCTGTTTTATCTCGAAATATTTTGAATAATACAAAATAAATTCGCGAGGAATTTAAAGAGAGAATCAGATCTAGCGAGCAGGCTAATATTCCTGGCTTATGTCATTCCTTTTTCTAAAAATACCCAAAGTGCACACTTTATTTCAGGAAATCTCGAGATTTTTACAATAATTTATTATGTTTCTATAAGAATGGTTACCATTCTTATTATTTTGGAGAATTTAAACATTTTTCACCCGTTTTTGCACTTTGAATCCATTATAACTTCACCAATTTATAACATATCGTGAATCTTTTGGGAGATGTTGTATTTGAGATTGTAAGGAATAGATTGGTAGGTCAATTGTACATGTTGCATGTAATTTTATCACCCCATAGATCTGATTCTGCCTTTAAATATAAAACGAGTCTGAAGTATTTGTCAATTCTGTTTAAAGTGCTAGATCAATTTACGTATAAATTCCCGTTAAATCGGTGACGAAAATGCCATTAATCTGCTTATGTTTTAAAACTTAGATCCATTTGTACATAGTTTTTGCTTGTATTTGCAAGATTCGTATATTCGCCACATGAACGCATTAAACAACAAAACAATGCAGGATAAATGTCATAAAATTACGTTTCAAAATCCAGACTCCAACTTGGATGGTGCAATGTTGTTAGGCACACAGTTTCTGATCGAAACAAACTGCGTGCCTAAGTAGGCGCACAGATTGACATGGGCAGTGTGTAACAGATCTTCATCAAATTGGAGAATTTTGTAATCAATAAGAGCATAGTTGTCCTGATAAATCATTTGTCAATTAAGTATGTGTACATAAAAAATAATTTACGATTTGTGTGTTTAGGGCCTTGGTAAGATTTTACCATAAAATCTATAAGCATCCTCTACGCCCTTCCTCCTAAATACTTTTTAAGAAGTTATTGGTTAAGAACTAACAAGTTCAAGTGTATTTTCTATAATGTCAATTCACGTTATTAAAAACAGGATCAAACTGCATACCTTGTATTGCTTATTTTAAAATACAATGTCTGTCTCTACCTGTATAGCTCTCAACCTCAGAAAACTCATTACTTTGCATTACATTTGTATTCATGAAACGTGCTTGTCACATTCTTTACGTAAAGAAAAATGTGCATTGTTTGTTTGGAAATACAAACATGCAAAGAAATGCTTTATGCTTGCAAATTGTTTGACATTTCGTTTATATTTGCTCTTTTAAATGGAGTGTCCCATTTTTATTTGAGAGACCTGGGCTCGCATTCAATGGTATTACTATTGCAGAGAATTTGCAGATGTTGTGCCGATAACTCATCTCTGGAAACCGATTTCTGGCGCAGGTCTATTTATTTTTTATTTATTAATTCATAATCACATGACTGATAAGATGCAGAAATAAAAGTTGAACCATTGAGTATAATAATAAGTCAACTTCATATGTATAGGCGCAGATGGCATTGAAACAAAATTAAGTTGGAGTTTTGGTGATTTGGTCATTTCGCTTTGGCACTTAACATTTTCATATGTTTTATAACAAAAATCGCATTCTGTACTGTAATTCTTAAGTAATCGTAGATAAGGGACATGTTCATGTTAGTCGTTTTCCACTTTCAATCTCGATGTAATATCATAAAATAATCGAAATAGGGTTATCATACACACTAGTTACTAGTTACTTTGAAGGAACGTCAATGTAACAAAATGAATGAACTTCCTGGATACGATTTTTCGTTTTTCTCGATTTAAGCTGACGTTTAAGTCATGTTGCGGATTATCATTTGGCACAAAGTTAGACAATATTGTCTAGCTCTTAGAAATGCTCCCAGTTTGGAATTTGATTTTTAAATAAAGCTGTAATTCATACATTTAGAACATCGCTTTTGTTAGACGTAAGAAGTCAAAGTAACCTAAATAGGTATTATAACGGGCTTTCGTCAATGTAACGAAAGCGAAGGTCTAAATATATGAATTGCAACTTCATTTACAAAACAAATTCCAAATCGAAGAAAGCTATTAAAACGAGACTATATTTTCTAGCTTCGAGCCAAATTATAATCTGCAACTCGAGAAGATAAAAAACTCGTAACCTGGAAGTTCATCCATTCTGTTACCTTGACGTCCGTTGGGGGACAGTGATACAGAAAGGAACAATAATCTCAGTCACAACTAAATTGTCTCAATGACTTGATATGCTTACTGCTTAGCCTACCTCCCCGGGCTTACCTATTTCTCTAGGCTGGTGGAGATGTTACCGTATGACCATTGAACATACCCGATTTCGTATCAGTCTGTTGATCTACATCAAAGCTTTGTGAAGCTCCTTGGCTATATACAAGGGGCGATCCATATATTCTGATAAAAATGCTCTCATTTTGTGATTTTTTCACATATCCCTTTCATTTTTTCAGAACATGTAGATTATGTAATTACACAAACGATGCTAAAATATTTTAGCTGTATCTTAAATTAATTTTGAAATAAGGTTGCCATGGTAACCTGTATTTAGGGTAGGCAGGTCAGTTAAATTATAACGTCTAAAATAGATAAATATGTTAATTTAATCATTCCTCGGTACCTATTTTAAGCAGATCAAACGCATCTTCCAGTCATTGTCAAATATTCATTTATCTGTTCCATACCCCTGTTGCCCTTGTTTGATAATTTATACAGTGGGATAGCTATCTTTTCATAAGTAACATCTCAATTTATCGTAGTGTTATTCTCTGTCCGCAAGCTCTTCTTGCAATCAGATTGCGGATGATCTTCAACAGTGACCATGCTTTCCTCTTTACAATACTACCTATATATTCTTTATGCAGATATAACACCTTGCCCATGCACTTTATGAGTCCATGTATGTCTCTGGCAGTGTCCTCTTACTTATTCTTGAAAGAAAATCAAATCTAATGGTATTCCCTAATGTATCCGTTAATGTGACACTCTGCATCAGCCACATTAACCTAATCTGACAATTTGATTTTTGGTGTGTCTCATAACATGTAATGTCAATTGGCCCATTCTGTCCTACGATGCAATTGTGATTTGATGTGATGTTATAGTGAGCACATATAAACATTTGTTTAGCAACAAACAATGAGTAACAATACCAAACTTTTTTAGAAAAAATGCATGATTTTCGCATGCTTTAAAATAATTAAAATAACAAATTATTTTGATATTTATATGTTATAATTAAATTGACCTGCCTACCCTTAATACAGGTTACCATGACAGCCTTATCTCATTGATAATTTAAGATATAGCTATAATATTTTAGCAGTGTATGTGTAATTAAATAATCTACATTTTCTGAAAAAATGAGAGGGATATGTGAAAAAATCACAAAATGAGACCATTTTTATCAGAATATATGGATCGCCCCTTGTATATAGCTGTTAACACTAAACAGTTAATCTAAGGTAGCAACAAGGCAACACATGTTTCTATCGTCGCCCAAGCCATTGATCTTATCACTTCTTCGAATATGTTTAATATAGAATTTATTTCATGTCGGAGAAGTATGATGTCATCCTACGGAGGGGATTCCCCAATCGACCCTCGCAAAATGTGAACTCAGTTATATTTAATATCATTATTTGAGAGCTCGGAACACTGATATAAATTATTTGTTTAGGAGTGTTTGATTAGTTTCGATTTATACATTTTTGATTATGGATAAGTGATCCATTTGCTATGTGTAGGGCAAATGTAAACAAGAAATATGACTTTTAGCGTATCGCCAGACTGTTTTTTCAAAGGTTTTTCTATTTCTTTTCTAATCATTTTTTGTTCGGAATATTCATATCTAGAAATAAAATATAGTTCTATTAACTTTGCTTTCTATTAACTTACCTGAGGGCTTGATATCAATCTCCCGCTTGGCATCGATCTAGACAACTTTTTGAGTTCAAAATATTAGGCTAGAATGAACACAATGAAACATATTAATGATTTTAAAAAATATTGATTCGGCCGCAATTTACATGAGGTTGTCAATGTCACCAAGGGCGAAAACCTTAAGGGCGAACGTAATAGCTGGAACGTTCGTTTTTTTTACTGCATTCGATCTGAATTGTCGTTCGGTACATATACACTTAGCCCCGGGTATTAAACAAACCCTTGATGTCACAGGGACGACAGATTGTATGCAGTTTAATTTTGAAGGCGGGCTTGTTTTTCTTGAGTAGCCCTTATATTACTGGCCCTGATTGTGTATAAGATAATGAGGGAGAGTTGTATTTACTGTAGGTCACCGTATAAATCAATGGAGAGTAGGACCATCATTTGATAGCATCCTTCTTCAAAGGACTTCATTTATGCTCAAATTCATATATACTTGTAAAATACCCTTGCAGCAAGGATGTTTGATAGGACCTCCTACCCTTTTACACTGGGATATTGGTTAATAGCAATCACACAGACTTAGGATCCAGAGTCCAGACATTTCATTTGATTTGTTATTTGAGTTAATCATGTCAATCGTGTAATTGCAATCACATAATACTTATAAAGATCCGCGGTCATTTGTTATTAGTGATAATCTTATCAAACAAGAACCAGGCACTTATTGGTTTTTATTTGTTTAGGCTGAAAGATCATCATGTAATCACATCAGTCTGGAGTATAATTCCACTGTGAAATTTCAAACGTGGATGTCCAAGTGTGGTTCTTGTTACTTGTACTTGGCTAAAGAGATTAGGGACTTTGATGAGCCCGGTGATCGTGAAAATGGGACGGAGGGGGGAGCAAGCAATTTCTGGTAGAAAAATGAACAAATCTGCAAAAATTATTTTTTCAAGAAAAGGTTTATGATTTAATTGCTAAACGAATAGGCGCACGGTATGGTAAAATATGTCACGTATTCTACGAATTTTTTTTAGCCGATTCTCTTCTTAGGTATAAGATCTATTAAAAAAGGCGCAACGCCACCAACGTGCAAAAGTCAATGTTTTTGCTTTAAATCAAGCATCAACGGTCTACACAACCTGCAATAAATATTTGTAAGTGACATTTATCATCATAGAATTAATGACCTTAATGACTTTACAAAATACGTTTCCATACGTTGTATAAAAAATAATCGAAAATAATTAAAATGGGACGGAGGGGGAAGGGACTGGTAGTAGTAGTCATGTTTTGTGTCCAAGTGAAGTCCCCCTTAGAGTCCAGTTTCAAAGAAGGAACTGTTTTCTTATTTATTTGTTTATTCTTTGCCGTGAAAGGGCATTCGATCTCCAACAACTCACTATCATTACCGTCAATGAGTCTATCTGGTGAAGCACTCATGTTCAGACACAAAAAATTCCACATTCTTTAGTGCGGAGACCTGTTGTTGAGCTGTCCTTTGCTGTTTTTAATTTCATATTTAAATGTTTCAATTTAAATGTCTTATGTATTACCGTTTTGCCCCACCCATGGGCCGTTTTGCCCCACTCCCGGCATTACTTTTGATCATTGAAAAATCACAGAAGATAGTCAGTCCTAGGCAAGTATAAAACACTCTAAAAATGTAAACCACAACCCATTAATAAGTGGAACATCAAAGTGCGCGATGGTTGACAGATAAGAAAATACCCCATACGGAACAACTTAAAATTTAGTTGTTAGGGCCGTTTTGCTCCATGTTCCCTTACACCGAGGTACATGATTACAGGCACGACTTACTGGGTACAAGTATATGTACATTACATTGTATGTACTGTATATTGGCGGACTGTGAAATGCTACATCTCAAGACAACCAAAATGTGCCACCCATGTACCGAAAACGGAATGTGTCTGATACACATTAACTTTACATTCTTTATAAAACTGACATCATGTAACTATAGTACTCTTATACTTGTTTATTTCTGCATAATAACAAGCGAGCCTCAACCAAAAAAACTATAAAAAGATATATTCCATCGGGAATCGAACACGCGACCTGACGTACCCGAGACGACGATTCTGCCAACAGACTAACATGTCAGTTAAGACTGCAGAAGCAACGAGACATTCAAGACGCATGCATTTGGGAAAACTGTGAATTATTTTGTATTGCACAAAATGTTCAATACATACAACCCTTCAAAACAAATAAACACTTTCCTGCTTCCGAAATCCGAAAATGTAAACACTTTGGTCAACTGACACCCACAAAAACTTTAAACTTTAGATTTTCACGACACATTTGATACAAACCAGTGTCAGCGTCCTCTGTTAAAAGGCATATGCGTTTTACATGTCAGGTTGTCAAGCTGGATTCAATAATCACTGGGGATGAACTGGAAACGAGGGAGGTTTTGCCTCGTATCAAAATGGCGGCGCGTGAAAAAATTTCATTCAGTAAGATTTTTGTTTTTTACAATTTTCGTGCTTTTATCCTTCAAATTAAAACTTAATATTTGGCAAGTAAATAGTTTATAAGTTCCGGTTTTATAATATGATTGCAAATTAGAAATCAATACAGACATTGCTGAGATATTTACATTTCAATTCTCTCACTTAGGAAACGAGGCACCTGTCTACATTTTGTAACAATGAAACGAGGCAATGTTTGACTTGCAACGAGGCAACTATTCTTTCTGTGATAGTGTCTACATTTAATGATCTTATTTCCACCGTTCTGGTCACATACGACCGATTACGTTTTACACGATATACTTAGGTGGTTCAAAAAGTTTGCAGTTGATGTCATAACTTCAAGGAAAATAGTATTATAGCAATGAAACTTGGTACACATATGTGTTATATATTTATACATTATATGGTAAAATTTGGGACCTCAATTTTGATTGGTTCTTGAGATATGGTTGCTATGGTAACCAGAGTGGTGGGTACCATGTTCAACCCGAAATTACGTTTTTCCAAACAGTTTTCTTGCTTGAATAAACTCTTTGTAAAATGGCAATTAGCAGGTGTAAGTGTCTTTGGGTGGCTATTTTTCTTCAAATTCTTCAATTTTTCTAATTGTCTCTATGACATCACAATAGACAAGTGACACGATAAGTTCCTTTGTGATGTATACTGTCCAAAACGCCGAAAAAAAACGTACGCATTTCGTTCGGACTTTTCACGCGAATTACGTATATGTCACGCATTCCGTTCGAAATTCAATTCGTACCTAAATATTTCGAAAACGTTAAATAGCATTGTTTTGAGTCTCAATTCCAATAAACGAGCCAGCTATCCGAGCTATCAATGGTAGCGCATATATCGTCAAAATGTTCTCTCAAATAAGAAAAATCTCGTTCAAAGAAGTGCTATTTTAATAGGGAGCTTAAGCTACACGTATTTTAGAAATGGCGAACGTAAACGTGAAATGACCCCTGGGAACTATAGTTCCGTTCTGAATTGACTTATACAAAGACCCAATTAAAACAGTTTAACCTAACTGATACCTTTGTAATCATTCATGCAAATAAAGACGTTGAAGACAAGAACTAGTTCTCTGAAGATTGCAATTTTACACGTTTACGTACACTTCTCTTTAAAACATGTGTCGTTAAACCTCCCTACTAATCGTACGCAAATGGGGCATTGTTGTTGCTCGAGATGGCTATATTTGATAGAATATAATTCCAGATACGATAAAAAACGAATGACCATGGTAATAATTAAATGACTCGCCTATATTACAAAAATAGCAGAGTCAAGGAGCACACTGGCATTGTCTCATTGGTGTACATTGGATTCTACTGTTTGTATTCTTTAATGTCTGTATGTTCCTTATTATGTCACTATCAATTATGTTATTCTGCATATAGTCCGACGAAATGTGGAAATGTTCGGCGTCTGACGTCTGGAGTTCGGCGTCTGGCGTTTTGCGTCAATAGCAAATTCTTTAGCAATTTTAGCAACTTTCAAAAACTGAACAAATGCGTACCGCTTAGACTGACATCATATTTTACTGTGAACAATTATGAACTTATTATGACTTTCAAGTATTTCTTAGAACATATGCTACCATGGTAGCAGATAAATGGACTTATTTGTTATTACTATGTTACAACACGTGTCATATGTTAATGCCTTGTATTTTCTTAAATGCTAGAAATGGTAATGCATTTGTAAATGAAATATTCATAAATTTTCTAGATTATTAGCCATATGAAAAATGTTAATGGTCGATGGCATAAATATTATGATGTCGCTATCGTGAATTAAAATAAATGATGTTTCAAGGTAGAATAAAAGCAAGCTTTGTTCACAACTGTCTATATCTGCTTCCCTATTCAACATAACATTTTTGCTTTTTAGGAAGCTTCAACATATTGCCAATGGAGGGGTCTGTTGCATCATATGGAATACAATATCAGCAACGTTGTCGTTTCCTGTTACAAAAATAGCATTTGAACAGGGATGCTTCTTTTTGTAGGCCCCGTTCTGTCATAAAAACAAAACATTTTTAATTAGATATGGTTGCCTCGTTTCATTCTTAAGAATGCTATATAGCTGCCTCGTTTCCTTGAGAAACATGCCTCGTTTCCTAAGTGAGAGAATTGATATGTAAATATCTCAGCAATGCCAGTATTGATTTCTAATTTGTAATCATATTATAAAACCGGAACTTATGAACTATTTACTTGCCAAATATTAAGTTTTAATTTGAAGGATAAAAGCACGAAAATTGTAAAAAACAAAAATCTTACCGAATGAAATTTTTTCACGCGCCGCCATTTTGATACGAGGCAAAACCTCCCTCGTTTCCAGTTCATCCCCAGTGATAATGATATACGACAAAAGTATACATTAATTACAATGCGCAATTCATAGATAAGCGAACTTATAAAATCCAAATGTTTTTTAATAAGATTAAATGTTTAAAAAGCTGTTATGACTCAAGGAAGTACGCAGTGCGAACGTTTTATCTTACGACGGGGACAACAATATATTGCAGTTACAACATACTAATTGAAGATACAAATTAAACTTTTATAAGTTTAAGAAGGCTGTGTAAACACCACGTACCATTAATTAATTTTTCACGACTTTTTCAATAACATTTATTTTCCGCTTTTTTGCCTTGTTATGTGCGTTGTATCTCTAATAACTTCAGAGGCAAGACAATGCTGTAAAAAGTTATGAGAAAGCGAAATCTTTAAAATCGATAAAACACTTTTTAGATTACAGACCATACAACACATCAAACAGTTAGTTTTTAATAAATATATTTAAAAAGGATTAATTTTAGTACTAATCATTTTTGGATTAATACCTTTTAATATTATTGAAACTAATACCAAACGATATATGACAGTGTCAACGAATAAAAAAATCCAAATTACCAGAAAAACGATGGCGTATATAATACGGCAGTCGACTGTATGAAATCATTCAAAGTTATCTGGGGTCAACAGTAAGGTAAGAGAATTTGTTATGTACATTGGTATACGACTTTTTGGGGAAGGGTGATCTTCGCAATAAGAGTTTACCGAAGTATATATACGGATCCACTGGAATCGAAATGTATATTTTACAAAATAAAGTAGAAGGAATGAGTTTAAAATGTTACACATTTTCTCAACAATTCACAATAATGTGTTTTTACAATCCTTATAACATTTTCTTGAGAACTAATCGAGATCTTATCAAGTAATCGAACATTGGAAACCAAAAATCGAGGTAGAATCAGAACTGTTGTTAAATGTACTTTCAACTGGAACTCTTTCCCTTACCCTCTAAGATTAATCATTCTATTCCTAATTATTTAGATTTTCGTTATTAATGCAAAGAAAGAGCATTATATGAACATGGGTGTTTGTAACCCTATACTTGCGCTTGTGGTGCTTCTATGCTTAGCTGCTACCATTGATGCAGGGAGACAAAGAAAAAGACCACAAGGTGGAAACCAAGATGGAACCCCAAAGAAACAACCAAAGGTGATAACTACTAGACCTATTTTGAGATGAATTAATGAGAACAATGAGATGAATTAACCTGGCGAGAGCTATCACATAAAAAGCTACTGTACCTGCTCTAAATAGTCTCAAAAATCACTCCACCATCTCTCGAAATTCTGCTTCTAACCAAACTAACCAAATGTTATAGATAAGCACTTACCCTTCCAAGAATAAACCTCGTATTATTTATCAAACACTAGATGGCACTGTGCCGAGCCAGAAAAGCAGAAAGGCTATTTTATATAGGAAACCAAATTACGCTAATATCACTACTACGGACTATATTCTTCTTTTTTTCATTTGTAAAAAAACATATTATACCTTGATATAGTACAATGTACTACAACATGGGATACACGGTTTATTGTCTAAAATCTTGCATCGAGACACATTAGATAGTACAGATCAAAGTACGATGGCCTATTGGACCAACATCGACTGGCTACGTGTGTATTTCCATGTGTGAGCTAAGAGATTATATTGTGGATTATGAGTAGAGTGAAGAAAAGATGAAATCATCATCCTAGATTATGATTGCAGATTGAATGATGCTTGATTATTATTTAAATCAACAATTTACTCTTTTCCGTCAGACTGAAATATTGTTGTGTTATGTAAAGTGATAATATTTGTAGATTCAATGATACTCGATCATTAAATCAACGATATGCTCTTTTCGGTAGATTGGAACATTATTTTGTAGATGAAATGATACCTGGTAATTAAAACATATACGAGTTTCTAGCCAATCAACTTGACTTGAGATTACTAGATTCGACCATTGTGTAATCTAAATAAGTTCGAGTTCTGCTGGGTAATTATTTTAAAAAAAGTATTCATTTATTTGTAAAAATCATAACATAAATAATAGTAATTGTATAGATAATAGTAATTGTATGGAAGTTGATGCGAGTAATGTTATAGGTGACGATATTACATTATTTCTTCTGGGATTAATATCAACGGGTCTGTCGGCCATATTAAAAAAAATATCTGAAATCGTTTAAATCTAATTATTCGCTACATATAGCGGCAAATGGTCTAATTTTCAGAGGTCGTGAAACTGTGCTAGCAAAAAGCAACCGATATAGATGGAGATATAAACTCCCATTTAAAATTTAAATCTATTATATTTATATAAAACCAATTTCAGGTTCCAGAGGTAGTTGAAAGAGAGAACAAGTATACATCTGATGAACCGAGCCATGAATTTGAGAACACACTTCAAGACCTTCAAAGGAGAGCCACTGATGGTTTAATGTACAACATTGAAACACCAGAAGAGCTCCACGCTTTATTTGAAATGGCTACATACCACAAGAAAGGCAAACGAGATATCTGGCCAGCGGTGGTATGTGCATAATTATTAGTTGTACTCTTGGATTTTTCATTTCTTCTTCTGATTTGGTAGTTTCCCTTGGCGCTTTTATGTACATTGTACTAACTATTAGTTTTAGAAGTGTCATTTTCTTGCACTTCGTTTAACTATTAGATGTACTCTTAGAAGTGTCATTTTCTTATACTATTTTGCAGTTTCCATCTTGCACTCGTAAATACATAACTATAAGTTGTACTCTTTAAAAGTTTCATTTTCTCGATCTGCTTTTGAAGTTTCCCTTTGGCACTTGTGAATATATAACTATAAGTTGTACTCTTAAAAGGTTCATTTTCTCGATCTGCTTTTGCAGTTTCCCTTTGGCACTCGTAAATACATAACTAAAAGTTGTACTCTTTAAAAGTTTCATTTTCTCGATCTGCTTTTGAAGTTTCCCTTAGGCACTTGTGAATATATAACTATAAGTTGTACTCTTAAAAGGTTCATTTTCTCGATCTGCTTTTGCAGTTTCCCTTTGGCACTCGTAAATACATAACTAAAAGTTGTACTCTTTAAAAGTTTCATTTTCTCGATCTGCTTTTGAAGTTTCCCTTTGGCACTTGTGAATACATAACTATTAGTTGTACTCTTAGAAGTGTCATTTTCTTATACTATTTTGCAGTTTCCCTCTTGCACTCGTAAATACATAACTATAAGTTGTACTCTTTAAAAGTTTCATTTTCTCGATCTGCTTTTGCAGTTTCCCTTTGGCACTTTTGAATATATAACTATTAGTAGTACTCTTTGAAGTTTCATTTTCGGGATCTGCTTTTGCAGTTTCCCTTTGGCACTTGTGAATACATGTAGTTGTAGTCTTAGGTGTTTAATTTTCTGGACCTACTTTTGCAGTTTCCCTTTGGCACTGTACACAACTATTATGATTTACGAGACTTGTTCATCATCTATGAACAATTCTCGAATATTTAGATTTTGAGGACACATTCGCATCTACATTGTCATATATGTGAAACAATTTTCTCCAACGCTTCACACAATGTGTCACGTTTGTCTCTTTTCATTGCTTGGTCGTAATAACTGCGCTTAGTTTGAGCAACTACGGAATAAGTAACAAACATTATCAAACTTTCAAATTATATAATATTATTAGTTCTGGTCATTTACCTTTGTATTTTTAATGATTTTATTCGAATGATTCATACTATGAATACTAATTTTTGTTATTGTTTCTCTTTGACAGTTAAAAAACAAAACTATGCCAGCTGGGTTTTTTAGAAACAAGGGAAAGGGCAAAGGAAAGGGAGGAAACAGGGGCAAAAGAAACATTTACACGTCTGTTGACAATCTCTGGACAAAAGTTAATGGATACGCATATGTTCCATGGAGATGGGGAGATTCCACTCCGCCGAGTACGTGTTATTTACATTTGAATAAATTATGTATCTAGAAAACTAATTTTTAAAAAGAGCTAGAGAGTTTCAATTCAACTGTGTAAATTAATGTTAACAGTATATGGATTTACACTTCAATGATATTTTACATCAATTAAAGCTGAAGCGGCACAAGCAGATGTAGCACTAGCCATGAAGTATGTCCACGACCACTCGTGTATACGATTCATTGACTACACCCCAACTGTTCATACTGAATACAATCTACCCCATGAATCTTGGGCAAACTTTACATTATTTAAGGAAGGAAAAAGGTATGTATATACGAGCACTCATGTATACGATTCATTGACTACATCCCAACTGTTGAATATTGAATACAATCTACCTCATTAATCTGGGCAAACTTTGATTATTCAAGGATGGAAAGGGTATGTACACTAACACTCGTGTATACGATTCATTGACTACACCCCAACTGTTCATACTGAATACAATCTACCCCATGAATCTTGGGCAAACTTTACATTATTTAAGGAAGGAAAAAGGTATGTATATACGAGCACTCATGTATACGATTCATTGACTACATCCCAACTGTTCATATTGAATTCAATCTACCTCATTAATCTTGGGCAAACTTTACATTATTTAAGGAAGAAAAGGGTATGTACACGAGCACTCTTAACGGTCAAGTCAAGTAACTTAGTCAACATTCGATATTCGTATGTTCATCAATATTAACTAAGAATGGTGCCACAATAGAAGTAAACCTCTTTTTAATTAATTTTAAATAAACCTACCAGCAAACGTGTAAATGATAATTTTGATGTTCTGTTGTAACGACCCTTGATAGCAAGTTGCTTAAGCCTTTATAGCTCAATCGGTAGAGCATCAGTCTTTGGATTCAAGGGTCCTAGGTTCGATTCACACACAGGGCATTGCATTTAGCACACTTTCTTTCAATTTCTTTATCTGGCTTGTTACACTATGCTCGTTAGTTAGTCATTCCCCTGGGGCGCCCTCGGGTCATTACACTGTTACATATTGGTGAAGCAATATTGGGGATATGGCCTTTTCTGAATTTCCACTGTGTCACTGTATACCCCTACTTCAAAAGATGTATGTTATTTGTCATTTTTCATTATGAATCAACCATAAATGTATTTCTTCTTGTTTACATACAGAATTAACTTTCTGTTTTCAAATATTGAAAACAAATGCGTGTCAATTTACACTGTAATACCCCACATACTTATATTTCAAGGGTAGTTTTGAAGAATAATCAAGAAAATCCATGTTTTCAAATGAATTCATCCTTATCAAAGAACGTAAATGAGGATATGCGGTTTGAAAAACTAACAACATGTTTTAAGTTCTTACAATTCTTGGTTAAAACAAATATTTCGAAAGTTGTGATTTCGAATGTAATATCCAACTCAATGAAATTTGTTGATATTTGTGAATTTTTTCTTTCGGAATGCACATTGCTGGATCACAGAACCTTGCCTTGTTCGAGATGCACGAAAAGTGTATTTGTTAATACTTGACGTCGTTCGGATATTTGGATGTGATTGACGTTTTCGTTAATCTCCAACCACTGTAACTTCCAACTTAATTTTTGAAAGCCAAATATGATAGTCACGAATTGATATTTAAGTCACACGTTGATGCATACATCATGTGTGTACATTAAGTGTCGAATACATGCCAACTTACATTTATATAAATATCCACAGTTAACTCGAATCATCAATTCTCTAAACGGTTTATCATATAACCTGGTGAGTTTAATATTTCATTTTAATTTTTTATAATTATGGTATCGGATTTGAGTATGATATTAGTCGAGGCTTAAACAAAGCAATAAAATTGCGTGAAACCTTTTGTGAAAATTCGAACGATTTTTCAAGAATCGTCCTTCAAAGTATTACCACAGTGCTCCCCGGGAGTGGAAATTTCGTCTTGTGTAATCAAAATAAAAGCGGGTGGTTTGAATTTTTGTTTGAGTTTATAGCTCAGCATCTATAAATTTAAAAACACGTCGCCTCATTGAGAGGTACGTGCAGATTTTGGCGATCTATCATTATAAAAGGCTAAATTTTGTGCAAAAACAGGAGTTGACACGCTTACATTTGGAATTGAAATTTCCTACATTAATTGTCGACTCATGTTTAAAAGTCAGAAAACAAGGTTGAACACAACACAATGACCTAGTTACTGTCTATTTAGCATGAGATCACTACGGGGAATATTATTAATGACTTAAATCGTTAACGGTTAAGTTGTGTTCCAAGAAACTTATCAATTTAGAAATGCAAAATGTTCAATTTTGTTTTTCAATTATAAAAATGGCACCCGTAGAGAACAACGTTTACAAAATTATTCAAAACTGAGATATTTACTTATGTAACATTCGTTTGCATGTGTCAGGGAGTAAATAAGAAAAATATGCATTGATTCTATATCTTGTTCCAAAAGGAGTTTGTTAAGGAGCGGTATATCTTAACGTACTTTTATCATTCCGAACTCAAATATTTCGAATACTTATTTCGAGAACGCTTTGTTGAGAATGGATTCGAGATGTACTCAAAATTAATACGTTAAAATGTGTATTATCATCTTAATAACCACCTCACAAATTATTTTGGAAATCAAAGATGTACGATTTTTGAGATTTTTATTTTCGAATGTTGACTTAGTTACTCGACTTGACTGTTAAGCATGATTCATTGACTACACCCCAGGCCAACTGTTCATACTGAATACAATCTACCTTATGAATCATGGGCAAACGTTACATTACATATGGAGGGAAAAAGGTATATACACAGGGCCGTTAGATGGGGGGGGGGGGGTGCGGTTTTTTTTGAAAAATATTTTTTTTGTATTTTTTTTTCATTGACTGATACACTTTGAAAGTACCCAGAAAGCACCAAATAGCATCTAAAATTGTAAAATTTTCTAGGGGTATTGGCCACCCCTCACACCACCCACAAAACAATGGAAAAGTTCTTTTATTTTAGAGTTTTGTCTCAGACACTTTTAAAGTGCCCAGATATCATCAAATAGCTCCTTGATATAGTAAGTTTTTCTGGGGGACTTACTCCCCCTCTTGCATCTTGCACTTGCATACCCCCACCTCTGTCAACCCCCCCCCTTGACTTGACCCCCCCCCAAAAAAAAATTGTGATTTTCTTAAATTCTCATAGACTCATACACTTTGAAAGTGCCCAGAAAGGACCAAATAGCGTCGTAAAATTGTAAAATTTCTAGGGAAGTGGGCCACCCCTCACACCCCAAACAAAACAATGGAAAAGTTCTGAATTTGTTTTATGTATTGTCTCAGACACTTTTAAATTGCCCAGACATCATCAAATAGCTCCTTGATAAAGTTAATGATTCTGGAAGACTAACACTTACTCGCCCTCTGGCATCCCCACTCCACCTCCCCCTCTGGCAGCCCCCCTCCCTTAACACCTCCCCCCCAAAAAAAAACAAATTGAGATTTTTCAAAAAAATTTTATTGACTCATACCCTTTGAAAGTGCCCAGAAAGCACCAAATAGCACCTTAAAATTGTAAAATTTTCTTGGGAAATAGGCACTTTTAGGCACAGACACTTTAAAAGTGCCCAAACTTCATCGAATAGCACCTTGATATTGTAAATTTTGATATGGGAGACAAACACTTGCTCCCCCTCTGGCACCACCTCCCCCTCTGTCTACCCCTCCCCCCTTTGACACCCCCAAAATTTGAAAAAAATTGTGATTGTTTTTCAATGTTTTTATTGACTAATACACTTTAAAAGTGCCCAGAAGCACCAAATATCATCTTTAAATTGTAAAATTTTCTAGGAGAGTTAGCCACCCCTCACATCCCCCACAAAACAAAAGAAAATATTCTGAATTTCATGTATTGTCTCAGACATTTTTTAAGTGCCCAGACATCATCAAATAGCACCTTGATATGGTCAATGTTTCTGGGGGACAACCCCTTGCTCCCCTACTGGCACCCCACCCAACTTCACCCTCTCATCCTCTTTGACACCCCCAAAAGAATTTGAAAAAATTCACATTTTTCTTATTGACTCATAACGCACAGGCGTACCAGATGGTTGCAAATTCGCTCAAAATACAACCAAATTTCAAAATTTTCCTGGGGGAGAACCCCCAGACCCCCCTGATTGCTAGGTTTTTTATTCACTCAACTCTTATTCCCGTTGTGGTGGCGTACTACTTAGAAACTTACACTTTGAAGGTGCCCAGAAAGCACCAAATAGCATCTCAAAACTGTAAAATTTTCTAGGGGAGTGGACCACTCCTCACACCCCCCACAAAACAATTGGAACATTTGGAAGTTGCATTTGTTAATTCCAAATCAATATAGGGAGTAACTGACCCCCCCCCCCCTCTGTCTTACGCGATTTGATTTACGCGGCAAAAAAATGACAATTTTATATTCCCTTTAGTAAGCTAAAAACCGCACCCCCCTTGGAGAAAAGTGTCTTACGGGCCTGATACAGGAGCTAGCACTCCTGTATACGATTCATTGACTACACCCCAACTGTTCATACTGAATACAATCTACCTCATGAAACTTTACATTATTCAAAGAAGGAAGTAGGTATGTACACGAGCAATCATGTAGACGATTCATTGACTACACCCCAACTGTTCATACTAAATACAATCTACCTCATTCATCTGGGGAAACTTAACATTATTCAAGGAAGGAAAAAGGTATGTATATACGAGCACTCATGTATACGATTCATTGACTACATCCCAACTGTTCATATTGAATACAATCTACCTCATTAATCTGGGCAAACTTTGATTATTCAAGGTTGGAAAGGGTATGTACACTAACACTCCTGTATACGATTCATTGACTATATCCCATCTGTTCATACTGACTACAATCTAATCCTTGAATCTTGCGCAAACTTTACACCATTTAACGTTAGGAAGCAAATGGTCAGTATTCAAAATTCTTCGATGTTAAACCTGTCATAATGGCAGCTTTGCGATCTGAAGTTTAAAGGCACCATATACTGATATAAAGTTTTAACCACGTTGGCCTATATTATAGCCTTACATCATTTGAAACGGAATGCTATAAAGGCTCCCTCTATCCTTTGACAATTTTGCTACTTTAACCTTGAAGTGGATCGATTGACATTTGACACGCATTGACGTGACTTAAAATATGTATACATGAAAAAGTTTACTTATAAATCGTTATTAGTGAATAGATGCAAAACATATGGAATATGTTCTAAGGTCTTCTATTTTTGAACTGATATCCTTCTATAAGGTGTGAGATCTTTTTAAAAAGGCGCAAAGTGCCATAAGTTAAGGAATAGATGCCTATACGACCTGTAAATTATATTTAATATTAAATAGATGACGTTATCATCACTAAACGTATGTTATGATAAATGTAAAAAATAATCAAAATAATATGTATTGATTTGGAGATTATCCTATGAGATAGCTAACTCATAATGATTCGTAACTCATGAAATAAATAGCAACGACATACATACATTTAAATTGACTTTTAAACAATGGTGACGGTGCACCTTTTTAAATAGATTTCACTGCGTATCAGTTCAAAAAATCCTAGAATACTTACAGATTTCACCATGCCGTACATGCCTATTCATTTTGGCAATTTAAACTCTCTCGTGAAAAATTTGCACAAAAAAGCAAATTTGTTGAATTTTCTAACGGAAATCGCCCCTCCCCTACATTTATTTTGTCCGTTTACGGTCGCGATTCTAGCAATAGAATGAAACATCTTTGAGAGTACAATCAGATATAAGAAACACCAAACCTGAATACCCCCAAACTATGATCGTACCCCCTCTGCCACCATTTAGAAGCCATTATAACAATCCAAAATCGAAAGACCACGGGACACATTACTCATAGTGCGGATGTTCTTTTTAATATAAAGTGAACCTATTATGCTAGCTTTTTTAGCAATTGGTCACTTATCTTAGTAACTATTTAGCTGTGATGTAATGGAATAAAACAGATTATAAAACAATAAGTGCAGATCAATATTGAAATGTACCATAGGTTTGTGATTTTTAGATTGTGTTGTGATTTCTGTATTGAATTTTTCTATGGAGGGTCATTATACTATAAGTTATTGAATGATTTGAAGTGCAATACAGGTTATATTCTGCTCGAGAAATTCCGAATTGGAACGAGACGAAGACGAGTGCCAAGACAGAATATCGAGACAGAATATATCCAGTATTGCACTTCAAACCATTCAATAACGTTTTTATCGTGTGATCCTCTGTATTGCTACTGAGATCGTCCCCTCCGTACCAATATTTTCTGTATTGCGACGGAGATGATCAACGGGAACAATAATCTCAGTAGTAATACAGATTGGTACAGCGCAAGAACTGACCAATCAGAGGGATTCATTTCATCATACGATAAAATGATTCTTCGAACAATGTTTCCTAATTGTAAAAGGGTTGGTGGTCCTATCAAATTTTGGTCCTACTCTCTATTGATTTATATGGTGACCTAATTACAATTATTTTCCTTATTATTTATACACAGTCAGGGCCAGTAAGGGCCATAAGGAAAGGGGACCATGATCCCCAGGGGACCATAATTTCTTTTACACCGGTTGTCAATTTCAATACTCTTTTAATGTTTTAACCTTTTGATGTTTTCCACGTTGATAGTGTAATACTAAGTTCATTTGAACGAACACCTTGTACATCATTGCAGCTGTTGTTGGTCTTATGTCGGACGCCTTACAGAGGGTGGTCAAGATATTTATCCCACATCACAAAAAGTAAGTATGTGCACAATGTAGATATCTCTTTCCATAGAGACAATGGTATCAGTTCCCGTTACCGCGAATCAAACAATATAATATCTGTGAAATATTGCATTCTTGAAAAGATAAGTGCTTTGTATGCAATCGTCGATAATGAAATGACGATCATCTTTATTTTCAGGACCATGCGATTAGTTTGGCTCTTCATGAATTCGGACACCTGTTTGGAATGTCTCATGAACAAAGGCGACCTGACTATGATCAAAGAATCCAATACCAGTTAACAAATGTTGATGGTATGCACTCCTTTGTTCAATATTTTTGCGAAATATTAATTCTTCCACATCTGTATTGCTTGAGTTGGTCTGTTATTCAATAATTCAACACATTTGTTAAATTGATTAACCTTGTTGAATTTTCATTGTATAACATTAAATATTTAATTCAATAATATATGAACTTGAATTTAAAAAATGATTAATAAAATCATACTAATTTGATAGTTTAATCATTTTACTTTGACAACTATTTATACAGTCGTATGCATGATATTATATTGTTTGACGTTACAGATGAAGAAAAGAAATCTGAGTTCAAAGTTAAGGATAACACTGATAGTTTTCACGAACATGACATAAGCTCACGAATGCATTATAGTAGATATGTAAGACTCAACTTTCATATTTATTTTCATTTCGAGAGTTTGAATCTTGCATAAACTGTACAATTGTTACTTTTTATCTGAACTCGTCGATCCAAATTTGTTTTAGCCAATGGTCTTTCAAACATTAGAAATGAATTTTTTCAACGGACAGCTTGTGGCTCTTGGAAAATAAAAATGATAATTTTGAATACATTTTCATGTAAAATACGCAAGGGTCAATAAATTATATAAATATGATATTCTAGTATGCATCCAAGAATGATCGCCAGACTATGGAGGCCTTGGACAGACAATGGCAGTATTTATGGTGGTCCAAAAGGGAACATTATGGGTTCTATGACCTTGAAGATCTAACTAAGGCCTATGAATGTGATGGTATGCGATTTAAAGTAATTTACCGTAAAAATGATCATATTATATAACGCAAATAAAATATCACATTTAAGATATTTTCAGAAAATTATTATTAAATGACGCATTAAATTTTAACTACTGTACTTCTACTGAATTTTGGCGGCTGTTTTAATTTGAAGCAATTCCCGGGTATTAGTACTGCGCGAAATTTACCACATTTTCCGGTTGAAAATATTTTCTTTCAAAATTAGTTCAGATTCGTCACTTTTGTACAATAACGACAATATGTCCATTCCGAAATACTTGAAAAGAACCGATGCCAATTAACTAGTCAAAAGAAAGTCAACGGATAGCATCAAGGATATAATTTGGGCTAATAAGTGCATCGTTTGAAGTTCGCCAGGTTTTTCAATACAAATAATATTGCAAATCCCCCAAAGGATTGGTATCGATATGGTGAACTGAATTCAACAATGTTTTTCTCGTGTAAAAAGCAAGGTTCTTGATGCTATAATATTGATTGATTGAAAACAATTTAATGCGAAAATTATTTATATATATTCTATATAACAAAATAGCATATACAACATTTTCTTAGATCTCTCAATATTATAGTTATACAAAAGAAAGTTCTTTTGATTATACGAAAAGTATTCAAAAAATTAAAGCTAAAACACCGAGAAATGCGAGTTCGAAAAGTTACCATATCTATACCAATCCTTTATAACTATTGCAAGTCCGCAAGATTAAGTACGTAGCCGCCAAATGTTCAAAACAGGTAATCCGCCAAATTAAGTGGAAGTACAGTATTTGAATATGCTTATAACTGATTGTTTTAGACATTTTTGAAGTTTACGTAATATATTTTGTTACTTTCAAATGTCTAAATGTCTCACCACTATTACACTACTACACCATCACTATAATGCAAACTTTGATGAAAACAATTGGTGCATATTTAACAAAATACCAGCACCAGTCCTGTTACTTTTGGAACACCCTGTATGAAACGTGCCATTCTTTTACATTTTTTCAACAATTATTTTTCGTCGCGGAAGTTTTAAATCCTCAAAACAGGCTTATTGCAAGCTTATCATATAAACAAAGTAAATGCTGTATCTGATATTATGTTGTTGTCTTGGAAGAAAAGACTCCGGGGCAGTGATCCTGTTTTAAATATTTATGTTTTCTCGTTCTTATGAGTTTATTGTTTAAAGACGGTTGTTCTGCGGCCCAGAAGGCAACGGGTTGTGCGAATGGTGGTTACCTTGGTTGGGTAGACGATTCTTGCAAGTGTATTTGTGTACCTGGCCTGGCAGGCGCTACGTGTGAGGAGTTTGATGATCCAGGTATGTATCTAATAGACAGACACGTTGCGTTAGATACGCAATCAATGCAATATGCTATCTAAAAGCCAAAGAATAAACAAAATCAAAAGGTGGAACGTATGATGATATTTTATATTAATTCAACTACACTACATTTTCATTAACATAGTTTATCTTAGAAATAATTGCAGCATGCAGTTAATAAACAATTCTTATATAATTGGTATTACAAGCGTTAGTATTTAATTCATTTGATACTATGAACACAGGATCGGCGGCCCCTATAGATTGGCCAACGGGTCAGTTCGGACTTTTAAAAACTAAAGACGGGTGCCCAGATGGTTATACTTTTTCTGATGGGTGGAGATTACACTATGGAGAGGGATGGCATTGGATGGATAGTGAGGGGTACGAAATTCATGCCGCCAATGGAAGCTTTGACTCAACAAAGGATTGGATTAAAGATCAGTTCTGTATGAAAACAGACTCCTCTGGCAGTTACGATTGGCCCGCAGGCTCGTATTGTATCTTCAAGAAAAGTTCATGTCCATCTGGTATGAATCTAGTTTATGATATTGGGGTTTGTTTTCCTTTCAATTGCCACTGATGGTGCTGTTAGAGGTTTTGATTTTGGGTTTTAACGAGGGAATCTCAAACATCTTGTCTAATGTTAAGGAAATATCGGATACTGCTATTTAAGTTTAAAGAACTACAAGCATCCCCTATCCCAAAAATAGCGTAGAAATATGAAACAAATATACAAGGTATCAAATAAGTGCCGTCCCCTGTTACAGCTAAAACCTTAATTGGTGGTACCTAGTGTGATTATGATAAACCATCGGAAAGATCATCCAAAGTTAACTCTCAAGTAATTCGGATAAAATTTACCTATATTTTCATGATGTCCTTAATAATTAGTGTCAAATTGAGAACGATATGACCTCAGCGATATGTCATAAAGTTATATTGTCATATTGAGCTTATTTGACTTTTTAATGCCTGATTCTTAAAATCCTGACAAATTGCCATGTTTCTAGATCCCCTCTATTAATACAATGTAGCAATTTGTGACATTGATTGACACATATTAGATATATGCCACGAACTTTTCCAATGATATTTCACACTTGGTACCATTTATTTTGATTTTTGGTTGTGTGTGGGGGGCAGAAATCATTTGACACCCTGTGTACTGACACCCTGTGTACAGGTGACACCGAAGTAAGATCAAATGTATTGATATTTCATTTCTTTTGAATCAGTCTTCTTGAATCTTGGTAAAGATGTATCTCCGAACATTATTGAGTGACGAGTGTAATGTAATTAAAAATGACACTATTGTTGATAATTGCAGGATTCACGGAGGGCTCCAAAACAATTGCCGACGATGACATTGACAATAACAACGCATATGGTGGCGTCCTACCTGATGGAACATATAACTCGGTATTTTTTTTATTGTTGACATTATATTTCCAGCCATGTTGAAACGAGGACATCATGTCTTCGTTTCCAGTTGATCCCCAGTGAATATTCTTCAAGTACATTCTCATGATGTCCATGTGACCCAAAAAACAAGACCAACAATTTTGTCAAACAAGATTTCAAATCATAGTTGAGAGTTTGATATGTAACATTTTCAAAGGGCTAGGAGTTAGTGCAGAATTAATTTTAGGGATTTTTATGCATTTTGGTTACATAAAAAAGATCAATAATATGAAACGTTTTGTTGACTATTAGAGCACATCATAAGTCATCAGTAAGTATTTTTATCAATGTTAAAATTGTTCTATAATTTATCTGTTTAGTTTACAATTTTTCTTTAAAAATTGGAGATATGGGAGTCTATATCTTTCGAACATCAAGGAGCCATGGATCATTGGTTATCAAAGCCTTTTCTATTCATTTGTTTAGTTACGGTAACACTAACTAAGCTTTTGTAATTTACAATTTTCAAAAATCTGCAAATATTGAAAATCATAAAATCGGAAAATGCTAATATTGGTAATTAGTCTCCATTCAATCGAACAAAGGGCCATCTAAATGCTATATCTAAGTAGATAATTACGTATATCAAATCAAGAATGACGCTTTATTTTTTAGGGGCATTAGTACAAATAAAATCCTATTATATATTATATTATATGTAATATGAAACAGATATTCTCCATATTTTATATTTATTATGTATTTCTTGTTTACCTCATCTCAGGCTAACCCAAGAGAAACAGGATATGACTTTCTCGTAGAAATTGTTAAAATAATTAGGCATGTTTTTTATTTAGATTACAAAATACAAATTCTGCTGTCGGGAAGATCCTTTTGACTCGCGAGAAGATTGGCCAATTGTTTTACCAAATAGGTCTCCGATTTACCTTTTTAAGAAGGAGAGCAAATGTCAAGCAATCAAGGGTATGTACAATGTATAATAAATGCCAAGCGATCAAGGGTATAATACGAAAAGCCCGTAAAACGGACAAAATGAGTAGATTGAGGATTTAACGATTTTATTAAGAAATTCTACATTTAAAGGTGACTCTATGTACAAACTAGTTTCACAGGGTTATGGTCGGCGATGGTAAAGCAGCCCTAAATTGTTTACGGTCGCCGTAGTTCTTTCTCGATTTTAGAGCATCTAGAGTCACCGTTGGGCAAATGTGACATAAATAAAATTAGACATAAATAAAACTAAATTATTCTTAGGAATGAATGTAGCATCTGACTGGCTGTCATTTGATGAGAAGGATGAACCAAATGAGCAGGCTGAGGATGGCATGGCACCATATGACCCGTATTGGTGGGGAAGATCAGCATTTCAATTATGCTACTACACACCAATAACATATGGTAATCAATTGGTAACTTCATAAGATTTTAATAAAAGATGACAACACGCATTCTGATACTCATATAGCATCTTTCTGTTTCACCTGAAACAAGGGCTGAGAAGAACTGAGATGTCATGGTTTATCATGATGACAACACGTGATATTTTAAAATAGAAGTATGCATGGACAAGTAGGATAGCTTCATAACTAGACTCCAATCTTATTAATTTGATAGTAATCACACTTGATATTATACTCGTAGTAGTGGCTAACGATATCCTAGGCCGGACTGAGGTTCGATATCATAGAGATATTGACAATTGATAAATTAGTAATGACTTTTGAAGTAATGCATACGTAAAAGTACACAAATGACACATTTCCATTTGTTGTCTTTACTACAGGTTGTAATCATATGATAACACTGGACTCTTCTAACCCGAGTGAAATTATAACAACTCCCAATTTTCCCGGCGAATATAAAACTAATCAGGAATGCAACTGGTTCATAAAGGTATGAGTTTAATTTTAAATGAAAAACCATTAAATGAAGCTCGATATATTGGTATTTTGATACTGAAATCTAAAGATTACATTATCTGATTTTTGTATCAGATGCTGGCACAGTTTTGCCGGAAGTTTGCAAGAAGTAACTTTTGGCAATGCAGTATGTTAGAGTAACCTAGTAGGTGTAAGAAAATATAAGGTGATGGCCTTTAAAGTGGTAAAAACAATTTTCACGGCCGAATTGGACTTCAATTCCTGCGATTTCAGGGGGTACTATAAGACTATTTCATAACATAAAGGATATAGTTGCTATTGTTCTGCTTTCTACAGCACACATTACTAGTCCAAAGATGAATGTTATCCTAAAGTTATAGGCCGATATCTGTATTAGTCTCAGAAATATTGCAATTAATAGGAAAAAAATATGCAATTTTAGTCATTTTTAAGTCTCACGTATCTTATATTTGTAGCTTCCAGCAAAAGATGGCAGCTTAAATAGCTCAAAATTGTTTTCTAAAAACTAATTCAAGCTTTGTTTGATATTGTAATACAATTATAATAATGATAATGTACTATTTATGATTTTTAATATGACTTTATAGTACCCTACCCCTGGAAAGTGGGCGTGGTCAATGTTATCATTTTGCAGCATACAATTAAAAACTTATATTGATAGAAAGCAAATCAATGCATTTTTAACATTTTCACTTGTTACTTGACATTGTAATTCATTCATTACTAAAATATAGGACTCTACATATTTTATAAATACGTTTTCAATTTTGTACAATGTATCATGATGATATCTAATAAGCTGGTTCATTTTCAGTGTTCACTAACGTATGAAATGTAAGTCACAGTGTTTCCAAATTACCTTTGCAACAAAGACTACTTAATATGAGCAGTTTCAAGGTCCTAATACTAATACTTACCGATCTATCGGCGTTCAAAAATAGAGAAAGCTGTCGTGAGTGCAGTTTTAACTAACTTTGAACTGAAACTGCTGCTTAATGAATATTTTTCTCAACATCTGTGACTTTTTTAGACCCCAAACATAAAATACTTTTATTTGACATAATTTCTGATTCTGCCTCCAGTTAGTACCACCAATAATACATATGAGAAGACTTAACGTCATAGTAAGTGGAAGTACAGATCTATTGGCTTCTGAAAATGGGAAAAGCTGTAGCAAGTATGATTTTCACCAGTTTTTCATCTAAGACTGCAACTTTCTGAATTTTCTTTTTACAAACTGCACAGTAAGACCAAAGACATTAAAGGAAACCTGGTCATTGTACCACCAATAATAGGTAAAAATAATATTGGTAATATATACCAAGTGTTTACTTTAATTCCAAGGCATCTGGATTGATAAATAAATGAAATCAGTACTTTATTGTATCTTGGGACAAAATACACTGTTTGAATGCTTAAGCTTGACATCACAGTATCAAGTGAAAGATACGTCGTTATATACAGCTATATATCACTTTAACTGACTTCTCTTCAATTTGAAATATGCCTGGCCATTCTAAGAAAAATGCGACGGAGGGCAAAGAGGGTGCATGGTATAATTGGTAATTAAGCTCTTCTAGAGTTTAAAGCTCCCACAATTTTTAAAAACGAAATGGAGAATAACATGTGAAAGAATAGGATGGACTAATTGTTCTAAGAAAGTTTTTGAAAGTAACATTGCATAAAATATTTAAGCAAGAGATATGTTCCAAAATACTTTCAGGTAGAAATAAAGCTCCGTAATGTAAAAACAATGTATTCTCAGTATTCAATAATAACATTCTTTATAGGTTTTTTGGTCTTAAGAATATCAGTGATTATCCTATGGTTGCAAGGATATAGATCGAATATCACATGAAGATATATTTGATATGTGGATCAAGTTATAATATTTTAGCAAAAAATTCACAAACCATCGAATATCACTTTTAAACTATCGAATATCAAGTCTTAAAAAGTGATATTCGGTGGTTTGAAAAGTGATATTCCATGGTTTTGAATTTTTTCAAAAAAAAATTCTTTTTACATTTTTTAATTATTTTCAAAAATATTTAAAAACAATTTCAACATTTTTTCACAATTTTTTTTCAATTATTTTTTCAAATTTTTTCTCGAATTATATTTTTCACATTTTTTCGCTGATGATGATTTCCCATGGGATATTTTTTTTTTCAAAAATATCAATTATATCCACTCATGGATACAAATATCTTCACTCACTCGCTGCGCTCACTCATGAAAATATCAATATCCACTCATGGATATAAATGATATTTTTTCTAAACCATAGGATATTCCTATATTATATCAATCCGGATGCTGAAGTCACTTAATAAATAATAACTAGATGTAACTCCTAGGAGGCACTTCAAGTTTCAGTTCTAAATAAAATACAGTTTATTTAAAAAATTGTTAAGAAAACATACATTTTTTCACAATCACAATTTCACCATTTCTGACTGTATTTTGCATATTTTTAGGTGTCAATGGTTCAATGATTATTTGATATAACCTCCTGAAACTACTCTCATATATATTTGGTGGTACAGTGATATGGAATCCTGTCTTTTGGGGTCTCACGGAATTCTTGTTTTAGAGAAGAAAATCCTGAAAGCTGCAGTTTAATATTATGAATTATAGGTGAAAATTGCACTTGCTACACTGCTTCTCCCATTTTTAGATGCTAATAAATCTGTAACTACACTTACTATGACCTTAAGTCTACTCATATGTATTATTGGTATTACTAACTAGAGGCAGAATCAGAAATTATGGTAAATAAAAGTAAAATTTAAGAGATAAATTGTTCTGAATAGTGCATTTTGTCACATTTTTTCGCGATATCTGACTGCATTTTGTGTCTTTTGGGTCTTTTTAAGAGTCCATGCAGATATGAATACTTGATCTAGAGCTCTGAAATTTTCAATACCAGAATTTGGTAGCACTATGTCTTGATATCCTGTGTTTGGACTCTAACCAAATCACAGTTGTTGAGAAAAAAATTCATAAGTAGCAGTTTTAATTCAAAATTAGTTGAAACGGCACTCAAAGACAGCTTTCCTCATTTTTGAAAGCCGATAGATCGGCAAGCATTTACACCATGATCTTGAATCTGGGCATACATATTCTTAATGCGGTATCTCATTGCCCAGATATTGTGGAAACATTGTGACTTATATTCCATGTGATAGTAAGCACTGAAAATGGACTTGTTGAATTGTGGCGGACCCTATACAAAACAAAAATAGGGGTAGGGGGGGGGGTTAAACGTTGATCAGTTCTGCTATTTTTTGTGGCTATTGGTCATATAGTAGATCATTTTGTCAAAAGGTAAGGGTGATCCGAGAAAAAGTTTGTAAATTGAAACAGCCTATTAGATTTCATTATGATACATTGTACAAAATTGAAATTGTATATATAAAATATGTAGAGTCCTATATTTTAATAATAAATGAATTACATTGTCAAGTAACAAGTGAAGATGTTTTATATGCATTGATTTGCTTTCTATCAATACAAGTTTTTAATTGTATGCTGCAAAATGATAACATTGACCACGCCCACTTTCCAGGGGTAGGGTACTATAAAGTCATATTAGAAATCATAAATAGTACATTATCATTATTATAATTGTATTACAATATCAAACAAAGCTTGAATTAGTTTTTAGAAAACAATTTTGAGCTATTTAAGCTGCCATCTTTTGCTGGAAGCTACAAATATAAGATACGTGAGACTTAAAAATGACTAAAATTGCATATTTTTTTCCTATTAATTGCAATATTTCTGAGACTAATACAGATATCGGCCTATAACTTTAGGATAACATTCATCTTTGGACTAGTAATGTGTGCTGTAGAAAGCAGAACAATAGCAACTATATCCTTTATGTCATGAAATAGTCTTATAGTACCCCCTGAAATCGCAGGAATTGAAGTCCAATTCGGCCGTGAAAATTGTTTTTACCACTTTAAAGGCCATCACCTTATATTTTCTTACACCTACTAGGTTACTCTAACATACTGCATTGCCAAAAGTTACTTCTTGCAAACTTCCGGCAAAACTGTGCCAGCATCTGATACATTTGTCAACCCTGTATGGTCAACCTTTTTCAAGGAACGTGGTTACTAGTATTTGTATTTACAGTCTCATTGCATTGTTTTAGAATGAAAAAGAGCTTTTGTGTCACATACTTTACTGTTACCAGCAAAGTTGGTATCATTTAAAATATTACTTCTCAAGTGTGGGCATGATGCTAGTCTTTGCTCCAGATTTTCTATCAGAATTTTGGAATTTTGTAAGAAATGGTAAAAAGGGTCAAAAAGGTATTTTTCAACTTGCCTCAAATTGACTATTTTTTCAAAAACATCTACAAGTTCTCAGAAGTTCAAATATGACTTAAGATTGAACTCGTATTATTATGAGCAACTAGGTGCTGACATTTTGTCATGTTAATGCCTTGTATACTACTGTTACCTTAATACTTTTCAGGCCCCAGAAGGAGCATTTGTCAACCTTCACTTTAATACATTTGAAATTGATGGAAGTTTAGTTGAAAAGGAACATACATGTAAGGATTATGTTGAAATAAGACAAAGTATGATTGGGCAGAATGGAATCAAGTAAGCATTATGTACTTTGAAACAATTTTACATTTTTACTACTTATATGAGTTTACATTAAATGTGTTTTTAGCGATTCACTTTGAATTATTTAAAACAGTTTCATATTTCTAGTTCAAATGAGTTTCCATTAAATGTGTTTGAAACGATGTCATCGTTGACAGCAGTAATGCAGTATTGTATTTTCCATTGCGCTGTTTATGGTCAAACCCTTTTCTAAAAATATTACTGGCTTACCTTACACTTTTCTCTTGTTTTAGATTGTGTGGCTCCAATATTCGTAAATCGTGGCTGGCCGAGGACCACATGATGTGGATAACGTTTAGCTCAGATAGCATGGATGTATCTGGAGGTTTTAAAGCAACCATTTCGTATAATACAGGTAAATGTAAAAGTAGATAAAACTGTTGTTGAGGATCTTGGCTAAATAAATACAAATACTCAATATATTCTGTTTTTTTTCACCAAAAAGTGGTGACATATTGTTTTGGTGACATTTTGCATGTTCATGCCTTGCTTAATAATGTGTTTGATTATATTTAGATTCTGATATTGACCCATTTTACACGGCATCAAGTTTGGGGCAATCCTATAGGGGTCCTGTGTCTGTGACACATGACTACATGCCATGTATGAACTGGTTGGATGTGCAACACTGCAATGTCAATCCATTTAAACTTGAGTAAGTAAACCATGTTATTTAATCCAATACTGCAAGAATTTGATACTACTGAAATTGATTGATAGATCATATATTTCAATTTCTTAAAATCTAGATATGCCGCGAAGGGTCTGGGTGACCATAACCATTGCCGCAACCCAAATGGACTTTATCGGCCATGGTGTTATATTGATCAGTACTGTCGCCAAGGATTTTGCGATGTTCCCCAATTGGGTGAGTTCTTTTAAGTATAACAATGTAAAACAACTGGATGAGTTTATATAATTTTTAATCTACAACTAGGTGAGTAAATTCTGTTAACAATAATACTAAAAATCACAACTATAGTAAATTGTACTATAATACTAGAAAGAACATGTCTGTAGAAACCACAACTATCTAAGTAAATCGTATGAAATATAATGCTAGAAATCATAACTATCGAAGTAAATCCTATTAACTATAACATGAGGAACTAGAACGTGAGGAAAATGAGAGAATACGTCATATATTGACCATATCAAAATCAGTAACAATGCAATAAAACGCTTGATAGTATTTCACAGTAGCATCCTTTATGATACAAATGATGATTGTTTTACTTTTCAGAGGTGATTGATGATATTAATGACGATTGTTCAGAGCTAGCATCCAATAATACTTTTTATTGTCGTACAAAAGATGCAAAACGGGGCTGCAGAAAATACTGCAACCTGAATGAACCGAGTATTTCCAAAGGTATATTTGATTAATATATACGTGAAAAGCTCTGAAAATGACGAGATGTATGACGAAATGGTGCACGAATGTGTCTAGTCATCACCAAATTCTTACCTATAAATATTATTTCCGATGTTTTTTTGAAAATTGTAGATAATAATCTACCTTGCCAATTTGAATCCTGGCTACATCCTTGTAATAACAAAATATGATAAAAACAAATGATTTAATCGAATCTCATGATTAATTTGCTTACTCGGATTAAATACTGTATACTATGTTTATCTTAAAAAGCGCCGAGCATAGTCGATCCATATGTTGACCCATATGGGACAAAGTCTGGAGCGACTCCCCCATATACAGATGGTGACATCATCTCAATCACATGTTCTCAGAATGGGGTTGAACTTATTGGCTATGAAGAGAGGATGGCTTTGACAGATGGAAGCTGGAGTGGTCGACACATCGTATGCGGAGGTAAAGTTGTTTGGATTAACATTTCTCAAATACATGTATAACCCTATTTGTAACAATTACATAACATAATGGCTATGTTATACATTATGCAATATTATATGATACTAATAAGGATCATTATAATTGCCAACAATATATATTTACCTTACCTTGAGTGCCTAGAAACCAGAACGATCAAAAGTATATGATACACTAGGCCTAGCACGAAGACGCGAGATGGATCATAATAGCATATGTTTTACATGGGCTTTCAAGAGAGGGGTACGCAACTCTATGTTATAAACATGAGAACTTCAGAATGAGCAGTGCCATGCTTCTCTTTTTTGATAATATTTCAAAGAGTTTTAGATAAATGTAGATGTTTTAGTATTAACTTGAAGAAAAATCAATTTTGAATATTCTTAGAGCATAAAACATGTTATCTCATTTAAAAGTATACAAAAAGACCTATAATGAAAAGAGCTATCAAAATGAATGTTGCATTGTCGGTAGAACACATTCCAATAACATTTATAATTTGTGGGAGAATGCTTTAATGATTGCCATATAATTATGATGAATTCCATTTTATATCAAATTATCAACATGTATGCAGATTATCATGTTTTTATTTTTGTGTTATTTCTTTAAATCATTGGAATGTGTACAGGAGGCATTTTTTCTCCAAATTTGAACCCAAGGCAATATGGGAAGTTGCATACACTTCTCTCGAAAGCCCATGGTTTTTAGTAGTTCATTCCAATCAATGTTTATTGAAGAAGCACAAAACAATAGCCACTAGACATGCAACAAAATGAAATCTGGACACTTGCGGGAAATGCTGGTGTATCTTTTTTTAGTATGTAGCCAGGGCTGGACCAAATATAACGGCCATTGTTACAAGGCTTTTGTAGACGAAGAGCTGAGTTTTGATGACGCTGAAGCCGAATGTAGAACACAGGGGACACATCTTACTAGCATCAACAGTCAAGATGAACAAGACTTCATTAAACAACTTCTATCCGAGACTAAGTATGTACATTAACAAACAAGCATCTAAAGACGTATCTAAAATGAGATCTACAATTAAATAATGTTACGTTTTCTTGTCCGGTTTTGGAGATTATCCTTTGGGCGAAGAATTTCAAACATGAAATACTTCTAAATTCCTTATGTATATTTTTTGATATATGTCTAATGTGGTAGAACATGTCAGACCTACCATTAAAATATGACATGAATACTGTCGAAATAATAATTAATATTCAAAATTCAAATTCTGTCAGTGGCGCCGATGATTTATGGATTGGCTACAGACAATATGACGATCTTAGCATAGTAACGTATCCGAGTTGGAGGTGGTTGGATGGCAGCCCGGCAAGATACCAACGATGGGGAAATAGTTTAATGAACAGTAACTCACAAGACTGTGTGTCAAGTAATGTTGATAACAGATACTGGAAGGATTCATTCTGTACTGATCAGAAAGAAATAATTTGTAAGAAACCTATTGGAAATGGTGAGTTAATTAAAATAATGGTTTTATTTCTCAATTGTGTTTACACGTTAGAAGTTATTCCGTTTATTTCTGCATCTGTTGATTGGTCTTGCTTCAAGACTGTGGACCCCCCTCCCTTATCTACTTCTCGAACAAAACACACTTGGTGTAAAGTAGGGGAGAGGGTCCAGGGTCCTGAAGCAAGACCTCTGTTGATTTTCATTTTCCAATAACTTTTCATAAAGAATAATTTTTGAATATTCAGTATAACAGCAAGCAATTTTGTTATTATTCATAAAAGGTGTAGGGTGTGATTCTGAGTGGTCTGAATATGAGGGTTATTGCTACCTTGGCGTGGACATTAACATGGACTGGCAAGCGGGAGAAGATTACTGTGTCAATTTAGGTGCGCACATGACTAGTATTCTCACTGAAGGTGAAGATGACTTCATCTATAACTTAGCAGTGAGCAGGTGAGCTTTCAAATGGTGTATATCGCATTACAACGATCTTGTTCTCTGATTTTTATATCTATTAATCAATTAAGACATATAATATATTTAGCAACGGAATTTCTCTTCATTTGGCACAAAGTACATTTACTTTTATTTACATATGATATCTAGCACAATTACTTACATTTTCAAATAACATCTTGTGGAATTACTTTCCTATTTTCAAATGACATCTATAGTGCAGTTACTTTTATTTTCAAATGACATGTAGTGTTGTTACTTTTATTTTCAAATGACATCTATAGTGCAGTTACTTTTATTTTCAAATGACATGTAGTGCAGTTACTTTTATTTTCAAATGACATGTAGTGCTGTTACTTTTATTTTCAAATGACATGTAGTGCAGTTAATTTTATTTTCAAACGACTTGCAGTTACTTTTATTTCCAAATGACATGTAGTGCAGTTAATTTTATTTTCAAATGACATCTATAGTGCAGTTACTTTTATTTCCAAATGACATGTAGTGCAGTTAATTTTATTTTCAAACGACTTGCAGTTACTTTTATTTCCAAATGACATGTAGTGCAGTTAATTTTATTTTCAAATGACATCTATAGTGCAGTTACTTTTATTTCCAAATGACATGTAGTGCAGTTAATTTTATTTTCAAACGACTTGCAGTTACTTTTATTTCCAAATGACATGTAGTGCAGTTAATTTTATTTTCAAATGACATCTATAGTGCAGTTACTTTTATTTCCAAATGACATGTAGTGCAGTTAATTTTATTTTCAAATGACATCTACTGCTCTTCCTTTTCTATTTGAATGATATCTATTACTGTAACATATGACAACTAGCGCAGTGAATTTTACGAATTATTTACAATCATCATGATCATACCCTATGATACGTACCCAAACCTTTATCTAAAACTGCGTTCTAAAAATCTTGCCCTTGTAGTTCGATTACTGGGACATTTTGGATCGGATTTAATGATATCAATGAAGAGCGCATGTTCGAATGGATAGATGGCAGCACCATACCTTATGAGAACTGGGAACATGGCGAGCCCAATGGCGAGAATAATCAGAACTGTACAAGAATTCAAGTGGGTACTTATTTTGGCCAAAACTGAAACGGGAGATGTTAAGCATATATACACTCCCCTCCATAAGTTTGGCAACCTTTTTTCTCCATTGAACTACGTGTTAAAGCCTCTTTACGTTTGAATTTTTATTTACTTAACCGGCGTTGAAATAACTTATAATATTGATGGAAACGTAACTTGACTTTATTTCCAATACCTCCAAATTTTCTCAATTTTTTCCTCAATTACAATAGGTCGAAAATTGATGATAAATTTGATTAATTTTTGAAAATCGTCATTCCCATGTAATCCAATGGGAAATGGAGGGTTCGGGGCAAATCAGAAATCAGGATATCTTTTCAGTAAAAGATTCAGCAAAAAATATTTTCATATAGAAAATTGAATTATCTAACTTTTTTGAACACTAAGTGTTTAGTTTATTTGATGAATATTAAAGTTACAGCGCTTCAAAGTCATTTTTGAAAATAATTTTTCGCCTCCTGTGTTATTTCAATGGGAGAGGCTTTTTGACAAACAATTTTGACTTTAAAGCCCTATAACTTTGTTGAACCTGAAGAAACATATCAATTTTTTGTTAAATAAAGTTAGCAAATTCAATTACCTGCCTAACTCGTATTTTTTGCAAGGACTCGGATGGATGGATATTCTGTCATATGACTTGCGGCAAACCTACCATTTCCCATTGGTTAACATGGGAATGTCGATTTTCAAAAATTCATCAAATTCATCATCAATTTTCGACCTACTGTAATTGAAGAAAAAAATTGAGAAAATTTGGAGGTATTGGAATTAAAGTGAAATTACGTTTCCATCAATAGTATAAGTATTTTCATCGCAGGTTAAGTAAATAAAAATTCAAAGGTAAAGAGGCTTTAACACGTAGTTCAATGGGGGAAAAAGGTCGCCAAACTTATGGAGGGGAGTTTACATTTAGTATTCTGCAGCACTGTTTTCGGCGTTTATATTTTTATTATACTTGTATAGCTGTCGATTACTGGGGAAAGAGTCAAATTTTACATGCTAAATAAATATCACATTCCAAAACATTAGTCAATCTAAATTGCATCATGTGTTACTGTTTTTCATTGAAATGCATGTGATTCAGTTGAGCGAGGACTGGGAATGGGAAGACAAACAGTGCACCTATGAGAAACAGTTCATCTGCAAAGGTATGATATGTTCTTGAAAGATTGAAATATTGGTGGAAACTTATTACAAGTATGTAACCAGAGATTCCGGAAGATGCGATGGCGCCCCATCCGTTTACTCCTATAAACGTCACCAGATACCAAAATACTACAGAGTTTATCAATCGGCCATCCTTATGGACAGTCTAGAACAAAATTACTTCCTTTGCACTCTTACCCCAGTGTGTGTGGACTCATTTCTGATTTTATACTTTCAACGCATTTAAAGTAGCACCCCCCCCCCTCCAACCTAGTCAAGAGACCGTTATGAACCTAAATGATTTAGCATTTGACAGTTCTCAAATATCTGCATAAATTGGAGTAAGTCATCTTTAACTTACTATACTATAAATTAAAGTCATCTTTAACTTACTATACTATAAATGAATAAACGCAAGGAGCACACGCGTCTCGAACTCGCAACCTCGTGGTTACGGCCCCAATCGCCTAGCCTAAACGTGCTGGCGCTCAAGCCCTCTCGGCCAACTCGACAACCCCAAAAAGATTGTTTTGTTAGTCGATCTGACTAGAGGCTGCAGATGTTAACGCTCAGACACACCAGAGGAAGCACCCTACCCTTTTTTTCCCTTTGACACTAGTGCTTACATATTTCTAAATATACACACGCTGCTCGACTGTCCTTGAATGTAGCTATAAATGATTGTGATTTGTAACCATGTCAAAGACATATTCAATGAAATAACTGTATTCAGGTGTACTTCCCAATGTTGAACCACCATGCATCGACCAGTTAGAAGACTGCAAAGCCATATTTGACCACACCCCAACTTTCTGCAAGCTATATCCACAATTTGCTGGAAAATACTGTGCATATACATGTGGTTGCATGAGCGGCACAGGTTAGTAAAGATCTTAAAATTGATTTTAAATGGAAATTCATTGATGAATTGCAACCTTGAATTTTGAGGTTCTTTTTAGAAAATAAAATTAGAATCTATAGTTAGGAAAATATTGGTCTGGTTTTCGATATCATGGCTTCAAATATTTATACTTACTATTACTTTTGATTGCTTTTTTCCTGTAGTGATCAGTGGTTGACAAACACAATATTTAAGATATTCATATAAAATAAAATCATTGTATGTGGTACCTGATAACGCCAGATGCAAGGACCGACTTCAAACTCATTTTTGACCTAAATACAATTTCGATTCTAGATTGCAAAACAGACATAAAAGGTATCCAGTATATGGGTACAGTGTCTGAGACTAAAGATGGCATTAAGTGTCAACGCTGGGATGCGCAGACGCCCCACACACACACCAGGACTGACCCAGCTAAATTCCCGGATGAAACACTGGCAGATGCAAGCAACTTTTGCAGGTACATGCAGTTTTGATTTGCCTTATTTCATTGTACTCACATTTCAAATTGACAAAATGACAAACAAAAACATGTCAATATTTATAGCACTTTGATTGGTCAGTTTTTGTGCTGTACCAATCTGTATTGCTACTGAGATTGTACCCATTGATCATCTCTGTCGCAATACAGAAAATATTGGTACGGAGGGGACAATCTCAGTAGCAATACAGAGGATCACACGATAAAAACGTTATTGAATGATTTGAAGTGCAGTACAGGATATATTCTGTCTCGATATTCTGTATCGGCACTCGACTTTGTCTCGTTCCAATACGGAATTACTCGAGCAGAATGTATCCTGTATTGTACTTCAAATTATTCGATAACTTATAGTATATTGTCCTGTGATATCAGACTTGCCAACCTCCCGTTTTTTTACGGAAATCTCCCGTAAATTTTTTGTTTTTCCGTAAAAAATACCAAACTCCCGTACCGTTTTCTCCCGTAAAAACTCCCGTAAACTCCCGTACCGTATTTCTATTAAAATCTCCCGTAATTTTTTTTAAAAATATGGCCGTAAAATCTCCCGTATTTTTGGTATAACTCCCGTAAAATCTCCCGTTTTCTGGTATAACTCCCGTAAAATCTCCCGTATTCTTGGTATAACTTCCGTAAAATCTCCGTTTTTTGCTGTCGAAATCTACCGTATTTAAAAGGAATTTGACAAATTCATGACCTTGATTATTGCAGGCACGCTTCTTTCTTTAATCCAAGAAGGATTGGCTCCCATGGTTCACTATCGATACTTTCATAAATAACTTTAAAGTACTTCATTCCCATGATTCAAATTGCTTTTCTGCGATCAGTTCGGTATGAGTTTGCACACCAAATGTCCACAAACGGGGGCCAGTTCATATTCTGTCATACTTCTGTCGGGAGAATACATTTTGTTTTTATATGGCGCTAAACAAAATATTCCCGCAATATAAGGCACATTATGGGTAGGGACTGCTGTGAAATAATGAACGTAAGTGACATCTATCATAGATTATAAGTTCTAATTAATTTATTAACTGCGCATGCGTCATAATAATTTCAACCAATTAAATCGCTGGATTTAATGCTCATGCGCGAAAAACCGAACCTAAAAATGGAACCTCACGCAGATTGCCCTTAGCATATAGTGAACGCCACATATACATTTTACTTAGTAAAAACTCCAGTTTTTCAGAAATCTACCGTAAAAACTCCCGTTTTTTCAAAATCTACCGTAAAAACTCCCGTTTTTTCAAAATCTACCGTAAAAACTCCCGTTTTTTCAAAATCTACCGTAAATCCCGCTTTTTCAGAAATCTACCGTAAAAACTCCCGTTTTTTATAAAAATCTACCGCAAAAACTCCCGTTTTTTCAAATCCTACCGTAAAAACTCCCCTTTTTTCAGAACCTACCGCAAAAACTCCCGTTTTTCTGAAATCTACCGTAAAAAAGTCACGTTTTTTAAAATTTACCGCGAAAAATACCTTTTTTTAAAAATCTCCCGTAAAAACTCCCGTTTTTTTCAAAATCTCCCATAAAAACTCCCGTTTTTTCCAAAATTACCGCAAAAACTCCCGTTTTTTTTAAGTCTCCCGTAAAAATTCCCGTTTTTTTTCAAAAATCTCCCGTAAAAACTCCCGCTTTTTTCAAAAAACTACCGGATTTTGAAAAAAACTCCCGTAAAAGTACCGCAATTTTTTTTAAATCTCCTGAAAATTTTTCATTTTAGGTTGGCAAGTCTGGATATTTTAAAGCAATTCGTCTCTGATCATTTCCATCATGCCAAGAAAACATGCATATTATTTGGGATCGTTTAAAACAATATGTTTTTCGAAACATGGTCAACTTAATGAAATGTAGTTTTTAGAAATTTAAATGAAATAATTTCATTCCAAATGCACATTTATGTTAGTCATTTATATAAGACTGTATATATGTACTATCAGGCAATACACCAAAGACTCATACAGATAATGTTCTTACATACATACTGTATACTTCTAATATATCTCGACTCATGTACGTATATAGAAATCCTACCGGAGTCGACGGCCTATGGTGTTATACAGATGATCCGAATGTACGAAAGGATTGGTGCGATATTCCATTTTGTGGTAAGAAACCTGCAATTGTAAATGACAAAGACCGGGCGGTGTAGAACCGCCATGGGCATAGCCAGGAAACTACCTCATGAGATTATTATGGCAAAAATATATTCATATCATGTTTTAACTTAAAACTATGAAAATGATATATAACTAAAGTACTGGAATTAGATCCTCTTTGAATTAACCTCATCTTGCCTATTTTACAGTTGCAAAGTTATCACTATTATATCTAGTGAAAAATACTTAATTCTAAGTGTGCTTTTTTGATCATCCGAAAGAATGTTGGAAAGGAATCAACATTCGACTTTCTTATATACTTTACACCACCAATAGATCAACTTGAGTTTTTCTGAGAAAATGAGGATTTTGTGTCTATTACCATGTTGACATACATGATGGTATCCCGATGCTACATGTAAGTCAATAGTAAACCCCATGTAAAGTCAATGCACCCTTGCTGAAATCCTCATTTTCTCAAAGAACACAAGTTGATCGAGTCTCAACAAGTAGATTCATAGTGGTCGGTGTATTCTGATGCTGGGGGTGAGGTTTAAATTTTAAGAAACACAGATTTTCTAAACTATGTGTTCTAAACGGTGTCAAAACATGCCTCCACAGAGTATAAGATGTCTCTTTATTTCAAAGTTGTTGATGCTACGCAAGCATTCCAATCTTGTCTCCATTGAACACTCTTTCCACACATAAAAATCATGAAGATTCCTTAATTATCGAGAAAGATATTTCAAAATTAGTGGGTGGCATTTTTTGTGTCACCCTGTAATATGATTCAAACATTTTCTAAAAAAAATGTGAAACCATCTTTGGAAAAGGTGGCGATTCTCACTATTTATCCAAAAAACCGAATAAGATTAATATGTATAAATGTAATTGCTAGTGATACTAATATATTACAGAAATTACTCAAAGCACAAAGTTCACTAACCAACTTGAGTTTCGTGTGGAGCGTGATGGTGACAAAACTATCATAATCGAAGACAGTGATAACTTGCGTATTACAAAGGCTGGCGTAATATCTCAGTGGTCGGTGTATTCTGATGCTGGGGGTGAGGTTTATTTCCAAGTCTGGAGACCAACTGGCTCAACTGGACAGTTCACGCTCATAGGAGAAAACTATGTTAATGTGAAGCAACATAGAATCAACACGTTTGATATCGCTTTGAGTTCCAGAATTAACGTAAGTATACTAAGCAAACATGTTTTTCATGTGTTTGGAGCGTAGTTGTTAGGATTTGTAAAAGGTAGAGATTAAAAGATGGATTGGATCGAGTGGATTGGATTCATGTAAAAGGTGGATTGGATCGGGAATCTTCAAAATATGGATTTTTTAGTTGATTTCCCTCTAAGCAATTTCCTCCGTCCTAAAGTATTTTGTGATTACCTGAGTCCCTTTAAGGAATTGACAAAGCAATGACAAATACATGGACATTTCAATTAGTTGATAGGTTCTAAAGTATCTATCTGCTCTCCCTTGTAAATCAACATTAGTAAGACATAATAAACATAGATCTGTAGATAAAAGCTGTCATGTTGACGTGTGGGTGTTCCCCAGACATTTCTGCCATGTTCTATTTGAATTGAAAACAGATGATATGGATCTTGGACTTCAAAAGTCTGCCTTATGATTTGTGAAATGTCTAAAATTACCCTTGGAATGAATAATATTGTGTATCAGGTCACCTTTCTCATGTTTCTAGCCTACCCAAGCAAAATGATATAACATCTATTATTTGACATTGTGGAAGTGAGGAGAGCATTAATCGTCTGATGGGAGATCAATATAAATTTTTTAAGGAAAATCCATATTTTGAAGAATCTTGATCCAATCCACCTTTTACATGAATCCAATCCACTCGATCCAATCCACCTTTTAATCTTTACCTTGTAAAACGTTTAGGGAAATGTAAAAATGTGAGGCAAATTGCAAAAAGTTGTTGTAAGAGGCAAATATTTGTACTGTATTATTAAATCGTAGATACTCCTTATACATTCCTCAGTAATGTGAGTATCATGTGTCTAAAATGAGTAAAATATTTTGTTGTAATGTCCTGTATTTCGTACACACCATTCACGAATATTTTAATTGTAAAAATTAATCATCAACAAATAAAACAAGGCACAGGACGTGAACGAGATCACACCATCAAATAGGCAGACACTATGAACCAGGAAAACTGTTCTCCTATTATGTTTACAGAATTCAAGAACAAGAAAACAAGATGGCCGCCCAAAAGTTAATCAGCTGTAGTACTTGATATCCTCTATCATTTGTGTAAAGGAGCACGTAGGTTATCGTAAACAATTTCAGAAGGTTATATCTTGGATTATGACTATTTTCTGACAATGAAGACAGGTTTATCTTTTAGATCAATTCATTATCTCAAGGAAAATTATATACAGTAATAATAAAGTCAAACAAACTCGGAGATATTTAACTAGCAATCAACTCATCAACACACTTTTTCAAAGATGTTGACCCCATTTTCACCAAAAATGCAATCATTTTTTACAATGTTTAATGCATTACTATTCTCTATTTTGATGTATCAACTAGTTCTTGAAAGAAAAACTAAATTGCTTTAAGATAAGTGTTCCCCATGTTATTTCTCCATTGAAAAATCTCATGCTATCCATTGGTTTCAGTTCATTTTGGTCATCCAAATTCAGTATCTTTAAAGTCCCTGGAGCAATCAACTTTTCCTTTTAGGAGATCGAACATGTCTCAAAGCACATTGTAATTATGCATTCAACAATATAATAAAAGGTTGCATTTTTGGTTAAAATTAGGTCAACATTTTTGAAAAAGTACCTTGATTGGTCCATTGCCCCTTCAATATCACTTAGTTCTGATCAACTAAATTATCAATATATATACTTTTCTTGAAGATAATGAATGGATCTAAAAGATACTCCCATGTTCATGATCAGAAAATATTCATACTTCAAGTTAGAATCGTTTGAAATTGTTTGCGATAACCTACGTGCTCCTTTGAAGGAAATCCGATGAGCGGTTTTCCTGAAATGGCGATGAAAAGATTTTTCGAAAAACCTTCAAAATGGCCACCAGAAAACAAGATGGCCGCCCAAAAGTTAATCAGCTCTAGTACTTGATATCCTCTATCATGTGTGTAAATTTGAAGGAAATCCGATGAGCGGATTTTCTGAAATGGCGATGACAAGATTTTTCGAAAATCTTCAAAATGGCTGCAAGAAAACAAGATGGCCGCCCAAAAGTTAATCAGCTCTAGTACTTGATATCCTCTATCATTTGTGTAAATTTGAAGGAAATCCGATGAGCGGATTTTCTGAAATGGCGATGACAAGATTTTTCGAAAAATCTTCAAAATGACTGCTAGAAAACAAGATGGCCGCCCAAAAGTTAATCAGCTCTAGTACTTGATACCCTCTATCATTTGTGTAAATTTGAAGGAAATCCAATGAGCGGTTTTCCTGAAATGGCGATGACAAGATTTTTCGAAAAACCTTCAAAATGGCCGCCAGAAAACAAGATGGCCACCCAAAAGTTAATCAGCTCTAGTACTTCATATGCTCTATCATCTCTGCGAATTTGGAGAAAATCTGATGAGCAGTTTTCCTTAAACGGCGATGACAAAAAGCGGGACGATCACGACCACGATCACGATCACGACCACGATCACGACCACGACCACGACCAGTATGACGACTATATCCCACCGATGGTGTGATAAAAATAGTAGAAATTGATATCGAAATCAAAATGATTATAAGCATATTACCTGAACCTATCGACGCACGGATGTTTTATCTCAAGATCAAAATTCATTCATTTTAACCACTGTTGCAACTTTTCTTGATTGTAGAGCTACTGATATAATAATATACGAGTATAAATATGTTGATATGAAGAAATTGAATTTCAGTTTTATTATTCCAAACAATGGTGTTATTTCTCCCGAAGTAGCAGTGTCAAACCCCCTTGAAGAACCTTATGACAATCATTTTGCCATTAATTTCCAGGTAGAAGTTGGTGATGTAGTAGGAATATACCAGCCAACTGAGCCAACGCCAGTCCCTTACACAAAGTGTGCAACAGCTAGCAGTTCCAACCGCAAGGGATTCTCAAACGCTGCAATATGGAGACTATCCAGTAAAAATGATCATGAAGACTGGGGAGTTGGAACCACATTTAGCTTCAGCGATGAACGATGTCGAATTTACTCCATTGGCTTCAATGTGCTATGAATAAGCAAAAGTTGTACAAAGAAAATGGAATTTGATGAATGGAATATTTTAACGTAAATTTAATAAATATGTATTCATTTTCCTGCATTCAACGTATATTTATGTTACTTGTAATTTCTAGACATGACTTAGGAAATATTAATTCGAATCCAATGCGATCTATACATTAAAACAGAGTCATTTTAAATCCAAAGAAAATAAAAATCCTAGGTCCAAAAATAAATATCTTTTCGTGTGCTTTATTCTCATAGCTTCTCCGGGTAAAATGTAATGATACTTTCCCTGGAAAAATATTTTTGAAATCCATGCATTATAAAAAGGTATAGCAAGATGGGCACGATTTTTTCAACCAATCAAAATTGTGTATTTCTCCAAAAAACTCCAAAGGTGTGACATCATGAAATTTCCTAAAGCCGAAAACTGTTCAAATCAATGCTCCGATCCTATATCCATTGCCATGTTTTCCCAGTGTATAGATATTATCAACTGTTATATCACCAGGCTCGTAGCCAGAAAAAAGGGCTCAGGTGATGATTTTGAAAGAATGTTGTTCGCTCGAACCCATCGAACTCCCCTGGCTACGGGCCTGATCACAATGGGTCTAGCCAAGGATTGACAAATTGCAGTTTGAGTCGGTCGCTAGTCGGCCATAGAAAACCCGTAAAATGTTTATTAGATCCTACACTGATATACAATATTATTACCACCTTGCCGGGCCAGTTCTAGGGGTTTTAGTGCTAGTTTAGAAGGCGTTTATTTTACTATATCGACCTGAGAAATGTGTGACGTCATAGTGGTGGTCCATATGGACCGGTCTAGAATATATTCTGGACCGGCAATTTTCCCCGGGAAATTAGATATCGTTCAATGCGTAAGATTTTCTTGCTGTTTCAGTCTTGGTCGTTAACGGTGGTAATAATACTAATAACGTCATTTCTGCGAGCGATATAGTGAAATATTGGACCTTGGGCCTTTGGCCCTCGGTCCAATATTTCACTATATCGCCCTTAGAAATGACGTTATTGTACTAATAATTCGATGATCATAATTACTTTCCTAAAAAACTAATTCAGCAAATCAAGACAGTTTCGAGAGGATTTATTTCTTTTTATATTGAAGCAGACTCTGCTTCGGATACATCTTCATAATTGGGCGATTCTTTTTTAATTTTAATGACATCATGTAAACCTTACAAATAGTAAATGTTTGTCGTTCGGGGTCGGGATGGATACAGTTGTCTGTCCCGCCCGGACCTCGGCGATAGAGATATGTCCCGCATTCTTTGAACATACCCATGTTCAGTCAATACCCTTGCTGAAATCCAAATCATCTCAGAAAAACTCAAACTGACTGTGTCTCAACAAGTAAAATACTGATAGGGAGTATCAATACTATGGATTCCGTGTGTCTCAACAAATAGAATAGTATTAGTACAATGGATTCCGAGTATCTCAACAAGTAGAATACTGATAGCTAGTATTAGTACTATGGATTCCAAGTAGCAAGAAACGAGGTTCTTAAACAGGACATTAGCCTAGAGTTTTAGAACGTTTTTGGGCTCTACAACAGAACAATGTATGTCATGTGTCCTAAGATTTTATATTTTGTGTTTTGAGGAGTTAAATACTTGTACTTATAGTATATCAAATGTAAACTACTTTTCCATTTGTTTTTATTTCTTGAGACTAATATTTCAACAGGTTCTGTTCATATTATATTCTCTTCATTTAATGGGACAGCATCTTTTCCATTCAATCGAGGTTGGGCCATGCAGCCTAGGGCCACAGACGATTATAAAGTGCCATTGCTCCCTGGTACTGGTTGATGTGAATTATTCAACATGGTACGCCATGCAAAGCTGATAAACACCATTAGTTAAAGAACAGGTGTAAAAGGGTAGGAGGTCCCATCAATTTATGGTCCTACTCTCCATGGATTTATATGGTGACCTTCCCTTATCATCTTATACACAATCAGGGCCAATAAGGGCCATTAAGAAGGGGGACCATAATTTCTTTCACACCGGTATCACCAAGCTGGATAGTGGATACTTCATCGACTGGCATAACAGATTTTGTAAATTGAAATCATTGTTACTTCAAGAACTGGTATCATCAAATTGAATACCTTCTCGCCTTGCCCGGGATAACAGGCGTTGGGTATCAAGAATCATCGTAGAAAAATGTATAAGAGGGTGCTCAATGACAAGCTGTTCCATAGAAGAATGTTGTACACTATCACATCTCATTAGTCCAAGATAGCGTAAAGTCTTGCTCTCCCTTGCGATATATTTTACACCCTTGTCTGATATTCCTGAGCACCAACCTACATCCAGGTGCTCTACTGTCCTACTATGTTGCGCCAATGCTGTTAGTCCTGGAAATAGTAAAATTGGAGTCATTTTGAATGTATATAGTAATCTTGAATAACTTGAATAATATGTAGCCATTGATGTCAGACCTGGATGTACAATTTTATAAATTTTGAATAATACGTTTTAGTCATTTTGAATATATTCAGTCATCTTGAACAATTTTTGTCATTTGTATTTTGAATAATTTGTAGTCATACTGAATCACTTTAGTCATATTGTATTGAATAATCTTAAATATTGTATTTCTTTCAACATCATCGTTCATATTAGTTTGGGGATTAATTCTAGGACTTGACATTACTGACATTCATCTGTTTATACAATCGAAAAATTTCACAAAAATGGAACAGTAGCTTTCGATATAATTCATTTGGAATATGTATACGCAAAGTTGTACTTGTACTGGAGAGGAACTCTGGAAAATATGATTACAACTTAGAAATCAATTCTTCCATTGCTGGGTCTTTCACAAATCAATTCCATCGATTAGGAAGCGAGGAACATTTTCCTAATGAAATGTACTTTCTTTAAGAAGCCTTCCTCCTCACTGGTTTTTACGTCATGTAAACGTTAAAGTTGCAGTATGCGTTTGGCTGAAAACTTATATCGAAAGCTCTCCATCATTGGATTGAAAACTGAGTACATAGACTACCATACATCTTTTTACAGAATCTATATTATGATGGGAAATGCAGCTGATGAAATTGTGATTTTCTACTACACTTTTTTTACTCCTTTAATCTTTCATGTGATTGAATTTCATTCACTCCAACCTGTCTGGAGATTCCAAATATGACATTTAAAACAATTAAACTATTAAAAATTCAATTACAATTACAAACCTTTGTCAGTTATACTACAGCTCACTACAATTAATCGATTCAAACTTTTTGCATATTTAGCAACATGCTCCATAAATACATCATCGATTGTACTACATAAGGAAATATTCAGATCTGTCAATAGAGGGCAGTGTTGAACAATCCTCATAACTGGATCTCGAGTCAGTTTGGATATACAAGACAGGTCTAGTATTTTAAGGTGTTTAAGCTGAAAAACACAAAATGCATGATTAGCCATGGGGCATTTATTAGAATATAAGTTGTTATGGTCTAAATGTACCTTACTTTTGCCTACATGTACATTACAAGAGTATCCACATGATCATGTATGGGCTTTCTAAAGGATGATTCTATTTTTCACACTTCACATTGTTCACAGTATAATCAACGTATTTCTGATATCTAATGTACATGAAGCATTAGTATAATTAGCAAACAAACATTTTTACAATTAAGCGGTAAATGTATTGTTTATAAATTCTATTTTTGCAAATGATTTTCTGATTTCTGGTTGCCATTTGGAACTCAGTGTATATCTAATCTTGTTTTTTATGAACTGCACGCATAATTCCTTGTGAAATTTTGTGTAGGTTGAGCCGAACTAAGGGTGAAAACTGATTGCTATAATTTAACATATTGGCATTCAGTCAAGAGTGAAAACTGATTGCTATAATTTAACATATTGGCATTCAGTCAAGAGTGAAAACTGATTGCTATAAGCAGTCATGCAGCTCCAAATTTGAACCCTGAGGCTGAGTGTAGTAAGTAATCTCTGAGTAGAATGGGTAATCTCAATTTCTGGGTTCACCACCATATTGTAGAACATACAGTCCTTAAAGTGCTGTTGTTTTAACCACGAGGTCATGAATTCAACATGCATGAGCTCCCTATGTTTATTCATTCACTATCTTACAGAAATACACTAGACTTACCTTAGCAATGTGTATCAGGCCTGACTCTGAGAGATCACAGCTCATGCAGCTTAACTGTTCTAACAATGGACATCCTTTAATGAGATCCTCCATACAATTGTCTTTAACCTATGTATTAAAAATTGCAGACTTGTACAAAAATTGTCTTTAATAATGTGAACTGTTTGATACAATTATGGTTTCTTAATTTTTGTCATTGTTAGGTTAATTTATCAATTTAGCAAGGCATTAACATGAAAAATGTCACAACTTGCCATTTTTTACAGAAGCTGAACACCAACCGCCGACTGCGGAACACCGTCCAAAAAGTTAGAGACTATAGCAATATATGTCACCACAAAAATAACAAGGCATTAACATACAAAATGTCACCAACTGCTATTTATTACAGATGCTAGACACCAACTGCCAAACATCAACTGCCGACCACTGAACACCATTCACAAAATTAGAGACTAAACAATATGTCACTACTTCTGGTGGTGACATAATGAGAGTCAGCCTAAGGGAGGATTGCTATAAGATCAAAGTTTGAGGTGCATATGTTGCTCAACTTAAATACAAGTTTTACAAAGCTTACCTTTTGGCATTGATTGAGAATTAGAGTTCTGAGATTGGGGCAGGATGTAGCAATGTGTGACACTCCTTTACTCGTTATTTTCATACACTGGCTGAGGTGTAAATCTTGTAGCTTGGTACACCTTGAACATATCTGGAACAAGAGTTTAATGAAGTGAAGAGGCCTGTCAGTACACATTAATTGAACTTTTTGTGAAATTTTTTGTGAATTTTTCAAATCCTCCAAAATCATTCTAAACCAAAATTCAAATGAATGTTCCTTCACCATCTTATACATGTTGTCATATCTTTAAAAAAATTAGGGAGTATAAAAATTCTAGAGCAATGAACGACCAAAAAAACCTTAAAGCAAATGCAGTATAACTTTTTTTATTGTTCATTGCACGCCCCCCCCCCCCCCGGTATTTTAGATTTTAAACATAACAATTTCTCATGAGGACCTAACCTTTTCAAGAGAAGCATCAGTGACAGCATAACAGCTATCTAGGCATAGTTTTGTCAGCATGCGGCAGTGGAGACCGATACTGGAGAAGGCTGGCTCTGTCAATTGCTGACACCTGAATACATGATGAATAATGAGTAATTGCTACATTCACAAATACATCAATAAATCAAAGGATATAAAATGAACCATAAGGTACCCTTTTTTGACCGGTTCTAACCCCCATGTTAAAAACTTAATACATTAACACATGCTTGACCAAATACCATTGGTCAGTTCCATTTGTGTTTGTTTTACTTTATTCGTAATTTTTTTTTATGAAATACAGATATGCTAAGTCATATATACCTGGTTATTGCAACTTACACAATACACAATATGTACTCAAGAAGGAAAACAAACGCATTACCTATGTATTTATAAATATTGTCATTTGGCATATCCAATATTTTTCCTTTAGACTTGGATAGTCTGATTTTTTGACAATTTTCATATTTAATGATGTTCAACAGTTGTTCATTTACACACTTTTAGTGCCTGTATTTGTACTAAGAAACATGACTGCCTATCCATGATGTTATGATTCTGTCTCCTGAGTTAAAATCCTATGATGAGTTAAGAAAAATAGGTGTCACATTCTGAGCACACAATTAAGAAATTATAATTTTGCATATTTACTTTACCTGTTGGCAACAAGGCATTTTAACCTGGTGCATTGGTTCAGTGAAGCTTGGAATCCTATCGTGGTAACTAAGCGTACATCTGTTATATTAAGTGATGTCACATTATCACTATACGATAATAGTTTCAATAAAATAACATCATTCACTTTCATATGAGTTCTCAGATCAATATTCCTCCAAAGATCTTGGTCCTTGCTTAGTTTATTCCAATACTGACAAACGAGTGCCATTCTATGTAACAGATCATATAATGGAAGCTTTTTGAATATACAGAGCAATAGATTTTCTGGAAGATTGTTAATATGGAATTCATCTATTTTGCCTTTGTATAGATGTATACAGGGTTTAGAACTTGTCACATTTAATTCATTTGCGTTTCCTCTCCTTCTGTGCTCTGATGAGCTGTCATGAATTTTAGCTGGATTATTCAAACTTTCCGCTTCCCAAGGACACCTGCGTTTGTGTGTCACATTAGAAGACATGCCTGTGCTTGAGTTTGATTGATTTTCAGCCATATTTCTCAGCTTCTTCAAGTCTTTCTTCTCGAATAAAATCACTGAAAAAAACAAGGAGGAAAACAATATAATGAAGCCATGATAATTTACTTTGTCACGCTGACATTGTATACATGTATGTTTACATTTATATGTACCCTATCATGATGTAAAAGCAAATGTACAACCATTGACTTACAAACAATGGGGGGGGTGTATAGGGGGTCTTGGAAATCCATATACAATATTTTTCAGCTCTCTTATACCATATACAATATTTTTTCACCATATACAATATTTTTCACAGCTCTTATACCATATACAATATTTTACAAAAGTTTAGGTGAAATACAATATACGATAATTTTGAAACTGCTGTTGATCGAATATTTGATATTTATAAGGAAATAAATGTTAGGCGCGAATCCATGTACTACAGTAAATGTATTAAGGACCTCATAGGTTTACATGTTAACCCCCATATTTGTTTAACGACTGTTTTCTAAGCGGGGAACAAAAGAAATCCCAATAAAGTAAATAAATCTGTATTTTGATTCTATTCCCTAAAAAGTCCGCAATGTTCCAATGTTATATCTCCATTACATTCTGTCAAAATTTGATGTCAAAATTGATGAATTTCATGAAATGCAACAAAAATGGCAGATCCCATGTTAAACAAATGGGGAATGGTGGCTTAGGGGCAACTCAGATTTTGGAATATCTATTCAGCAAAACATTTATTAAAAATACTTTCTAAGTAGAAAATTGAATGATTTAACATTTTACATGCTAAATGTCTCGCTTATGTTGTTAAAATTAGCGATACGGAGCGTTAAAGTAATTTTGACCACCTCACTGAACCACCTGTGTTATTTCAATAAGAGGTTCATTAAAAAATTATTGAATTTGAAACCATTAACTTTTGTAAAGCCTGGACAATTAAATCATATTTTGTCAAGTAGACAATTTAGTAAATTTAATTATCTCTTACAATCTCAATTTTGAGAGCAATCGGATGGATGGATCGTTCCTCATATGACTTATGGCAACCCAACCATTCCCCATTTGTTTAACATGGGATCTGCCATTTTTGTTACATTTCATGAAATTCATCAATTTTGACATCAAATTCTGACAGAATGTAATGGAGATATAACATTGAAATGTTGCGGACTTTTTAGGGAATAGAATCAAAATACAGATCTATTTACTTTATTGGGATTTCTTTTGTTCCCCGCTTAGAAAACAGTCATTAATCAAATATGGGGGTTAACATGTAAACCAATGAGGTCCTTAACTTTTTTTGAGGAGTATATTATAAGGCACATAGGCTCCACATATTTACCACAATGATTTCATTTATTAAATTATGACTGAGACATTACATTCGGGTAGATCCGCATGTTCAGAAATTCTGTGGCTTCTTTTTATTTTCAGGTAAACAAGTTGATGTAAAACATATTTATGGTATAAGATTCTTGACTTCTCTTTATTGATTTCACAATCTACTTTGACCAAAACATTAACTTGACATCTCTGCAATTGGCTAAAGCCAGTATCTGTAAAAGTGCCATAAGAATATTCAAAATTAGCACAAAAATCGCATCATTGGAATGGATGGAACTCACTGTACCTCTTTCTTATGACCTACTTTCCCATAATTTATTTTAATATCAATGGAATCCTTCATAGAGAGTCGGGGGATTTCTGGACTAGAGTTTGAAATAAAGGCAAGATGAGACTTTTTTTTTATTTCAAAGAATAAGCATGTTAAAGCAATTGCAAAAAACAATTACAGTACAGTTACATGGTAAACCTACATTTAACAATTTTACAATACAGTACAGTGGTTAAATATTTCGTCTTAAGAGACGTTATACCATTGGCATTTTTGATTGTTTGATCATTTGAAACAGAAACGCTTCAGGGTTTCAGATAAGGCAGCCTTAAAAACAGTATAAGTCAAACAAAAGTGTGTCAAAATTAAGCAAATTTCCATAAAGGTCAAACCACTTGTTTCACGTATGATTTCAAGGCAAAGATGTGTTGATGAGAATGAAAACTACTCTATGTAACTCGAAATAACCTTCTTTTAAAGGACCATGGACGGTATTGCAACAGATTTCAGTCATATGTTGGATTTTGGCTATTTTCTGAGGATTTTAACAATTGCATGTGTTAGGCCATCATTAACTCCAGTACAAGCAGCCAAAGAGATGATAAAATAATTTGGACTTTAAGACAGGGAGGGTGCAAACACCCAATCAACATGTTTTTCTGTAATGTCCTGATTTCCAGTCCTTCAAACATCTGTTTTTTCAATATTTGTTGCATTAACATGTTGTGTTTTGAGACACGGTTAACATCTTGACAATATGATTCATGCTGAGGTTTTTAAGATATCACTTTTGGGTGACTAAAATTAAGCTGAAAACATTTATATATCACATGAGTTTTCCCTATGTGGAAATAACATAAGGAATATTGTTTTCCACTTTATCCAAATGAATCATATTTCCTTTAAATTGGTTGACTATGTCTACAAATGCAACATATTGATGCACCAAACATTGAAAAAACATATGTGAAAAGGGCAACATTTCAGAAAAACGTTTATGGGGTGTTTGCACCTTCCCTGTCTCAAAGTCCAAATCATTTTGTCACCTCTATGAGTGCTTGATTTGGTTAATGCATTGACCTAACACATGCACCTGTTCAAATCCCCAATCGATAGCCGAAATCTAACATGACAGTTTGAAATCAGTTGCGATACCTTCCGTGGTCAATTCTTTGATTAGTTTTAAGACCAAATAAACACCTTTTGCAATATAAGAATATCTTATGATGCTTGAATTAAAACATACGCTGTATGAACCCTTTATACTCAAACATTTTAATGATTTATCCCAAATACCCCGAAACACAAGTAGCTATAGTGACCATTTTTTTCATCAAAGTTGAGAAGAGTCAATGACATTTGGCATTCTTATTCGACACTGTATTTAACACCTCCTGTGAAAATTTGAATGAAAATGGCAAAACCTTTGAGAGTGATTTTCTCAAAACTTATTGATTGACATGGAATGTGGAACCAATTAGAGAGACTACTCTTTCATGTTTTCCAACACGATGACAGTAAAAAGTCAGCACAATGGAGATTTTCAGGGCACAATTTCTTCATAATTAGCCTTCCGAGGGCCCAAATTCTTTTTTAAATACATAATGAACCTTCTGGTGCCTTGAGATACAATATACCATATATTTTCTCTTATACCATATACCATATTTTTTTACCATATACGATAAAATTTGCCCCCTGTTATACAATATACAATAAATTTTCACCCTCTTATACGATATACAATATCCCTATACACCCCCCCCAACAATCACAGGCCTGAATAACAACATCGACCTAAACCTTAACAAGAAGATAGTAGACCAATTACAAAAGTTCTTACTATCAACTAATAGATTATAAACAACAATCACAATAGAGACACTGACGCTTTACCAAAACAGTCAATTAATGCGCTCTTTCAATGAATATATAAAACAAGTATAAGTGACAAGTATCAAGTGATAATTAGTACAAAGTGGAAATACTGTACCATGTGACAAAAGCCAGCATTACAGTGCCAAGTGACGTACACGATCATGGCAACGGATAAAGAAGAATGTACAGCAGCAGAGATTTTATGGAGACATAGCCATGTCATGTTTATATGGACTTGTGTATTACCGTATGTTAGTTTACAGTAAAAGGAGGGGGTGGGACTTAGTCTCCGTTGCTTAGATGCCTCGAGTTCGATAGAATTGAAATAAATATTTTACATCGAGATCAAAGCAATTTTGCATAACAATTGAGTTTATAACGATTTTAAATTACGATACGATATTCAGTGAAACCATAATCGTACCTTCTTTGATGCCACACAAAAACGCATGTAGATTTTGTTATTTGTAATCCTATTTTATCGACAAAAGGCTAAATTTGTATTCATTTAGATATTTTTTCATTTTTTCTGAAGCCATTTGTGAAAAACGTCATCGAGATTCGTGAAGTTTACTGACGTCATCAGAATTAAGCACAAGCACCTGTCATTCTGTAAAAAAGATATATTTTTTTCGAGGTCTCCTCTGCCGAAGGCAGCGCGAAGTAGGAGCGTAGCGACTACTTTGCGGGAGACCTCGAAGGCCAAAATGCCCTAATACGTCACTTCCGCTGAATAGAAAAAAAGTAGTATACAAAAATAAATGTAGTCCCAACACAATTGTGATCATGACGAGTCAGTAAGCGAGTATGTAGGCACAGTTGTCATCTTTTTGCAATGACAACATGCCATTTCTTCTGAAAATGCGTTTATTTGGGTTATCCGAAGGAAAATTTCGAGTCAAGTGGCGTATTAATTTTGCCTTCATTTTTGTGAATTTAAATTTGTGTCTGCAGAGAGAGGGGGTAGTGTCACAATTGACCAATTATTTCAAAAAGTAGATGATTGGCCCCTATTGAGTTTAGTGTCAAGATGTAGCTTAGACATAGCTTTAGAACCTCAGATAGGCCAGTGAGGCCACATAAATCCATAACTCGAGATAAAAAGTCAGGCGTTTGCCCTTTTGCCCATTGACTAGTATGGTGACGTGAATTAGGGCAGTTTTGCCTATTAGTCACATGTGAAAGTGACCGAAATTTTTTAAAACTACTCAGAATCGCCCAGAATTGAAGTTTATTAGTGTGAAACATATTTTGGACGGAGGCAAAAAGGGGAATTTTCATGAACAAATTTAATGTTTTTGCTGAATCAGCAATTTTCGCTTTTTACCCCAAAAACCACTGATTTTGACGATATTTGGCTACAATTTTGTCTTTAGTGACCCCTAAATGTCATTTGTTGTCGTAAATGGGGAAGCCAACGAGTTGCTATTCATAATAAAGATTGAATTTTCCATCTTATGGTTTCCATTATAGAAAGAAGGTACATATCGGGGGTGCAGTCAGAAATTGGTGAGTTAAGTGTCAATTTTTGATGTATTTGTTCACTCTGAATGACTACATTCGAGCTAAAAATATCTCAAAAGTCCCAATTCTCTAGGCCAGAGTCAAAACTGATCAAATTTGTCATCATTTTTCAAATCAGGAGGTTGTTGAATGGAATAAAGTATGAAAAAGTGATGATTTTAGTAAGATTTTGCCAAAAAGTGGGCCAAATTTGTCCAATTTTCTGGTTCATGGTTCAGTGATTTTGGCTAAAAATCGCAATATGCAATAAAATACTCAATTTCTTGACACGATACTGAAAAATGTCACCATCAGGCAGTGGATTTCATGATGTAAATGAAAAACTAGTCAAATTTAAAGGAAAACCATTGGGTTCTTGGAAAAATGACCCCAGGGGTAAGGAAGTAGCCATATTTTTCATAATTGCTGTCAGAATATTCTTAAACTGCACAAAACTACTTAAAAAACTCTAGTAAATTGGAAAAACGCAATTTAAAGCCAGAAATCATCCAACCATGTGGCTATTAGGCCAAAATGCCCTAATACGTCACTTCCGCTGAATAGAAAAAAGTAGTATACAAAAATAAATGTAGTCCCAACACAATTGTGATCATGACGAGTCAGTAAGCGAGTATGTAGGCACAGTTGTCATCTTTTTGCAATGACAACATGCCATTTCTTCTGAAAATGCGTTTATTTGGGTTATCCGAAGGAAAATTTCGAGTCAAGTGGCGTATTAATTTTGCCTTCATTTTTGTGAATTTAAATTTGTGTCTGCAGAGAGAGGGGGTAGTGTCACAATTGACCAATTATTTCAAAAAGTAGATGATTGGCCCCTATTGAGTTTAGTGTCAAGATGTAGCTTAGACATAGCTTTAGAACCTCAGATAGGCCAGTGAGGCCACATAAATCCATAACTCGAGATAAAAAGTCAGGCGTTTGCCCTTTTGCCCATTGACTAGTATGGTGACGTGAATTAGGGCAGTTTTGCCGAACCATTGATCACGTTTGCTCCTGTAATTATTCACTTCTTCACCTCTTTAAAATGTGATTTCAATCAGTTGATCAAATTTTCGAACTTTGACCTCAAATTCAAATATTAATATTTATAAGAAAAAATACTGACTCATTATTTTATTTTTAAAAGTCTTTCAAATAAAGTGAAATGAAGCCAAAATCAGCTAAGATTATGCAATGTCGTAAAATGGCGTGACTGGAATATGATGCAATCACCTGTGACGTCAGACACGTATTGCCGCATCAACAACTAAACAAACAATTAACATAGACTTCACTGATTGGTTTGAAGATTCTTCGCATCATTTGTGACGTCATAAACATGTTACCCAACCAACAACTAAACAAATAACAAATTGGCATATAGGTTCGTTCAGTGCAACGCTCTTTCTTAATCAACAGATAAGAGGGTCGGGCATTTTTTGACTTGTTTAATCAATGCAATACATTACGGTATGTATGTTGTGTCATATATTTTCCTCTAATAAACTACAAAATGCTGGATTATACCATTAAAAATATAAATTTTTTCACAAAATGTTTAGCAAAATGTAAATGTCTAACTCACAGAGTGACAGGTCAATAAATACTCATTCTCAGCAATTGGTCTTGTGACTTTGACATTTCAACACTGAAACTGAGTATTTCAAAGTGAACTGTAGCTGTTAGGTAAGTATGCGATGTTTTAAATGATTTATATTAAATATTAGAAACCCCATTATATCAGGCACGTTCTATGTAGAGTGATCTAGACTGTTTAGTTGATATTATTTCAATGCAATGATCATTAGTCTAATAGATCTAAAATAGGCTAAATGTCAAGGAAGTTCTCAAAAGGAAAATGAAAATGAAAATCAGGATGTCTATGTTTACTCACGTCGAGAGCTACCATGTTGGATTTTGAAAGTATATACTTTCAAAATCTAAGTAGCTCTCGACGGGAGTAAGTCTACATGTATGTCTATGTCAATAATCTGCAAAAGGCTGATAAGCCCATATAAAGCAGATATATGTCTCTTGGGTTAAATAATTCTAATCATGAAAGAATGCTACTGTGGACATTTTGATTTATTTCCTGCATTTTATGGTGATTTGGGAAAAAATTTAAAAGTAATCTGGGAATTAAGAGCGAAGCTGTCGCTAGATCTACCTATCAATAATTCTTGTGCCAATGCGCAAGTCTACACTCCGAAGTTTATATTTATGTTTAGGCATAAGCTTAGATTAAACAGGCAATGCGCCTATTTTTGAAGGAAAAAGGACAAAATATTATTTGAGACATGTCACTCACACAGTCAATCAAATATGATAAAAACTTTAATTTGGAATAATACTGAAGTGAAAAAAAAATTACTCGCATAGAAAACAGCATTTGAAGTTCAGAGATTGAAAAAAGTGAATTACCACTTTTCACAAAGTGTATGTTTTGAATAACTTTTGGATTAAAAGATGGCGTATGCTTGAAAATCCTGTCAAAACTGAATGGATAATTAATGCAAACAACAATGCCATCTTTCTATGGCATTGCTAAAAACTTGACATATATAAATTGATAGATCAAAAATATTTTTTCATGATCTAGTGTCAACTCTGATGAGGTCTGTTTGACCTTTTTTTGGTGTCAGATGAAAGATTGGGTGTTTATTAATCCATTGGAAATACTACATGTATGAAGATCAAAAATGAGACTTCATTTACGCACTTTGTCCCTTTAAATTTAAAGATAGGCTACGGCCTGAACAAACAGTAATATCCCATTATTATTGCTTATATGATATCTCATACATACATGTACCTGAGAATATATCTTGAGACCAATTTATGGGTATAAAGTGGTGATTGGTGAACATAAATAATGAATAACACTATGAAAAAGACATTCTGTCACATATGTCATAAATTCTTACCTCAGTGAATTGAATACTCTATTTTGTCCATCCCGGAACATACAAATATAGTGGAATTTGTGTCCATAATGACAAAAAGGAACTTAAAAATTTGAACTGATATTCACATGTTAATGCCGACTCTTCAAATGTGATTTTGGGGCCCCGCAAGGAGGATTGGCTCCCAGAATGTAAGATGACACGTGCCAGCTTTCAAAATGCCGTTCCACCATTTTGAAACCTGTCACGAGTAAATAAGGTAAACCCCATGGGTAAACTGATGTTGCATTTTGGGAGTCAATCCTCCTTGGATCACAAACATTGCGATTCATGAAAACATTCGTTCGATTTGGTTGGAATTTATCCATCATTTGCAGGTATGAAGCTTTTTCATTTATTGTGCTACTAAGAGTGAACGGGTATTATTTTTCTACCGCCTGGGAGAGTTTGAGACATGAAACTTAGAATTCAGCTCATTGTGACAACTTTTGATGGTTGAGGTTTATTAATGTCTCCGACTATACTTATTGCCGATATATTGAGAAAATCAACAGAACAATCAACTGTCGGAATTGAACACAATTAAGTTTGATCGTGGCAATCGAGGGAAAACCCTTTCAAATGACAAGAGCACACGAGCATCAGCAAATTCGGCACGTGCCTATTAAGGTGCCGTGGTACTTAACAGGAAATGACAAAATAGAAAGTGACAAAACTATGCTGGATTGCAAACATTTTTTAAACAAGATAACAGAGTTCTGTTTTGACCTCCAGTCAGTTTAATTAGTTGCACATATTATTTATCATATGACCAGGATCACAATGTACATAGTCAGAATGACCCTAAACATGATGAAATAACTTTTTCAGCCCTCTGAAAATATGACTGAAAAATAGCTAAAAGTAGGCGCTTAGGAAATGTCACTGAACAGAATCTTTTGAATTTTTCAGAAAATGTCCCCAATAAATTGCTTTAAATGATACAATCTTTGAAATTTTAGAAAATTGTCTGAAACAAAAATGGCGGTCATAGAAAGGAAAATAGATCGCTTTTCAATTCAGTTCTTTTCATTTTTTTCTTTTTCTATGAATGATATCAAATCAAGCATACTTTGCCACAGCCTCAAGTAAACCTGAGCAAAAAGCAGGTAAACAACTATTTGAGGCAAGACGAAAATGTCCAGTCTCTCGTCTGAGTAGTACAACTTATACACTATTAGAGCATTAGAAGTAGAGCGGTGATATTACTGCTAATAATATTTACATGGAGGACTCTGAGTTTTTAACTCCACTTTTTTTCTTTTTACAGAATTAACATATCAAAATGGCATCATGTCCTGCAGTCACTGCTATGGCAATATTCCTAGTGGCATCTATATGTGGTGTCATTGCTATGGCAACATCATACTGGATGGAGTTGGACATAGCCGGAGCAGTGAAAGTACTAAACCACTGGGGTCTTTGGCAGAAATGTACTCAGAATTGGGGATGTAAATGGGTCTATGATAAGGATGTAAAAATTAAGGCTGGCTATGCAGGTGAAATATACTTTGTTGAATTTTGATAAAAAGTATATGTGAATTATGTACAGTTTGGACTATAAATAAATGAGTAGTTGATTTCCTATCACCATTTCCAAACATCTTTTACAGATGTAATATTAATTTATTAGAAAGGGTACAAAATGTTCATTAAATTTTGTATATGATAATCTAGTTCTGATAAATACAATAACTAGCATATTTCTGGAATAGTGGTCCTGACCAGAGTTTTGTTTAGGACCAACTTTTCACCTTATAGAGACCATATGTAGGCCTATTACATTGCCACTGGAAAATGACATTGCAACTGGTCCATAGTTCACCAGAGTGTCTAAAATCCTGATAACATACCTAAATTGGTAAAAGTGAGTTATATTCTGGTAAAAGTATGCAGTCACCTAATACAGTATGTATGAATGTTTATTTTCTAGGTTGCGGTAATTTTCACATAAAATAGCACTTTTGGAGGACATGACAATCAAAAAATAAACCTGTCATAAGTATTGTTTTTTGTATTTTTTATTGAAGAAAAATCTATTTCTGATCATTTGACACAAAAATCCTGAAGTATTCGCATCTCTTAGTGTCTCATTCGGTCATCCAAAGTTTGACACCATCAGAATAACAGCTGCTATATGTCTCAAATTTATTGTATCCCATTTCCACAAGAATTGCACATTGTCACTGGTAAGTTTCTGGAATGGAAGAAAAAGGTAGAATTAATAATATAAAAACTGAAAATATTGGAATTTAAATATCTTTTCACAAAAAATCACTTTTTTTGATTATCTTATAAATTTTTATTCCACTTAGTGATGGTTTATTTATTCTCTAGTTCATCTTACTTAAGTTAGAGTGACAAAGATATTAATTTCTTGTACAGAAAACAGTCTTTAATCAATGAAGTAACATTTCCTTGTCTTAAACAAGCAGGTATGATGATGCTTACAGTTTGTTACACAGGTAGGTGATATTACGGATGCTACATAAAAATGTACAATGATACCCTTTTCATTTTGAAGTGTGGAGCTCTCAATGCTGTTTTATGGCTGGCATATTTAATCTGAAATTGTTAAATAATAAGTTACAAGAGACTTAAAATATTTTTTTGTCAGGTACAAATATGAAATGCATAATTATACAAAAAATTCAAAAAAGATGCTCAAGCAAGAATACTTTTGTGGAACATTTATATATTGACTGTCTAAAAGAAGAGAATATAGTAGTATCCTGTTACTTGAACATTGTTTAGTGATAGAAAATATAAAACAACTGTGTAGATTGCAAGTGTTTAATCTTATATACATTCAAAATAGAATAGAAAAAATTACGGATGCTACAATTAGTAAAGAATATAAACATATGAACTCACATTGGTTAGGAATTGTAAGTTTCCATAAACTAGTAACTGCATCTACTTGTTCTTCTTGTCATGTATCTTCATAATCAGATATTAGGATATCTGCAATATATAGACATATGATACACTTCAGTGAATAGGTATTTCATATAATTATACTTCTCTAGAGGTGAAATTAACAAAGTCAGCTCGTGAGAAAAAATAAAATTATCAATTGGAAATATCTAGTTATATGTAAAATGTTTTATAATATTTAATACTAATAGATAATAGTAAAAATAATATCTTATAAATATGATATTCAAATGCTACAATTTAGAATTATAAAAACATTAAGTATTTATGCCTACCTCTTATTCCACTAGTACTTAATATTATGATGTCTGATGGTAAAATGTCAGTTCATGTATTGGTAAAGTATTGATTGCATACACATTATTCACCCTAGCTTCCACAAATAAAAACAAAACAATATGGTTCCAATTGAAAATATAATGACATGTAGCATCTATTTTGTTTTCATTCCATTAATCTACAGTAAAAGGAATGCTATATGTAAAAAATGAAAAATTGTGATGCGTAAAAATGAAATGTCTTTTAATAATACTTAATGCAGTCAATTGTTGTTGAGGACAAACAGTAACATCTTATAACATAAGTTTGCAATGTTTAGTGTTGCAGTTGAACAATTATCTTATTTAACTTTACAGTCTTTTGTGGCTGCAGTTGAACAGTAACATCTTACTCTAAGTTAGCAACTTTAACTGTTGCAATTCTATAGTTTATCAACAATATTGTCTTGTGCTATCACAAGACAAAATCGTGTTTAATAACTAGCAATACCAATGTTACCACCATCTTACCCGGTCCTTAGTACTCGCAATCCTTGATTATTGATACACTTATTTGGAAGGTTATTTGAGCTTACCCGTTGGTATTGATACACTTATCTGTGTTTTTAGGCCCGAATACTGAGGTTTATTTTTTTAATTATTGAGTCTTATTCTATTGCATTAATATGTAGTTGACTTTGTAACTACGGACGTGATATGATAGGTCTATTACATAATATGTATATATAAATATCGTGATGATTAATGAATCTAGATGAAGAGTAATCATTAAAACAAACTTAGACGACATTTAATATTTAAAGAAAAATAATTTGATAGATAACTTATGCATGTATAAGTCTCTTAGTAAAAAATTTAAGGGAAACGGGTTTCGTGATTTAACAGAGGACAGCAAGGTATTAATGTTGTTGTCTACGATCCCGGTTCACGCTATTTATTTACAGTTTGTAGATTAAAGATCCTTATTTAAAGACAACGTCGTCTTTATGAATTATTTAAGACATCAGTAGTCACAGAAATTGATTATCCGAAGAGGATACCGAGTTCTGACCAGCAGACGAACAATTGCAGACATGGGTTAAGTTTGTTTATTTAACAGTTAGATTTGTTGACTTACTGATCCGTATTGTAATCTCTGGGAAGACGTTATTTTTATTTATTCTATACTTTGTATTTGCGTCCAATGTAATAAAGTTGATACTTTTATGAACAAGAATTTCATTTTCATGGCCATTTTGTATGCCTTTTATTTCCACACCATGTTTTGATTTTGCCTCGATGTTATTGTGTCATAGTGTTTTTGCTGTAAAATTCAAGAAATGTCAACTTTTTAATTAAGGAATGTTGGTTACTCTCTTGTGGTAAATCAAATTGTTGATGATGTCAACGGATCATGAGATAACACATTGCCCGGGGAAAGATATCAATATCAGTTGTATATCGTATATAAAAATAAATATTATAGTAGATGCTAATTGTTTGCTCTGAAATAATGTGACTAATGACTATTCCAGCGAATCAGGTAGATATTTCAACGGTTTTCGCGTAATGAAAGAATTTAGTTTTCGTTTCTATTAATTTGACAAGTAGGGTCGTTGATAAACACATATAACTGTAAAAGTATTTATTGGAAGTACTTGTTTTAACAGTCTTTTTGCTTCTCTTTTTGTCTCTCGACAGGCATAGGCGTAGCCAGGGGGGGTGGGTTGCGGTGCATAACCAATAAAATAGAACCTTTTTATTGGAGTTTTTGGTAGACTTTCTCTTGCTTTTTTCTTGAACCTTCTCTCATTTCTTTCAGTTCCAAATGGGTTTTCTTGTTTTTTTTGCTCTAATTTTATACGCATCCTCCAACGTTGTACCCTAGATACTTCCGCCTTTTTTTCAGTCTGTCTTGCAGTCTCTGCTTTCTGTTTTTAGCTTTTTGTTCTTTTCTTTTCTTCTCTGCCATTATCTTTTTACCTGCAGAAATCCTTTTGTCTTTTTCTGAATCTCTTTCCACATTTTTCTTCTTTTTTCTATAAGCACGCATTCGTTCTCTTTGTTTCTCCTTCATTGCTTCGTGTAAAGGTTGATTTTTCATACATCTTTTTTTCAGCTCTTTTCTTGCTTTTTGATTTCTTTTACGATCAACTTCTTTTACCTTTTCATATTTAGATTTGTCTTGTTTTAATTTCTCTCGATATTTTCTCACATTTTCTCTGTTTTTCTCTGCTGAAAGTCCCATTTTGTCCTATGTTGCTCTTAGTCTTGATCTATTGGTTTCATAAGTTCACTTCTGAAGTCAGACTTTGTTTTTTTACATTATATAATATAAACAAAATATGTAGCATCCGTAATATAGTGTGTTTGATGTTATTAAAGAAATAGTGTCCAATTTTTTTATTGTGCCAGTTTAATTTTAATTGAATGAATGATTCCTGAAATAAAAATGTTCATCCTTTCCATAGTTTGATATGAGAAGTTTAAAAAAGAAAAATATGGTTTTGGTTCTTTGTCAACTCTCATAATTAAATACCCCTTCTGTTCCTAAGGATATCAAGTAATTCTAGTCTGTATCAATCAATGTTGCAATATGACATGTTTCATAATACTGAAGGGTTGTGTTTATTTCTCTTTAACTGGGAATAAAGGACATTACGGATGCTACATTGTCTATTACGGATGCTACACAACCTAGATCAGCTCAGGACTCTGAAAAGGAAAAAACACAGAATATTTAAATATGCTATTTTCTTGAGGGCGGGGTATTTGTTAAATCTAGAACAATAAAAATTAAAAATATTTCTCAGTTAACATGTAATTTAGTTTTTTCTACAGATTACGGATGCTACACTTTTTTGTCTCTTAGATATATTTAGACTTTAAATAATAATATTTCTGTTTATTTGAAAGATTTACATGTTTTCATATTTTATTTGCTTATAACTATCAAAAGGCTTTATTAAAACACAAAAATAAAGAAATAAAAATATATATTTTACCTGTTAGTTGATGAATCAAAAATGTTAGTGCTGAAAATTCAGAAAGTCGTAACGGAGGTAGGCTTATCTAAAAATGCTATAACTTTTCTGTTGTTCGATGTTATTTGTTGAAATAAACGGCAAAATAAAGGAAACTGAAAATACTAAAATAAACATATAACTTTTATATATAAGTTTATTCAGTTTTTTCTCAAAACTTATTCTAAAATAGCTTATTTTAAAATGTCCGTTCGTAACGCTGAAAAAAGAGAGAATTTGACTCTTATTAATGCCATATACAATTTAATATGGGTTCCCATAGTTCTAAATGTGTTTGATTATGTAGAGTATACCCCAATGTAACATATTATAACTCCAACACCAACATATACCTCTTATTTATTAATTTACAGACCTGTAACATCATTTTTCTCAAAAGTGCTATTTTATGTGAAAATTACCGTTGGTTTCAAGCAGTCCAAGGGTTGTACACAGTAGGGCTTGTCTTTGGCATATGTGCAGCAATAGGCTCTATGGTTAACCTGTGTTCTGGGGGAATCACAAGATGCTGTACAAACTTTACTGCAACATTAGCCTTTATAAGCTGTGAGTATTTACAGTTTTACACGCTTTACTGTAACATTAGCCTTTATAAGCTGTGAGTATTTACAGTTTTACACGCTTTACTGTAACATTAGCCTTTATAAGCTGTGAGTATTTACACGCATTACACGCTTTACTGTAACATTAGCTTTTATAAGCTGTGAGTATTTACACGCATTACACGCTTTACTGTAACATTAGCCTTTATAAGCTGTGAGTATTTACACGCTTTACTGTAACATTGGCTTTAAACATGAATAAGTAGAGGTACAGATATTGGATAAAATATAATACAATCAGTGCCTCTGACTGCTGACCATGTCATTGAGTTGAACTAATTTTTGATATTTGAATTGTGTTGAATGAATGACAAATAAATCCTATAATCCAAATTAAAACAAAGCAAAATATGATATGACAAAATACAATAATAACTTGTTATTTTTCAGTTCTATCAATGGCAGCAAGTCTTGCCCTGTTTGGAGTAAAGTACCATGATATCTACGGGGACATCCCTCAAGCACCCTACCAGTTGAGCTGGTCTTTCTACTTTGCTGTATCAGCCACCTTGTTAGAGATCTTAGCTATGGTGCTGTATCTTTGTGTAGGCTGTTGTAATATGGGAGGAAGTGGTGTACGAAGCTACCAAAGAATCTAGTCAGGGGAAAACAACTTTTTGTGCCCCCTCCCACCAAGACTCTTAATCTGTAGTTGTAAAAAAGGTCACCAGTTCTTTACATGATATTGATAGTGGACAGGGAAAATATCGAGAGACCACAATTTACCCATAAGACTTGTTAATAGATAGAGGAATATCCAAAATATATCTTGATATATTCACCATTTTGCACAAACCGTGAGTTAAGTGCCTTGTTTCAAAAACATAATGAGGCAAACATCAACCCTTTCCTTTAGAAGAAACAATGTAAGTTTTGATATAGAGTTCAGTTTGAATTTCGAAAGCCTTGTCACCTCTTTTGGAGGATTTAATTCTTGCTTAATGTCAATCAGTTGCACTTCAACAACTTACTACTGTACCAAACCTAGCATATCTTGAAATTGCTGATAATTTTTAAGTTATGTGTTAGGGTTATTTGATTATACATGTATGTAATGACAAGATCATGATTCATGTTTGAAATTGACTGCTTTTTGTGCAGTTTAAGAAATGCAACATTTAAATTGCAATTGTTACGATAATGAAAATACATGTATGTGTGTGAATTATGAAATATTTTTTAAATTGCCAAACTTGTAATGTTAGTACAGGATGTACATGTATTACTGTTGTTTTTAAAGATTAGTTTATTAGTATATGTAAAATTCGCCATAAAAGTTTAGAATCAAGATTCCAATCAAATTGGCATGGATTTCTAGCTATGTTTAAAAATGTCATGACATCTCATATTTTTATTATTATAAGTTTATAGTGAAATAGTTTTTACATGTTTCATGTGCATCTCAGTATTTTTACACCTGAAAATATATTTGGCACTGTTGTATAGTACAGTAGTTGCACTTTTTGTTGGAAGTAGATCTACTGTTGTATAGTACTAGCACTGTTGTATTATTGAATTATTGTACAGTTGTAGGACCAGGTTGTACCAGGTTGGTTGTAATGTATGTTCTCGGTTGTTCATTTATAATATAGACTAGCTTTTATACTTCATGTACTATTCTATGCCATTTACATTTATGTTGCAATATAATCTATAGCGAAAAAAAATTATCATGTAGTTTGTTATTGTGAGGGCACATGGAGATGTTGTAGCATCATAAAAGACGGAGAAAATCCAAGTGAATATAATTTATTATCTCTTTAAAAATTGCATGAGAGCCAACAAAAAGTTCTAAAAAGCAAGCCCAATGTCCTATTTAAGAACCCCTGTAAAACTATTGAAAATTGATTCTAGCAATACCCACATGAATTTACTTGTTGAGACTTCTGAGAAAATGAGGATTTCAGTAATATTCCCCAAAACCCTTTTCCCATACTTGATGAATACAAAACAAACATACATTTTGTTTTCCTATTATATATTTTATTGTTTTTGTTTACACAATTCTCTATAAAAGCAAAAACACATCCTAAAATATTGGATAACCCCAAAATAAAAATAATTGGAATTCAATGATAACACATGTATATAATTATGACTGATGGCATAGTTAAAAATTAAAAAATACATAACAATTAAACAACATCAAATTAATAATATTTTCTAAGATGTGGCATATATGTACAGCGATAACAAACTATGATTTCCCTTTGGGGACCAACCATGACATTCTGGGGAACTTAACTTGCCCTAGAAAAAGGTATTTGGCCAAAAATATCCAATATCCAGTACACTCATGTCAGGTTTCTAGTGAAAAGGCAAGATTTTCAGGATGAAAGTCAGGTTTTAGGTAGTTTCTAGCTAAGTCAGTCCCCCAAATCGAATGGCCTCTCCCACATTCTAACATTTAAAGCACTGTCACAAAATACAAATCCTAATATAACAGACTAGTATGACGAGCACTTGTGTGTTAAAGATTATGTTAAAATGCATCCATTTGTGTTGTAGAACCACAAGGCATTAATATGCAAAATGTCACCACCTGGCATTTGCTAAAGTCATATGGTGTATGGAGACAATAATTTTGACAAAACTCACACAAATACTAGTCCATTTATGTATCACCCCTTCCCTATTGGACAATTTGGCAAAAACATTATTAAATCATAGGTCCTGGGATGATAGATCGAAAACTTGCAAAAACATAATTTGAAAAGAAAGCTCAATCTGATTTTGTGCTCGTCTCAAAAACCAAAAATACAGGTACCCCTTCATGGTGCCATTTGGTGATAGATTTTCAGGAAAACTTTGAATTTGAATCTGCCCACCTTAATTTAGAAATTCAGGCACATTTCTCGCCTCTGAAATCAGGTTTTGACAATAAACAGGAGAACATAGCCAAGATTGGTTACCTTCTCAAATTTGGTATATTTGCAAGATGAACACCTCTATCTTTTAAACTCTACATTTTAATTGGATCACAAACAAGACAAACTCAACTTACAAAGTTTTTAACTTTCATTGTTTTTTTTTGATTTATTAAAATCGTGAGTATTATAATGGCAGTATAAAGCCTACCTCTACACATGCCCATATTGTAGTTTTCATGTTCAGGCTTAACAAATGTACCATTATGCTATACATAATATATTACCTGGTTAAGCTGCTCTGTTCATATGATATAACACAATATCTGTAACAAATTCTTTATATGACCTAGCAATATTTGGATGGATACACAACAATTCAAATATACATCAAGCAAGCATAAAATCTTTTATGTCTTATACCGTAGTGTATCATAGCTCATTTGACAGGCTTGCTTTAAATGGGTTTTCCTCAATAAAATAAAATTTTACAACAAAATACTTAAATGACCAGTTGAGAAAAGTTTCTATGCTACATTTATCTTCACATATTCCATTGCACCGTAATTCTATTCCATTCTCACATTTTCTATTTCTACCTCCCATTCGGAAAGCACACTGGCAAATAAGGAATACCAAAATTCAAAGATCAATTAATTCTACAATCCCTACACTTTTTCACTTAAAACTACTCTCCAAGTAAATATTTTCATAGATGCCCTAAAAAGACTGTACAAAGACCTCTCCCACCCCAACTCATCCCTGCATTATCTTTGGGTTGATCACCACATGGATGAGGGGGGATGGGCAGAGATCTTGTAGTTTCTTGCACCTAAAATGGCACTTTTACCATATAATCTCTCTTTAAAATACTGACTTATTTTTCGCTAAGCTACATAAGTAATATCTGAAGCATCCATATATAGACATTGTAACCAAAATAACCATGACAAGTCTAATAGTTCAATGCCTCACTTTGATATATTTTTTAGTCCCAAAGAATGGACTTTTATTTGAATCATGAATCTATAGCATATCACACTATACATCTATACCTGTGCAAGGATGTATTGTATATGTCTTCTCATAGTTCAATATTATAAACATCCTCCGATCACAGGGCTTCAAAATCCATCTTTTTACCCCCTGCGATAAGCAGTGACCATTTCACCGATTGAGAACTCGCAATCTGATTAGCTGTTGCAACACTTCGATAGTAAACATGTATTAGTCATTGCGCATAATTAGATCACATGATTCAGTTAAATCGGTCGCTCCCAAATTGGTTATAGCAGGGGGAAGAAGGAGGTACAAATTCTGGACACCTGCTTAGGAGGATGTATTATAAATAGACCTAGGGTAATTTCACACTCAGTTCTAGAGTTTTTTTCTCAGTCTGGTGCAAAACTCCATGAAAAATCACATTGTGATTAAATGGACAACAATTATTAGATAACATGTCTTAAATTGTCTTATCTTTAAAAGGAACATTTCAGACTTTAATTGGTTCACATTATTGGCACACCTTGTGTGAATTTACAATATTTTGTTCGGGCGAACCCCCCCCCCCCCCCTGGCCAAATATTCTTTCAAAATCATGCAGTTTTTCACCATTTTGAGCACTTCTCAAGTGATTTTAGCCATATTTGGGCCTAAATTGTCAAATGTGAACCCCCCCTGGAAATTTTTGAAAACTGAACCCCCCCTTGGCAAATCCTGGCTACGGGCTTGTGTATGAACATGTAAGTTCCCCATTTTTAACTTTACATATTGTATACAAGTTATAAATTGTGTAAATAGTTTAATAATTTCATTATTATGCTTTATCTTATTCAGCACCATATTAAATCACCATACTTTAAAATGTAATATCCCAAACTCCCATGCGTAGCATTATTTTGATTAATGAGTTAATAAAATTCCAATTAATTTTAAATTTTCTCTGTACATGTTCAGTAAAACCTGTCTAATCTGAACAGCACTGAGCAAGCAAAAGTGCCCTGATTACTTAGCAGTTCATATTTCAAGATTTCTTAATATATGTGCCACTGGTAAATAAAACAAATGGAACAGAGAAAAATTAAATTCAGCATATATAAAATACTTTATACCCTTGCTGTATGGATGAAAAAGTGTTCACAGAGAAAAGTGTTTGAACTTGAGACGTGTTCAGATATACAGGTTTTTCTGAACTATATTTTTAACATCATGACCTAGATTTAAACTATGTCCTCCATTGTCTCTATGACATCAATATGTCACCATCATGTCTTGTTCTTATGACCTCTTGTCATCATGATCTCACAAATGTGGAGTATGATTCCTTCATTTTCAATACAATCCACTGGAAATACAAAAACAAAAAGTGAGTTTAACTACTACAGAATGGAAGAAACTTACAGCTTAGGAAACTTTACCCTTTACTATTAAGTATAATATCTTGATAGAATTGTATGATAGAATTCTAGAATTCTATATGTAGGTTTCTCAATCTCAAACTAGGAACTTATATCAGATACTCAAACCAGAAAATCAAATTTTGTATATAAGGCTCAAACCAGATACTCAAACATTATATATAGGATAGTGTACTCACATCTGAAGCTTTTTCATCTGTCATTGGGATCATCTTCCCAAGACTCTTCTGGCTGAAGAAAGACTTTTTCTGCTTTTCCTGAAATAATATGGAGATGCATATGTTTCAATAAGACTCACAGATTCCCAAAGAGCTATTGGATAGTTCCAAAAATGGAGGCAATATTTCAAATTCAAATGGAGGGGCTAATTCAACAAGTAAAACTTAACTATATGCTATATATTGTTTATTTTTCTTTAAAATCAACTGTATTAAAAATACAATACAGTATAACTACATTCTCTACCAATTTCCTTCACCTTTTGACACTTCCAAACCAAACCTAGTAAACATCACTCACATCATGTGACAACCTGGTAAACATCACTCACATCCTGTGACAACCTGGTAAACATCACTCACATCATGTGACAACCTGGTAAACATCACTCACATCCTGTGACAACCTGGTAAACATCACTCACATCCTGTGACAACCTGGTAAACATCACTCACATCCTGTGACAACCTGGTAAACATCACTCACATCATGTGACAACCTGGTAAACATCACTCACATCATGTGACAACCTGGTAAACATCACTCACATCCTGTGACAACCTGGTAAACATCACTCACATCCTGTGACAACCTGGTAAACATCACTCACATCCTGTGACAACCTGGTAAACATCACTCACATCATGTGACAACCTGGTAAACATCACTCACATCCTGTGACACACATACTTAACACATATGAAATATAGGTCACCAACACCAGTATTGTCAACAAATAACTTTATTTCAATTATTATGAAATAAGGTTAGTACCATATCAGCCCCCAATCCCAATAACATATTGTAAATAAAATATGGAGTGTGGAATCCTCCCCCACATACCCATTTTGTGGAAAGGATTCATTCACACATTAAAATCATGGGTAGTAGGAAAGTATCCATGCCCACATAATCATATGAATTTGAAAGAGCTAATGGTACATACACACTAATAGTAATACCAACACTCATAAATGACAAGCATTAAATCACAGTAGAACTTGGAATGATACTACTCCAATTCAACCACCACGTTAAATAGTAATATAAAAAGAATTGTTTTCCAATTACCACATTTGCCTTAGACCTGAAAAAACTGAAATACTCTTTATCCTTTGATGGCAGAAAGGAAGATAAAATATACCAAATATTATCTTTAGTGTTACAGCATTAAAATTCATGTTCACTTTGAAAAGTTATTATGACATCACAATGTTAAACGAGTCAACTGTATACACTTTGTGTGTCTATAAGGTTTTACTGTGTTCAGATAAGTACATAAACAATATATGTGGGGGTGTCTGAATAAAAATTCTTAGTGAAGAGAGAAGTTGCTAGAACATGGGTATTAATACATTCTACGTTGTCCAAAAATCAAATTAAATCTCTCATGTCTTTCAAATTTTAGAGTGTAAAACATGAAAAATGGATTTATAGACAGATGGACAAATCAGTCAGGGTTATCAAAGTTCCCATACCTTGAGCAGTATCTGAATTCCTTTAGAGGTTGAGGCTGGAGGCTCCTTGAGGTCTAACCATCCGTACTGCCACTCACAGTCCCAGTGGCCAAATATATCACCTTTCTTTACAAATATCACCCGCCTAAGAAAGAAAGAGATAAAATCATAGCTAAATTCTCCATTATGATTGGTCAATCAGGGGTGAACAATTTACATCTCATAAGCAATATTGTATCAGATTAACATAACAATTATTGACCAAGCACTTTTTCATCATCATATCATTTTTGGATTTGGATTTTAAATTTTTTGATTTATTTCGCAGTGTGTGTATACAGTTTACCCAGTATAGCTTAACTCTTGATATAGGTCAACAATTGTCTCTTGTAAGATCTATAGATAAATTGAGTACTATGTTATGATACTGAGAATTGCTTGGTGCATAATGTAGGTACATACACATGTGCATACTACATGCTATTTTTCAATCAAAGTTGTCAAAACTCTTCCATATTCTTTTTTACTTCTCCCATATTCTAATCCCTCCATGCACTATTTAATACAATGTTTTGCTTACTTGTCCGTGACGAGTACAACATTCTTGCCATCTTTGGTAACAACCATGTGAGCAACAAATACATCTGTCAGCGCATATTTCCCCTTTTCTAATTCCTGAAATAGAGACATGCTCCCTTTTCAATAAATCTGTTATCACTAATTTCTTAGTTATTGAAAACAAAAATAATATCAGTACCATGGAAATAATATATCTTTTAATTTTCTATTTCAAAGAGTTTTGAAAATCTGTCCCAGACATTTGTAAATAATTTCAAAAGTGATGACTAAATGCAGGTTTACTCTGTTTATTGCTGACTCCACTGCTTTCCACTAAGATATTAAATGAGATAAGAGTTGACTTCCATACCTGTAGAATACTGTTGCCCTCAGCCTCTCTGTGAATGTATGGACGGATGACGCCATCTGGTGCTATGAATCTCGGAGGACGTAACCGTCGAACTTCGTCCGATAATTCTGCCAGTCTGAAAACAATAATACTTTGTTTATATGACTTCTTAATCCCGAAACTTTAACTTGACCACTTAACTTTATCCATCTTGCTACTAATAACATTATACAACTATTCAGTCAAAAAATCTCATCTTTTTTTGTTTATGATTAACTCTGCCCCTTTTATTCCTAATGATAGGAGAAGTAATTTTCATGTACCTTTTAACACCTTCAAATGAGCTACTGGCAAAATCTATAACTCCACTGGTTGGCCTAGCTACAACTCCAACCAAGCCCTTGCCAAGGCCCTTGAAGAAGCCCTCTGCACCCTCCTGCTTAGCGCCCTCCATTGGTTTGCGCACAATGCCTGTTATGCCATCAACAAATCCCTACCAGGTCAAATTAAGAATAGTCAGTTAATTTATTTCCTTCTTTATTACTTACAGGTATTCCTTTGTAAAAACACTAGACAAGGAACTGCAATTTGTGACAACTGGACTTAAAAACTCATTGAACGAATACTTCTAGTATTAAATTTTAACAGCCAGATTTAGCACTCAATCTCTGGTTAAGCCTATTCTATGTTTTTATGACCATCATACATATTATACGTAATATATTCCATACAAGCAGTATACAGATGATACACAGTATAACCTGTCTAATCCAAATCCCTCTGGGACCGGCTTAAACGTTTGAATTTGCATGTATTCACATTTCAATGTTTCATAATTTGGGACTGAGTAAAAGTGTTCACATTAAGAGAAGTTCCGATTAGAGAAGTGTTCAGATATACAGGTTTGATAGTATGTTTCATACAAGTTGTGTACATAGCAAAAATATATGATTGACTCACCATTACAAGTCCCTTTCCACCACGGGCCATGCCTTCCTGGAAGTTGGCAGGCCTCTTGTTCATAGCTTCCCTTCGCTTCCTCTGATAATCATCATCCAGTGTTAAAGCTGCGATACCTTTACCCAACGTCCCTGTGATACGCGACACAGCTCCAGCGGCTCCACCTATAATAGTTTTATAATGTAATATATTATCAATTTGAGACAATCCTTTTATTTATCAATTAAATATTTTTACATTATAATATATGTAACCATTTAGACATAGGATAATCAATTTGGCAAAATAGTTGCTAATAATCTCACCACAACATTTAATTCAGGCAAAATTATGTAAAAATGATTGTTGTCACGGTAATTATACTAACCTACTGCATGACCAAACAAACTCCGGACCCCAAGCACGAGTCCCTCAGCAAACTCCTCAGGTCCTTGAATGGCCCCCTGGTAGGGCTCGTAGAATAGATCCTCCACTCCCTCCATCATACCTGGGATAAATATTAACAAGTTTTAAATACAGGACACAGAGGAACAAATTTTGTGAAGACCAGGGACAGTTGGCAAGCCATACTTGAGAACTGGAAGTCAACAACATTTTCTGGTGTCGGTAACATTAACCGATACATCAAATTTCAAAGTAAGCTTTTTCTGGTTGTGTAATTTGGTTTGAATTCCGATGACTTAATACTTAATTACATTTAAGATTGACCCCTTTCCTCTGTCTAAATGTACCAAACACTGGGAAGCTACAATTTACTACATTAGTGTAATTTTCCACCCACCTCTGATTAGGCCGAAGGGGTTCCCGAGGACATCAAGTCCTAGTACAAGGACGTACATCTGTTTGATTGCTTGCCCTGAGTAGTGCCGCACTACCTCACCCTGTAGCTGGCTCGAATTGTAGAATTTGGCCTGACGCTCAAAGTAGCCCAACCTATACATAAAAAATAATGTTGAAATAAAGGGTGCATAAGTGAATATTTTAACTTAAAAATAAAATAATAATAAAACCACATCTTAAATTTTTGACTAAATGACATGAATACCATGTTTTAAAATGCAGAGATGAAAAAGTGTGTTGTCAACAAAAACAAGGTCAATAAACTAAAATGTGACAAAATTCAAGAAAATAATGCTTTCAAATTTTATAGAGGGCATCATAAAATACATGCAGATAACACTTTAGCTTGAAATTGAACATACTTGAAAACAACATCCTGTATGTCTGTAAGGACAACTCCGACACTCTGGAGGAACAGGTTGATGATGTTGGATTGGATCTGGGTGGGCTTGCCCCCTTCTTTGTCACCACCTCCCCCTTGGAGTGAGAAACTAATGTGGATCTGAAAATGGAAGATGTTGCAAGTCGTAACATGACATATAAGAAGTATGTATATCAATAATGTGGCAACTTTTTCAGAGTTCAATTTGACATGAACATCTGAAATAATATCATATTTAATCAATTCAGGATTTTAGCTTTAATTTTAGGTTTAACGCCAGGTAAGGGTGTTTTCATGCTTGAGAGGCTCCAAAGGCTAACGCAGCATGTTCTAATATCTAAGTTTGATGGCTGTATTTTCAGTTAAATAGAATAACTTAGTGCAATAATATTGGTTTGAAATAGATTTAAAAAAGACCTATACGAATATGAAATTGAAATGATCAAAATGTTGCAAGAAAACTCAAAAAAAATTTTAATACGATCTTTACACTTCATATTTATACTTTGCCATGTTACAATGATGGCATGCATTTGTGATGTCACAATTAAGTGATGTCATACCTTCAGAGGAGACACGTGGAGGATATCGTAGAAGTTCTTTTGTTCTTTATGTGATGATAGACTGGCATCCGTGTCCTTCAACTGCATACGGATCATGGAGGTATCATTTCGGAAGTATTCAAGCTAAAACAGGCACATCAATCATATACATGTATGCGAAGGGGTATATTGCTTCTTTCAAGGGAGGGAGTCAACACAATATTTTATGCACTGTCCCCCTCTCCTTTCACATCTCCCTTATTAGCACAATTAAACCTTTAGTTTTAGGAAACATAATCAAAATATTGATTAATATGTTGTTATGCCTTTTCAGGTACATGGAAAGTACCAGGTGGGTTAATATCTACCTGTAATTCTATAATCTACCTGATAATTAGATTCAAAAATAATATCATATTAATTAAGGTAGGCCTAGAGTAATCAATAATCTTGATCTTTTAAAAGACTAGTTAGGTTTGCAAACTGATGTCAAAAAATCTTCCTGCTAGACCCACCTTATGGATTTTATTAACTCTATTGCAACAAAAACTATTTTTTGAAAGGATGAGTCTGGGAATGAGTCTGGGTATCGACTTAGAAAATATTGAAAATTCTAATGTCTGAAAAACCAACTCAATCACACATATTATTAAACTTCAATATCTTATCCTTCTTCTGAGATTACAAAAATATCAATTTATATCACAATTGATGAAGAATATTGGCATCAAAGACAGTGCATATCACTTTGCCAGAATTGAAAAAAAATCAATGGCAAATATTAAATGAATAATTAATACAAAAAGTTTGAAACATATCTTCCAAAACATTGCTTACTTTCTTTGTATAGACATTGAATGGTATTTCTGGATAAGTGAATTGGTGTTTATCTGGGTAATCAAGGGGTTATAGTCACTCAAAGTTACTGAGCATCCAGTTTTGACACTTCTATTGTGTTGGTGAAGTTACACATATTTCAGTCAAATTCATGCTGAGCACAACATTTTGGTTTCAATTTTATAATCTCAAAACATGACCCTGGTGATGAAGAGTCAGAATCAATCAAAAAACCTAAACCGGAAAACTGTGTTCATTGTGAAAATTAAAAGTGAAGCAACTATTTTTCTGAAATTTCTTACATCAAATGGCAGCCATCTTGTTTTTCCCCTTCAAATTAAACTGGCGGGAAATTCAAAAATTTGAATAAAAATGTTAATCTTTAAATATATTTCAAAAATATGATTTTCTTTTTAATTCTTGATGGGTCTTAAGTTATTTCTTCTTTGTATGTCATACATGTTGCCATTGGTGTTTTTTTCTTTGATAATGACTAATTGTTTTTTGTTAGGATACTTATTCTGACTCTCAGCAGGGGGTTAATTATGCATCAAAACTCATGAAAAAGTAAATATACTTATCAAATATAACTGGGACAGTCATAAAAACCATATTTCACATACATTTAACTGAGGGACCAAAAGGGCACATATCCGGACTCATCCTTTGCGATGCTATATATTTAAAGAGTCCTACAACTTTAATCACCGTCTACTTTTGTATTACTTTAGAAGAAATCATGGACTTTTAAAAGAGAAAGCTCATGAAGTAACCAACTAAAGACCAGAAGTTTAAGGTCAACAAATCAAAATGGAAGATGTAAAGTGAGCTTGTTGTGAAAGTGTGAGTTCATCTTGCATCTGATTTGTTGAGAAACCTCTGGATGTGAATTCTACCCCTATCTAGCTAGGACAGTACAACTACTCAGGTGAAACCTCTGCCATTGGTGAGGCCAGGCATAACATAGGTGAGGCAACTATACCCTGCCAATTTGCCTCATCGATTCAAATTTGCCTCACTTATTTACAATTGTCTCGCCAAGTTTTAGATCATGGCTACACCCTGTCTGCACATATCTAAGACAGTACAAGTATACATTGAGAAACCTCTAGCATTTCTAAACAAGTTAATACTTTATACATTTATATAGGTCAAGTCAAAATCTTGATGTCTCTCAAAAACTAATTTATTGAATCATTTGTCTAAATTACAGTAAAACCTGTCTAATCTGAAGGCCTCTGGGACCAGCCAAAAGTGTTTGGATTAGCAGGTGTTCACATTTCATGAGCAAATAACAAATTTGGGACCCAGAAAAAGTGTGTACATTGAGAGGTGTTTGGATTAGGGAGGTCTTCAGATATACAGATTTCACTGTAGTACTATTTTGAGTTTCAGAATAAAGGAATAATATTTTAGAATCAATGAAGTCACAAATTTAAGCCTTTGTAAAATATTCAAATGCATATACTCTTAATCTAAAATATTTTTGTCATCAATATTTTGACTGACCCTTTATATCCCAGACATACACATTTTTTCAAAAGTGGAAAAATAAGAATCTTGTCTTACAAAAACTCCAGATACTATGGAGATAAAAAAATTCACCTCTCTATCATGGGCTTTCTATAGCTGACAGGTTAGCGGCACACATATACATGTACAATATTATTACTGCTTACATCAACTCCAAGCTCATTACCACAAAAACAACAACTCCTGTTGGTACATGGTACAATACGTCAGATGTCAATCTTAAATCTAACCTGGTGATCCGTCAAATAATAATGTCTCATTTCATTTTTAGCATTGATTTAGACATATAAACAAAGTATTTTACTTCTAATATCTTCCAAAAAATCAAATATCATTGCAAAATCAGGCCTGTAGCTAGGGGTTTGAGCAACCCCCCCAGCCAAAATTTCTTTCAAAATCATACAGTTTTTCACCATTCTGATCACTTTTAAGTGATTTTGCCCATTTTTGGACCAAAATTATCAAATGTAAACTCCCTGGAATTTTCAAAAAGTGAACCCCCCTTGGCAAAAACTGACTACGGGCCTGAAAATTGCATCAATGAACACTGAAACATATTTGGAAAATTATGCTATCGTGTAAAAAATCAAAATGACCTTAAGGCACACTTTGGTGACATTACATGCCAGCAAATTAAAGTGTGAATAAACAACTAAAATTGTAAGCTACTTGGGCAACATAATCATTTGAACTATGAATATCATTCCATTATTCAGTTAATGAATAGAGTGCAATTGAATCAGGTGCTATCCTATCATAACAGCAAAAGAATAAAATAAAAAACATATGGTATTAATATCTAGCTTGATTGATTTTCATATTTTACTCTTGAAAAATAAAATGCAATTTATTTCATCTACTTTTTAACAATTCTGAATTATGTCCCTGTTATTTTCTGGATTGTTAACTGAAATTTATGACGGACCACCAGGATATTTCTGCATGAGGGGAAACACAAAGATATTATTGAAAAGAAAATAGCTCTCTCACTCTCTATTAACATAAATAATGACAGCAACACAGAAGTGACAGCGAATGTTCAGATGCATTCAACAGTACAGCACCCTGTTAGAGTTAAAAGGTTAAGTGAAAGCGAATCTTAAGCATCAAGTTAACAAAGTGGGCCAAAATAGTAGGCAATATCAAGACTAAATAATGGGGTTTGATATTCATTTTAAGTCATTGACTTGCTAAAATTTTATTTTTTGCAAGAAAAAAATGCAACTGGTTTGAAACATCATTTTGACACACCATGACACACCAGCTGAGACACCATGAGAAATAATTGAATGCATCTGAACTGGACACTATGAGTACATAAGAAAATAGCAATGGAGTCTGCATGAATACATCCAGCACATCAACCTTTTACAAATATTACCTGCTGCACTGCCTAACATGAAATATATACATCAAAATCAGCATGTATCGACAGTTATGTAATAGAAGGTATGAAATATAGAATTTATCCCGAGGGAAATATATGCTCCCATTTGGACTGAAAAATCGAGATGGACACATTTTCTGAAGGATAAACTTTATATTCAATATATCACTGATTTATTATCATGAAAATAAAAGTTATTATGTAAGAAAATGGGAAATAAATCATAATAATTTCTTGTCATTGGCAGATTTGACTTTTACATTCCACTTTTGTTTCTCTGAAACCAACTCAGTATGGGATAATAGTGTAACAACAAGTGTTGACTACATGTCTATTTGGTTTATTTCTTTGAGTCTCTTTTCACTCTAATTTTTGTATTAACCACAACTGAACTGACGAAATTGCTATTTTTACCATGATGTAAGACAGCAAATGCACATGTTAGGCTTCCTCATTTTTTCACTATTTAAACATTTTGTCTTGGTTAAGCCTAATAATATGCTATAGCCATAATATAATATATTAATCAACTGTACTTAGGAAGTTCACCATGATGAATTTAGATAAAGAATTTGTTATTGAGGAAAATCAGCTCCAAAGGCACACTTGCAAAGCTTTCTCTGGCTTGCAACAGATAACCAAAAATGAATTTTTGTCATTATGTTGATCTTGTAATGTATAATTTGACGCCATATATGAACCAATATGTGCATTATAAACTATCCAATTTTAGTTGAAAACTCGTTAAACACTAAATATGGTATTGTGATGTCATACCTCTTGCTCCTCAGGAATGGCTCCGGATGAGAAGAGGTCAATGAGTGCATTCAGGAAGCCCTGGTCTAGTTTCAATGCCATTTCCTGTACCAACATCTTCGCATACCTAAATACGAAATAATGCAAAAGAATAATGATAAATTAATAACACTTCTAAAATTATCAAATGAAAGAGAAGCTCTGGTTCATCTACTCCATCACAGAAATTGAATGACAACAGAAACTAGATATCTGTGAAAAAAACGATAAAGAAAAACAAACAGTTTTCTTTTTTTGCTCAACATTAAAAAATCTAATTTTACGAATTGAAGTAGAAAAAGTGTTAAAACCTACATTTTGTATGTTGGTATTTAGGTCAAATTTTTATCATAATACATATTCCCAATCAACCCTTCGACATTAAAGGAAAGTGGAACTTCCACTTGCTCCTGGTTCTGGAACCTCTACATAGCTCCATTTGGCTCCTGCACGGTTCTGATGACTTACTTGAACTGCATGACATTGCTGTGTTCTCTCTTTCTCAACATCACACTCAGCTCAGCAAATGGTTTAGGCACTGCAACATAATATAAATCAACAGTTACAGTATAATGCTGGGTCTATGTGAAATGAAACGAACAGTTTCAAAGCAAGCTTGGTGCATATGTAAGGCACAATTCTGATGTGCATTTGGTGGAGTCCAGTGCACAACTGGTACTTTTATCTGGCACATTTAATCCATTCTATTGGTGATCCCTTTGATTTAATCTCAGTTTTGTGTTTTTATATTACACTACAATAATTGTGGAATATCAATACATAGACCTGTGTATTCTATTAAATATTTGGTGCACTTTTAGTGCATATTTGGTACATTCTATTGCCCATCTAGTGCATCCTCTAGATATAGCTACATACCACTATCAGCAGCAACAGACTTGGGTGGAGGTACTGGGGCAAGCACTGTTGGGAAAACACTGGCGGGGAGCTGGTTGTCAAGTTGCAAACGATGAACCTGTAGTAAAAATGAAAAGCATTTTGATTATTTATGAAAAGTATATTGTTTTGAAAATATGAAAAAAAATAAATTCATCATTAACAGTGTGGCAAAGACTTACACTCCCCTCCATAAGTTTGGCAACCTTTTTTCCCCCATTGAACTACGTGTTAAAGCCTCTTTACCTTTGAATTTTTATTTACTTAACCTGCGATGAAAATACTTATACTATTGATGGAAACGTAATTTGACTTTGATTCCAATACCTCAAAATTTTCTCATTTTTTTTCCTCAATTACAATAGGTCGAAAATTGATGATAAATTTGATGAATTTTTGAAAATCGAGATTCCCATGTTTACCAATGGGAAATGGTAGGTTTGCCGCAAGTCATATGACAGAATATCCATCCATCCAAGTCCTTGCAAAAAATACGAGTTAGGCAGGCAATTGAATTTGCTAACTTTATTTAACAAAAAATTGATATGTTTCTTCAGGTTCAACAAAGTTATAGGGCTTTAAAGTCAAAATTGTTTTTCAAAAAACCTCTCCCATTGAAATAACACAGGAGGCGGAAAATTATTTTCAAAAATGACTTTGAAGTGCTGTAACTTTAATATTCATCAAATAAACTAAACACTTAGTGTTCAAAAAAGTTAGACAATTCAATTTTCTATATAAAAATATTTTTTGCTGAATCTTTTACTGAAAAGATATCCTGATTTCTGATTTGCCTCGAACCCTCCATTTCCCATTGGATTACATGGGAATGACGATTTTCAAAAATTCATCAAATTTATCATCAATTTTCGACCTATTGTAATTGAGGAAAAAAATTGAGAAAAATTTGGAGGTATTAGAAATAAAGTCAAGTTACGTTTCCATCAATATTATAAGTTATTTCATCGCCGGTTAAGTAAATAAAAATTCAAACGTAAAGAGGCTTTAACACGTAGTTCAATGGGGAAAAAAGGTTGCCAAACTTATGGAGGGGAGTGTACATATAACAAATAACAGTTCTTCAAAATAAATTTCAAAGCAGCACGTGGTAATTATTTATTAGATACCACTTGGTTCTACGTAGAGGGCACAGAGTAGTAAGATGAAGTTAAAAAAAAACCTTTGCATGAAGCTGCAGCTGGTGTGGGGAGGTTCTGTAAGAGAGCCAGATTCCATTCTCAAAGCTGCGTCTTATTGGATGCTTCCGTGGTTTGTACATCATCATTTCCTGGAAATCTACCTGAAATCATAATATTTGATGTGCATAATCAATAATCAACAGGCAATGCGCCTATTTTTGAAGGAAAAAGGATAAAATATTATTTGAGACATGTTACTCACACACTCTATCAAATATGATAAAAACTTTAATTTGGGTCAATACTGAAGTGAAAAAAAATTACTCGCATAGAAAACAGCATTTGAAGTTCAGAGATCAAAAGAAGTGAACTACCACTTTTCACAAGTTGTATGTTTTTAAATAACTCTTGGATTAAAAGATGGCGTATGGTTGAAAATCCTATCAAAAATGAATGGATAAATTATGCAAACAACAATGCCATCTTTCAATGGCATTGCTAAAAAAACTTGACTTATATAAATTGATAGATCGAAAATATTTTTTCATGATCTAGTGTCAACTCTGATGTGGTCTGTTTGACATGTTTTTGGTGTCAAATAAAAGATCAGGTATTAATCCATTGGAAATACTATGAAGATCAAAAGTGAGACTTCATTTCCGCACTTCATAAAGAACCAAGTTGTTTCAAGTTTTCCAATCTGGAGATTTATTAGTTTCTGAATGTGTTCCATTGGCATCCCCATATACATGTACTTTTATATTCAAACAGAATGTATAACCTCACTAAAAGTAATCATTGAATAATTATCTGAATTTTCATTGCTATTTCACACCTTTCTCTCTTCGCTTTCTATGATTTGCAAAGTAAAATCCTCTCCGGCATTTCTATACAATTTATTACAGCAAATCCACTTCTCATTCACTCAATTTTATACAGGGTGAGCCAAAAATATTACCCTTATCATATCAGATTACAGCAAACAGAATGGGTAACATTTTCGACCCACCCTGTATTTGGAATACAATTTTTCTGTTGAGCTTACATCAAGTTTTCCATCGAGTTGTTGTCTAGAGCTGGTTGATTTGCCAATTGATAATTCAGCCATATACGTCTGGTAGGCTGCCTCTAAAGTCCTGATCTGCTTCTTGTTCAGAGCCTTGTAGCGTTTCTTCTTCTCTTCCCAAATCACCCCAGAGCTTGTGATACCTGTGGTATAAGTATACGTTAAATAGTTGGTCGAGAAGTATTATAAAGAATAGGCTTGAGTTTGAAACTAAAAGAATTCCCGTTGGTGATTGGGTAATGAATATGATGTGTTCGGATTGGTTAGCCATTATAAACCCAACTTTTGGTGGAATTATTTGCTATTGCTATAGAGCATTGCAGTTATGATGTGCAGGTCATGCATTGGTTAACCATTATAAACCAAACCCTTGGGGATTTTATTCATTTATATGCTATTGAGTATACATTTACTCACAAACTTGACCTTTCTTTAGTACAAAGTATACTATACATACCCATATAGGAAACTTCTGTCTGGTGCATGTTGTTGGTCAGTGAGATACCAACACCCTGGAGAGAGAGGATGATCTCTTGTTCTACACGCTCTAACTCTCCTGCCTAATAAAGTACACAAAAGCCAGAGTAAAGCACACATTTGATGGTAAAGTACACAAATTTTAAAGCACAAAATGCAAAGGATTTGAATCAATGAAAATACACAGTTCAACATATAAATTACAGAATAAATTGTATAAATCACACACTAAAAGTCAATTAATACATATGAATGACATATTTCAACAATTGATAAAATATAAACAACATACATAGATTACAGTATAAAGGGCACAAGTGACTCTTTAAAGCCCCCCCCCCCCCAATTATGGCTGTATTCGAGGGCTCACACACTTACCTCTTGAGCCATTGTGGCAAGGGCAAGGTCCTCAGTGAAGAGTAAGACACGCTGCATTCCATCTAGGAAAGATACCCAATAAACCTTGGTGTCAGCGTTAGCAAAGAACTCTCCAATACCATCCTGAAACACATATTAATGTATCCTAAAGATTTTCTCTATAATAGGAAACATCCAATCAAAAAGGATACATGTGTATCTTAAGACTTTCAAACTAAAATTATTCTCCAAAAAAGTGACAAAACCATCCACCCTGAGACTCGCTGGTCCACAAAACAGACTTTGGAAAATATGCAATTTTTGTGAAAGAGGAGAAAGCTTCTTTAACTTCATCCATTTAAGGAAAGGGATTTCCTGTAGAATGGACAGTAAAACTTCTGCAATGTTGCTTTTTAGCTTACCGTCATGAGATCATCCTCTTGGAATTTCTTGTCTCCGCAACTCCAGATCAATTTACGTTTAGCCAAGGGGTCTTGCCAGGTGTAAAGACATGTATTTTGTGCTTGTAATGTTTGAACATCATCTTTCACTTCCCTATAAGAATATAATGATATATATTTGTATATTTAGCCAAGGTTTCACTTATAAATTCTGAATATCCCTACAAGAAAATATAAGACATAATTTTAAGGTTGCGTTACCTTTGACTGTATGGTTGACTATGCGAGCAGAGGCCATGCCATTACTGTACTGTAGGAATGTTACTGCTATAGCTGACTTACCTCTGACTGTACTGTACTATTGCATTCTCTGTATGATTGACTATGAGAGCAGACACCAAGCAATTACTGTACTGTTGGAATGTAACTGCTATAGCTGACTTACCTCTGACTGTACTGTACTATTGCATTCTCTGTATGATTGACTATGCGAGCAGAGGCCATGCCATTACTGTACTGTTGGAATGTTACTGCTATACAGTGTAGCTGACTTACCTCTGACTGTATTGTACTATTGCATTCTCTGTATGGTTGACTATGCAAGCAGAGGCCATTCCATTACTGTACTGTTGGAATGTTACTGCTATAGCTGACTTACCTCTGACTGTACTGTACTATTGCATTCTCTGTATGGTTGACTATGCGAGCAGAGGCCATGCCATTACTGTACTGTTGGAATGTTACTGCTATAGCTGACTTACCTCTGACTGTACTGTACTATTGCATTCTCTGTATGGTTGACTATGCGAGCAGAGGCCATGCCATTACTGTACTGTTGGAATGTTACTGCTATAGCTGACTTACCTCTGACTGTACTGTACTATTGCATTCTCTGTATGGTTGACTATGCGAGCAGAGGCCATGCCATTACTGTACTGTTAAAATGTAACTGCTATAGCTGACTTACCTCTGACTGTACTGTACTATTGCATTCTCTGTATGGTTGACTATGCGAGCAGAGGCCATGCCATTACTGTACTGCTGGAATGTAACTGCTATAGCTGACTCGGACACGATGCACTCAACTTGGATACCGCCATACTGAATAATGAAAAAGTGTATACAATTATTCAATGATTTTAACAATATGACTGAATGATATTACTAGACAATAATTGTCTTATATCAAATATTAAATAAATACATAGCATGAATACCATTGTTAAGGTCGATACTGAATACCATATACAACTTGATAGACATTCCATATCATCTAAATATACAATATTGGTAGATAATTTATTATCAAATATTTGAAATGCTATGATAAATAAATCCCCCATCCCTTATAATTTGAAGAGTCTAGCTACAAGCCCTTGTGAGACCCCCCCCCCACCTAAACACCTTCCCACAAGTGTGTGAGAAGGTGAGTAGTCAAAGAATTGGGAGGGGAGACCACAGGTGCTTAGCTAGAATATAATTTGAGTAAATAACTATAAGTAAATAAACTGTGCCAATCTAAAATGAAAATAAAAATCATGTCAATTAATAACTGTGCTTTAATATAATCAGATAATAGTAACCAAAATCAAATCGATAACTGCATATAAAGTGACATAAAGTGACAAATGACATTACATAAATGCCATAAAGTTTTAGAGAAACACAGAACAGAACACAAACTGAACTACACATTTTTATAACAAATGTCATTCATCATTCCTTACAGGGTGAATCAAACCCTAATCTAATGTCATTCATTCAATCTACAGGGTGATTCAAAAACAACCCCATGTAAAACCATGACCATGCCTAAGTCATCAGAGTATGCTTCATTGAGTAAATGGAACTAAATGATTGAACCATGCTTTTTTAAAATTGAAGATGTATGATTCACTAATTACAAATCAACCTCTATTTCATTTCAACTTAATTTGAGAAATACTCAAAATAAGAAAAACTCAGACAGTACATATAGGGTGCATTTTCAGAGGGCCTCAGTAACATGCGCATTCGGGGGTCAGAAATGATACATGTTTTGACACACACAGTTCTTGTTGAGTCTATGTTCAGCACATAAGTTTATACTGAAGCAGCTTCAGTACAGGTACATATTCACTTCATGGGTCAGGATGACAGCTAATGGTATGTGTAGGTGTGATTTGCTAAAATATGGGACAGATCAATATATCTCGAGGTGGATATTTTTCAGATGTTAAATGAAACACATGATTCAAGATTTTTTTCTGTCCTGTCAAGGTTTAATTTTTCTATCAACTACTAATCATGTTTTAGTACACAAGTACAGCCAAATACAGAATATTTGTCCAATGTCCAGGTTAAGTCTGAAACATTTTTTCTGAATATGATTAACACCCCAAGAATTTAATGGTCTGCCCCTAAATGAAATGGTTCCACAAGATTCATAGAATTCTAAGCATTCCTCTGGTTTCAGATTCAACACATTGCCTCTTGCAAAATACTTCATGCTGGTCTTTCATTTTCTCTTGGAAATATCTCATAATTGGTGGATAGAATATCTTCCCCAAGTTCCTAAAGTTCCTTGGTCAGATATTGTATCATCCTTTTAGATATAACCCATAAATTACTAGTATCCATTTTTAGGATATATTTTTCAATATATGAATTATCCATTCTTCAAATGAAATATGACTGCCAAAATATTTTTACATGGTAAGATGATTGTTCACTAGAAATGTCAGGATAGAGGAATTATCTTTCAATAAATAAATATTAAGAACTATCTAACCATGATACATACCCCCAGTTTTGATATTTATATTTCCCTTTGGATAATTACCATATCCTATACTTCCCATAATATGACTCTATTTAGATTTTTCTCGAGAAAACGCAAGACCAAATGAAAATTTTGCAAGGGATTGCAGGAGATGCGATACTCGCCGTGGCATAAAAGCGCACCTGTCTCTTTGGACGTCTTGGCTCATAACTATACAACTGAAATGTGATGTATAAATGTCACTAATATCAAACTAAGAAATCACAATAAAAACATCAAACAAATAAAATAATATTACAATATTTAGTTAAGATTTTATACCTTCCAAATTAAGGTTTTTAAAATAACTCAAATAAGAGATCGACAGTTACCTCTTCAACCTTCATGAGGGTTGCATGGACCTCGTTATATGGAAACGGTTTCGTCTCAAGATCTGTATCTTTGATCTTAGCCGTCATCTGCATATTCTTCGCTATATATATTGGCCAGAAAGGCACACACTCTCCTGGGGCGACATCTATCCATTTAGCCTCAGTGATGCGTTCACGGCAAGATATGGTGAACTTGGCATGATTGGCTAGCATGTAGTATGGGGTGAAGGTCACTATCTTAGTAAGACCAGAACTGGAGAGGGAAATGGACACACCCACCTGAAAAAGTGAATTAAACATTTAATTCTGAAGAGAAGTGCAGAAGATGCAGTCCATTATTAAATCAGTAAAATTTGGATTAAAACAGATCAAAATTGACAATTTTAAGATAATAGAGGCGTTATTGATTGAACAGCCCTCGTATATGTCATACTGAATACAAACCTTGTATCATCAATACATACATTGAATTTACCTCACAAATATTAAGTTCAGAAGGTGTCACATTATACATAACATTTTCAAATATCATAAGACACTCACCTCATACATGTACCGCATAAACCTGCATTGTACAATACCAGAACTGCCAACAGTATCAAGTGAGAATTTGTCGGACCAATCTGACTCACAAACTTTCAAGGCGGCCTGGAAAGTCCAAAATAAAATATTATTTGATCAGTCACAGAAAAACAAGGCAACAATATTGTTACAAACTGTCACCACCTGGCTGCATATGGTATTAAAGAGAGAAAAAATGGAAATCATAACAATAAGTTTTGGTGGTACACATTATAATATGTTTCCCTCGTATACATGTAGTTTGGCCTCCTATAAATTGATAATAAAATTGGGTTTCATAATGTAAAATTGAGATGAATTATTTGTTTGGACATCCCTCATACAGTTTCACAATATTTTGTGTAATTTGAACTAAATGGAAACATGCAAAGATGAATGAATTGCTATGAACTTCAAAGAAATTCATCCTCCAAATGCAGGACTTCAGACTAGTTCAACTTTGGTCTGTAAGGATGATGTTTGCCGACCCCTGTGCCCAGAGGATGGAGAAAATAGAAAGCAAGAAACATAGGGAAGGTCATTCAAATGGGGTAGGTCATGTTAATGGACATTATCCAAAATGCTACAACAAGGTCAATGGTCAAAACAATGGTTTCATGTATTTTCAAGTCAATGATACATACCACTAACTGCAGTTATTCCACACTTTGTAACTTTTTCCCCATTTTAATTTTGGACATTTTTATTTGAACCATATGCCCATGCATGCATATTAATGCTTTACAAAGAAAATAACATATAATGGCAAAAAGCCCATCATCCAAATAGATATTCTAGAAAACTATAGAACAAGCATACCATTTACATATCTCAATGAGCGAGGTTTTAAAACTGTGCAAACGTCTATCTACCTCCAACTGTGCAAAAACAAAAGTGTGATGCCAACGAAAATAAGTCAAATAACAAACGCAGGTGTGTTCTTCACCAAACTGATGGGTTAATATACAAAACAGACCCATATTTAACAGGAAAGGATGAGTTCAAAATCAACTGTTTAAACCATGTTGCATGTATTAAAAGGTTGCATCAGTGGTGTCTGTGTAAAGTGTAGGTTAACTAAATACTGGGATGTTTTTCAGGGCATTAAATACAAATACAAGGGTTTTCAATAAATATGGATAAAAATGTCATCACTTTTTCGTCTTTCTACATTTCTCATCAATTCATACCATTCAGTATATTAGCACTCTACTCAGAATTTAGCGAAGGATGAATGGAGAAATGGAGAAAAACAAAAAATAATTTCTAATTTTTATGAATACTTATTGAACACCCTGTATGCTGTGAATGTCATGGTTGAAGTCTTTGTTTCACTCATGCTGTCATGGGAAGTCTATTACAAGGCTAGGCTACCAGCATAATGCTAGGCTACTAGCACATTGATAGGTTAAGCAGGGTATATGTCTGTACAAATAGGTGGCCAAATGGACACTGTTCACAATGAATGAAAGAATCCTGGCATGAATCACAAATTTGGCAGGAATCACAGATGAGGCAGATGGAAATGATGAAAAGCATTTAGAGACACGAAGCACACTGGCAGTTAAATGTAACTGTTTCAAATTGAAACATGTATTCAAAACATAATGACACTGGGGAAGCATTAGTTGCAATGAATGTTACGAGATATGAATATCGATCTGTCACTAATTGTTTGATACCCTGCTTAACTCTGTAAACACTTAAAAACAGTCTACATGAATGTCCTAATGCTGATCCTTGTTTTCTAAATGTATCATTCTAAAATTCAGTTGTCTTTCTCTTTGTTACCATGGTAACCAAACAGTAAGACAAAAGAATTCAATATCTATGATACATTTGAGAAAATGGCCTCAGCATTATAACACAAAGGACATGCACTCGACATCTTACTTTGATCGATTTTTTTAGCTGTTTTGATTTATGGCCACGTTGGGCACGAGCTGCGATTCGCTTTGCTTTAGATTCCAGTGTCTCTGGCTCTCTTTCTTCCTGTAAGACACTTGGCAGTCAGACACTGACACTTGGTAGTCAGACATATGACACTCGGTTATCAGACACATGACAATTGGTAGACACATTACACTTTGCAGTCAGGCAAATGATATTTGGTAGTCAGACACATGACATTTTGTAGTCAAACATATGACACTTGATAGTCAGACACATGACACATTGTAGTCAGATAAATGACACTTAGAGTTAAATGTATGGAAACCATACACATGACACTTGGTAGCCACATATGTAACACTTGGTAGTCAGACATACAATGATACAACACTTGATGATTTAACATGTGAAACTTGATAGTTTAACTTACAATAATCCGCAGATACACATATAATATTACTTGGCTCCTCAACACATTAAATTGAGCATATTCTCAGATGAATTACAACAGTGATAAGACACATACTCTTTGAACCTGGACACATGATAGTTTCAAGAGACACATGAGACTTGGTTCTGAGACACATAACTCTTACAAGCTAGACACATGAAACTCAATATACTGTTAGATGATATTACATATTATAATCATCAACATGCTAACTCTATACAGACTTTAAAAGAAAAAACAATTTCCACAACATCAAATCTAAAGTGAATGAGTTGTCTATGACAACTGACAATGCAATTAATAACGATGAATGAAATGACAACAATTTCTATAACAGTAATAATATTCATAAAAAAAACATCTTAAAATCTAGGGTTGAATAAAAAGCATTACCTTTTTCTTGGACACAAATGATTTCCCAGATTTGAAAGAAAATAGTACGGCATCTTCAAAATCTGCTGGATGACTGATCACAACCTCTTCAGCCTGTAAAAAGTAGTTCTCAAATTAATTCACTTATTACAGAGTGTAGTAATATCTTCACTTTTACATTGACATTTTCACAATACATGTATAACACACAATCTTTGCATTGTCGTACCAAAGTGCAACATGGATAAGTTGGAAGTTATGTTTTCCCAAATTGTAGTCAACGAGATCATCCCAAATACATACATCCCAAATGTATCATTTGAACACATCCAAACATATTCATGTCAGTGATTTGAATGCACACACACACATTTATATAATTAATATATTACACCACTCAAAGCACTATTTTTACTTGTGGTGTATTAAGGTGGGCAGAGTGCAATACATAATCTAGATAATTAGTTTAAACCTGACAGGCTTCAAAAGTGATACCACTGCGCCTACCTTAATGCCACTCAAAGCACCCATTTTGAAATTTTACTTGGATTACATTACACAGAAGTAAGTTAGTTAAACATCATAATGTACACTCCCCACCAAAAGCTTGATAACTCCAACTCCCCTATTGAATCACATGTTATAAATCAAAACTGCATCTAGTGACCAAAGACAGTTTAAGTGCCCACTATAATCGGATGAAGAAGAAAATTGTGCTACTTGGGTGTTTTTAAAAAATGCATTTAAATCATGAATTGGCACTGTAATATAATTAGGAAAAAATCAGATTCAAATATGATCAGTGTTACATACACTATTCAAACAGGAGGATTGCCAAACTTTTTTGAGGGAGTGTTTACTGTATGACCAATGCTTAAAGTGTTTCTCTGGCCATATTTATACCCCAATTTTTTTCACTAAAATCTGAATGAACTATACAATTTCTATACAATTTAGTGTTAACTACATCCTGTTTTATTTATTTCTTGCTAATTTCACAATTTCTCACTCCACTTTAGATATCAAAGACATGACCATTGAAACACTTAATCCAATGGTCTCAGATATATTTTTATATCTTAAGCTCCAGATTGCTTAAATCTTAAATATTACAACAACAACAATAAAATTAAAATTACAACATTATGTGACATGTAATAGCTAATACACAAAGTGCACTTCTATGCAAAATCATGCATTTAACAGAGTCTTTTTTAAATTCCTGAAGTATAAATAATCAAGTTTTGCACTAAGTATCTTTGTTTCAAAAAACATGTGAAAATGTTTGAAACCTTAATAAACTTTAAAATGTATGAAACAAAGAAATATGAAAAAAACTTTTGAAGTTAAATACCGATTTATGTGTGACACGTTCCAGCAACACATTAAACATTATAGTGTGGTCCTTTAAATGAAAAATTAAAATTCCCTTGATAATAGCTCATTATCTATCACTAACCATTCATTGTGTAGCCAATTAGACAATGTATCTCAACTTAAATATCCCCACTGGTTCAACAAATTATTTTCTAGTGGACATGAGTTCAAAAGACAGTCTAGCACACATCTTAGAGAAATGACTCAAATACATTCATTATTTACATTTATTTACATATATTTACCACTTATAAATGATTTTTGTGCATGTGAATAGGACTAATGAAGTTCCTGAAAAGTTCTTTAGAATCATGCAATTACCCTAACATAATATGGTTACTATGGCGACTACAGTAATTCATGATAATTCAAGATGGGAGTCCATTGCAAAAGTGCAAAAGAAACAGTTTTTTAGAATTTTCTTAAAATTAATATCTTACATAATTGTATATAGAAACTGAATGATTCATACATTTAAAATACATGCATAATAATTTACTTTGCATATAACATTTTTGAACTTATATAATATTTAAGCATGCAATAAAACCAATAAATTCTGAATATGATCTACAGTTGAATATGCTCACATACAGTATTCAAAAATAATTTCAAGTCTTCAAGTTATGCATCGAATCAATCTGAATGGAACAAAACATGCCATGAATGATAACAAGACACACAGTGATAAATATCGCACTTTGAAGAGCAAACTGGCCACCATGCAATTTATCCAGCATGGCCAAAACCTAATCAGACCTTGGCACTAGTCTACTCTTGCATCTGTAAACATTTCAAGTTGACAAGGTTAGCGGTTTTCCTGCAATTTTGATGACAAGAATTTATTTGTAGTGTGGAACTTTGGGAAAATTTAGATAACATCGTTTGTGACCTAATTTGATGACCTTCGACCTTGAAAATTTAACTTTTTCAGACCTCAGTAGGTGTTTTGTAATTAAGCTGACCTAAATTTAAATCCAAAATATCAATTTAGAAAATCAACTTTTTTGACCTTTTCAAGGTCACTGAAGGTGAATGAAAGGTCAAATCTGAAATCTAAGGTCAGATTTGAACTTCTGAGAACTTGTAGATGTTTTAAAAAAAAAAAATTGGTAAATTTGGAGCAAGTTGAAAAATTCAAAATGGCCGCCAAATTGAAAAATTCAAAATGGCCACCATGTAATTCAGCCAGCATACCCAAAACCTAATCAGATCTTGGCAATAGTCTGCTCTTGCATCTGTAAAAATTTCAAGTTGAACGGATAAGTGGTTTTCCTGGAAATTTGATGACAAGATTTGTTGAAAAATTCAAAATGGCCACCACGTAGTTTACCCAGCATGCCCTAAACCTAATCAGATCTTGGCACTAGTCTGCTATTGCATGTGTAAAAATTTCAAGTTGAACAGGTTAGCGGTTTTCTTGGAATTTTGATGACAAGAATTGATTTGTAGTCTCAAACTTTGAGAAACTTGGATAACATCATTTGTGACCTAGTTTAATGACCTTGACCTTCGACCTTGAAAATTTAACTTTTTCAGACCTCAGTAGGTGTTTTGTAATTAAGCTGACCTAAATTTAAATCCAAAATATCAATTTAGAAAATCAACTTTTTTGACCTTTTCAAGGTCACTGAAGGTGAATGAAAGGTCAAATCTGAAATCTAAGGTCAGATTTGAACTTCTGAGAACTTGTAGATGTTTTTAAAAAAAAAATTTGGTCAATTTGGAGCAAGTTGAAAAATTCAAAATGGCCGCCAAATTGAAAAATTCAAAATGGCCACCATGTAATTCAGCCAGCATACCCAAAACCTAATCAGATCTTGGCAATAGTCTGCTCTTGCATCTGTAAAAATTTCAAGTTGAACGGATAAGTGGTTTTCCTGGAATTTTGATGACAAGATTTGTTGAAAAATTCAAAATGGCCACCACGTAGTTTACCCAGCATGCCCTTAACCTAATCAGATCTTGGTACTAGTCTGCTCTTGCATCTGTAAAAATTTCAAGTTGAACAGGTAAGCAGTTATCCTGGAAATTTGATGACAAGATTTGGTTTATGTCCCGCCCGCCCGCACGCCCGCACACCCGCACGCCCGCCCAACAGCACAAGACGACGGCAATATAGCACTTTTTCAAAGTGCGATAATAAAAAGAAAGGATGAAACTGAAATCAAACTGTAACATCTATATCAAAATGAATATCTATGAAAAATGGGGGTATGGTTGGATATTCATAAAAATGCTGTAAAGGTGAGGTGTTGTTATGGCAACTATGGTTGCTATGCCAACCTTGTCCTTTTTCTTCTTGTGTGGCGAGTGCTGCTCTTGCTTAGCCTTGGTAGCAAAAATTTAAAGGATTTGATTTTAAAATTCTACGTAATTTTTATACACTTTGAATAGGAATTTACAGTATTGGTATGAGCTGTGACGGACAGATTTGTTTTTATATTATTCGAATTTCGAAATAAATTACACAAATATATAAATACTCATTTCGAGATAATATTGTATTGGATATTATTGAAGTATGAAAGCAACCTTTGGTTAGACATTGTAATATTTTATCCTAAAAGGTATTCAACAATATTCAAAGCTCTTAAGAAGAATGTATTTTCACATTGGAATGTTACATTATATATTTACAACAAAAATAATCATGCACGTCACCTTATCCTTTTCCTTGATTTTGCCAGCCTTTCGTAAAAAAATACCAAAAATTTGTGAAAATCAAAAATGTAGAGATGATTTAAACTACTACTACTTTAAACAAAATAAAGCTAATGATATTAATTCCACCCGAAAAACATTTAAAACACATCATATGACACACACTACATGTTGATTTTATACAGGATATACATTATTAACCTCCCAAAGGGTGACTGTAAAAATTATATACCTCCACTGTAAGTCAAGATATTAATACTAAAACATGAGGTGAACAGTCTTAAACATTACAACAGAAGTTCACAATTTAACAAGTTTGTCAAATATATAACATGGGCTATTAACACTTATTTTGTTAGTTCAAAGACATTTGATTCTGCAGAGGTATACATAATATATTATAAACCTGACATTGACCAATCAAAGTGGAGTATTAAGATTGACATAACAACACTTGAACAGCATAAATGTCATGGACATTATCAACGCATGTACATGTACAATCAGATTTAATGAATTAAACTTTATACCTTGTAGGATATAGGTAGATTGCACTTGTTGATCATCCAGTATGGGCAGTAGAGTTGTGCATTCATATAGCCTTTCTCAGTCACTGTGTGGAGACCAAGATCCTGTAATATAATATAAGACATTGTAATGTATTCATTGTTTTATCCAAAGTTCTTAGATAACCATGTTTGTAACGAGACATTAACATGCGAAATTTCTCACAGACACTGATTGTTGAATGCCGAACAACAACCACCATCCATAAAAAAGTTATGGTGGTGACATAAAAAGAACTGTAGTTGTATGGCAGCCAATGGAACACAAGCCTGTTTGGCAGGGTCAAAGCCATTCAATAGGAGCAGTGGTTCAGCAAGTATAACCCAAGTAATTATCATAATACGGTTCAGTTTAGGATATGGTTCAACTGTTTTAATATCACCTTGCAAAAATCTCAATGGAGGTCATATTTCAAAATGAGGAACAAAAGAGAAAATAGTTTAACCAGCAAGGAAAAGCATGGAAGTGTAAGGATATCAGACAGATAAAAGTAAATAATCAACATGACTAGAGAGAGAAATATTTGTGGAGGGGGTATCTGTTATGAAAAAATAGCAGAGGACTCACGGCCATCAGCACAGGACAACGGCAATATAGCACCTTGAGTGCGAGTGCGATAAAAAGGAAATCAGACAGATAGAGAAAAAATGCAAGTTATGAGCATGACCAAAGAAAGATATTCATGGAAGGAGATATCTGTTATGAAGACATAACAACTCTCAATAAAATTATTACAATGATTGAAGACCAACGGAATGAATTATTCAATGATGATAATGTACCCCCTGTAATTTTCCTTTTTAGGGTCAAAATCCGAATTTTGACAACTTTTGCCCTGGATACGGCGTGTCAGACAAACATTTTCTGAAGTATCACATAAAAATACATAAGAAACAAGTAATTTCAATTTGTTCAGAAGCCGGTACATTTTTCGGTGCTAGCTTACTAGCTAAAAGGGCTAACTCACCATGACATGTTTGTTGGAGCCCTCCATTGCTTCGAATGTAATCACACTGAGCTCCTCAACTTTCTCTGTGAGAGAAATACAAGCTGTCCATTCTTTCTTCAGGTAATTAGATATCTAACAATGAAACGATGTTTAATTTAATCAAAATGATTATCATTAACATCAAATAATTGTTACTGCTTATGTAATCAACACTTATCAAGTGGAACAATGAATAAAATAAAATTAACTTAATTGAATTAAAAGCTTTGCTACAGCATACTTGTAATTTAAATTAATTGAATTAACAAATTTAAATTAATGAATATAAACAACATAGGTTACCTTGACCTCGAGTGTAGTTTGGCCAGGACAAGCACTGAGCAATGGAGACTTCTCCCCACAGTCAATTGTAGTTTCTGGGGTCTTACCCTAAAAGGAAACACGCAGAAGTGAAACTGCATATCATAGTGGTAACTTTGATACGCAAAAAAGAGTGTACTACAGAACATTTTCCATGACAAGTTATTCAGTTTTATGATTATCTACGTCATTGAAGCTTGTATTATTGTTTTTTTCAATATCAAATTCTGTAATTTTTATTCTATTTCCTCTCACCTCCAATGTATATTGTATCTTATATGGCAGTAGGTTATGAAAGACAACAGTTGGTTGTATGTCTAGCATGATTGACTTGGCAGTCTTTTCCTCTGTCTGCTCAAAGAAAACGTCCTCCGATCGACAATTAACCTACAAAATATTTGTATATTTCACATCATACATGTATACACAAACGTCATGGTGGTCCGATGTTTTAAATTGAAAGGACAAATACATATAAACATAAAATGATACTCAAGTGGTGTCAGGGGTACTAGCTATACAACTTTGTACATGTATCAGGTTGTACGTACATGTACGATGTACCAAGCTCTGAGAATTTATCAATCCGGTAGATGTAAATGTCTTACATTGAAGTAAAGAGGTTGGTGGGCTGTAGTAGACTCATTAGTGGCAAATTCACAGCTGACAACCTTCTTGGAGCCAGTCTTCAGATCAGACCATTTAATAGCAGTTGTAGAAACTTTATAGCTGAAAAATACAATATAGGCTATAGAGTAAATGTATGTAAAAATGTCAATATGCGGCAACAATCCTGCACTTCTTGAATAATTATATTGTAATTTAAATTCACTTAAAGCGGCAGTAGAAATGCCCTTTCTGGGCGATTACGCCGTGATTAACAATGTAAATTTATTTATGATTTTAAGAAGCGTTGTCCAGACTGGCAGTCATTCCCATTTGCCTCTAGGCATCCATGAACCACGAGGAATTAATTTTGTCTAAGGGAATATACTAGGAATATACTTATTTTTGATTGTAAATTCTAAAATACATGTAATATACTTGAAAAACTTACACTTTTTAACAAACAAAACCACAATTTATCAGTTTCAATAAATAGCCAAAAAATAATGAAAATTGCATAATATGAAACAACTTACTTTTTATCCGCTGGTTTGAAGAAGAACTCTTCAAAAGAGGAGTATACAGCATACATTGGTACATTGAATGTTTGGTCAGGTGCGACGACCCCACACTGTTCAATATCACCAGACTCTAGTTTGTAGTAAACTTCCAAATCAACAGGCAGATGATTGTGAAACTAAATGTAGAAATGAATGAGTTTAGGGGTAGGGGAATAACCCAATTGAATGATATCTGGAGGGAGAAAAATATCAGACACAGACGCACGCTACATGTATATGTATGTTGCATTGCCTTGACTTTTATGACAAGAAAATTCATACTTTATTATTCATGACAAGAAAATTCATACTTTATTATTCATGACAAGAAAAAGATTCACTTGAAGCATGAGGTAATGCAAGCATAATATGACATATAAGTTTTGATGACAGGACAATTCATTAATTGATAATGACAAGAAAGCACAAAAAGGTTCATAGATTACCTGGAGCATGGAGCGAAGAGTGATAGTCTTACAACCATAAGATGCAGACGTTTGACAAATGAGACTCCAAGGTTTCCCGGGGTAGGCAATCTGATTGATGGAATAGCCTCGCTCTTCCACCTTCATGATGTTCAACTCCCTCGTCGCATTGAACTGCTCCATCTATACACAGTTGCACATTCATTATTCTACATACAATATTTATATTCATTATTCTCCATATATATTCATCTTATTTACTTTAGGATGTATAGTGTTGACAACCCTGACCAATCAATGTACATGTATACTGTAAATGCCCATTGTTTCAAGGTGCCCTAATTTCTAGGTGTTTAACACAAATTCAAGGGTAATAACGGATTCAGTGGTACGTGGACTCAAACTAAAGTTCAAAAAAAAATTCTTTACAGTATTTCATATGTTTGACATCATAATGTACATGTAGTTGTTATAATCTGAATGCAATAATCTGAAAATATAACATTAATAATTCATAGAATAAAAGTAAACTTTAAAATTAATGGTTCATGATCAAGAATTATATAATACTAAAGCTAATGTAAATGTAATGTAAAAGAAATAGCAAAATAGCTAAAACAACTCTTACAGTTAGCAATATTTTCTTCTCTTTCTCTCCTTCTTGTGTTGCCTTGATGAGAGACTGTTTCCGTAGCAACTTGGCAACTTTTAGGCCCCATAATGGAAGCTCTTCTTGAGCCTTAAGTCCAACATGGCCATCTTTAGCCTGTGGAGGCATCTATAAAGAGAGATTTTTGAGTACAACCCTTTATGAAATATTACATTGCAATATTTTGTCTCTCAATTAGACCTTTAGCGTTGTATTTACGACAGATTGCTCATGAAATATAACAATGAAATATTTTGTGTCTGAAATTTACCTAAATCAAAATACTATCAATGTAATACAACCTGTGTAAGTGGGCACCTTTCGGAAATGAAAACCTTGAAAGGAGTTGGGTAAACTAGCAACAGAGAGTGCCCCAATTGAAGTGTGAAAAAACTTTTTTTAAGAATAGGAGAAAAAAACATCAGAAATGCATAGATTGAAGTCTATATTTTTGGGTAGTATTTTTAAAAAAATTTAGAAAAAATTGTTACGGTGTCTGGAGACCTTCAAAGAGGGTGGGGGCCAGAAGGAAAAAAATTCACATATTTTACAACCCTCTTGATGAATTCCAATTTACTCAGCTATGAATGAATGTTTTTGATTTATCTGTCCAGGATTATGTAAATATATATTTATTTGATCCATACATACAATTGATTTAAACAATATGTACAGTTTAGAGGTAAGTAAAGCTTTGAAAGGACATTTTATGCTGAGTCGGGGTGACATTTTTATTCACTGGAGGTAGTAATCCTTTGAGTGTTTTCACATAGAGCATAACAAGTCTCCACTCTAATAAGTGCTTCTTTAGTTACATAAATGTTATATTGTTGCATACAAAGAATAATTTTGATGGAGACTTATTATGCTCGATGTGAATTTTAGAACTTTATAGAAAATTTTGCCTGCCATTTTTGTTGATTATTCAAAATGGCCAAATGCTATTCATGCTGCATATGTAGGAAGCAGGTAAATTCTCCTAGAAAACGGAGAAAGGTTACAGAAGATTTAGCTTCACAAGTCAAGACTATTGCAACTAATAATAGAAGTGATATTGAGGTAATATAAGCTTGATTTGGGAGGAGATTGTTGTGATATTAGGTTGATAGAACTTATATTTTTTGATATTGCTTATGTAATGGCAATATGTTGGTAATTGGGCAGATATAAAGTTAATATTGGATTGATATTTGTCAGAAATTGCTATCGAATTGGGCTTATATTTGGGTGATATTGCTATAATATTGGGCTAATATTTGGGTGATATTGGATTGATATTGGGCCAATATTTGCTTGATATTTGGGTGATATTGCTATCACATTGGGCCAATATTTGGGTGATATTGGATTGATATTGGGGTGATATCGCTATCATATTGGGTCCATTATTTGGCTCATATTTGGCTGATATTGGATTTACAGTGGGATATTATTACAATCAGAATAATTGGGTGATATTTGGTAAATAAGAGGGTTGATATTGGACTGTTACTTAAATAATATGAGGCCAATACTTGGGTTATTTTGGATTGATATAGAGTGACATTTGATTGACAATTGGTTGATGTTGCTATGATATTAGGACATTATCTGGGTCATATTTGGACGATATTGAATTGGGTGATATTGCTATTGAATACATAGAAGTTATATAATGGGAGGGATGGAATATGAATTTTATCCTGAGGGAAAATATGATATTGGCAGAGGAAAATCATGAAATGTACATTCTGAATTTAAATGAATTAAAAATAATAAAGTATTTTCATTATTTTAGGTACTTTTGTTCTCTTTCAGTGTTGCGTGGGAAGGGCGGAATATATTAATATAAATATCTCATTATTGGCAAATTGCCAATTTACTATATATTGTAATTCCAACCTCTATGAGACTAAATTCCTACAGATATTTGTGATATTTTAACCAAAAAGGTATATTTTGGAAGAAAATAATGAATTTTTTAATTTGACCTTGACCTGGGGAATATGATCTTGACCTAAATTTTCATACATTTTTGAAACACATATATCACATAGATTAATAAAATAAAGGGAAAACTTGAAAATCAGGTGGGGCTTAAAATGGCCTTGTTTACCCAACTCCTTTAAAGCATAGAATCCTACACACATACATATAATAGTACTAGTATACACATCAAACACTCACCGTGAAAGTCTCATCCAGCTTACAAGTCAAGGCCATTCCTGTGTCATTCTTGAGTAGGTAAGGAGCTGTGACTTCCCCTGCTTTAACACTGGGCTCCACAAGGTTGTAGGCATCACCAAATGCCTATAAATCGTATGAATGAATAAGTCATTTGATATCCTGTGCTAAGGGCTGGAATCACTAAAATACATATTATGTAAATTCCACCAAGTGTAAATATGCACTTTGTGGGACGAGGTAGAGGGTGCATTACAAAGAAAAATATAAATGTTATTTACTGGGAGGGACTGAATATGGGTTTTATTCCAAGGGACAATATGATATTTCTTGAATGTACAAAGGGTCAGAGGGAAATACATGTATCATATTGTCATGAGGAATAAACCCATATTCAATCCAGACCAGTTCCATACATACCTTTCCCAGGTTAGTTAGGACCTCAATACAGGTCTTTGTGACAGTCAGCTGTAGGACGTCATATGATGTAACATTCAGTGACATCTTAGGAGGCTGGAACAACACTTCACCCTCATCTTCCTCTGAAGGTGGGGGTGGCAGGTCATCATTTTTACTGATCTACAAAACAAGCCATATTTATTGTTAACCTCTTGAATCCCAGGTTCTAAAATAGGTTGAAACCAGATAATATTTTCATTTTTGCCAACTTTTGACATTTTACTACATACATATACTATAGACGATGTTCAATTTAGTAAAATTAGACGACAGAGATCATTTCTAGACATTTTAAAAACAAATTTGTGTAAATAGGATAAAATTGTTCCAATAAGAGCAATTTTAGTGAAAAATTTTGTGACGGATTATCTGTCACTCTGTGTTTCATGGTCATTTCTGAGGTGACGAGAAATCTCGTCACTCTGGGTAGTCAAGAGGTTAATAGGGGCGACAGGCCATAATTTATATTCATGGATCTCCTCTATTGTTTCAAATTTATTTTATTTTTCAAATATAGGGGTTTGGACAGGTGTTCATACAGTCAGTCTCAGAGAAATTTCAATGGGTCAGAATAAAACAAGCTCAACATTCAGTTCCAAATTCTAACTTAAGATCATATGAATAAACTAGTCCCAAGGTAATTTCAATAGGTCAGAATAAAACAAGCTCAACATTCAGTTCCAAATTCTGACTTTTAAGATCATATGAATAAACTAGTCCCAAGGTAATTTCAATAGGTCAGAATAAAACAAGCTCAACATTCAGTTCCAAATTCTGACTTTTAAGATCATATGAATAAACTAGTCCCAAGGTAATTTCAATAGGTCAGAATAAAACAAGCTCAACATTCAGTTCCAAATTCTGACTTTTAAGATCATATGAATAAACTTGTCCCAAGGTAATTCCAATAGGTCACCAACTAATATTACCTCAACATTCAGTTCCCAGGGTCTGTGCCTGTTTCCATCCTCCACTGGTTCAATGAGAGGCTCCCATACGACCATATTCTCATTATAATAGGCCACCTCAAGACTCAAGTCACACTGGATGTTCAACTGAAAGGACATTCATTTCACTTATAAGTAGAGTCTAAATAGGCTCCCACTCAACCATGTTCTCATTATAATAGGCCACCTCAAGACTCAACCATGTTCTCATTATAATAGGCCACCTCAAGACTCAAGTCACACTGGATGTTCAACTGAAAGGACATTCATTTCACTTATAAGTAGAGTCTAAATAGGCTCCCACACAACCATGTTCTCATTATAATAGGCCACCTCAAGACTCAAGTCACACTGGATGTTCAACTGAAAGGACATTCATTTCACTTATAAGTAGAGTCTAAATAGGCTCCCATACGACCATGTTCTCATTATAATAGGCCATCTCAAGACTCAAGTCACACTGGATGTTCAACTGAAAGGACATTCATTTCACTTATAAGTAGAGTCTAAATAGGCTCCCATACGACCATGTTCTCATTATAATAGGCCACCTCAAGACTCAAGTCACACTGGATGTTCAACTGAAAGGGCATTAATTTCACTTATAAGTAGAGTCTAAATAGGCTCCCATACGACCATGTTCTCATTATAATAGGCCACCTCAAGACTCAAGTCACACTGGATGTTCAACTGAAAGGACATTCATTTCACTTATAAGTAGAGTCTAAATAGGCTCCCACACAACCATGTTCTCATTATAATAGGCCACCTCAAGACTCAAGTCACACTGGATGTTCAACTCAAAGGGCATTAATTTCACTTATAAGTAGAGTCTAAATAGGCTCCCACACAACCATGTTCTCATTATAATAGGCCTGATCTCAAGACTCAAGTCACACTGGATGTTCAACTGAAAGGACATTCATTTCACTTATAAGTAGAGTCTGAATAGGCTCCCATACGACCATTTTCTCATTATAATAGGCCACCTCAAGACTCAAGTCACACTGGATGTTCAACTGAAAGGGCATTCATTTCACTTATAAGTAGAGTCTAAATAGGCTCCCACACAACCATGTTCTCATTATAATAGGCCACCTCAAGACTCAAGTCAAACTGGATGTTCAACTGAAAGGACATTAATTTCACTTATAAGTAGAGTCTAAATAGGCTCCCACACAACCATGTTCTCATTATAATAGGCCACCTCAAGACTCAAGTCACACTGGATGTTCAACTGAAAGGACATTCATATTACAGTGTATTTATAAGTAGAGTCTAAATAGGCTCCAATACAACCATGTTCTCATATTGATTCAAATTGAATCAATTCTTGACTTTTAATTATCTAAAAAAGGTAACATTACGTTCTAAATTTTGACCCCAGACAACAAAAACTTTTTGTCGAGGGAAAAACATGAATCCTTAACTAACCTGTGTACTCCAGTCTTTAATCTCGCCCCTAAATCCAGCCTCAAGAATTAACATTGGTACAGTTCGTTTTCCGATTCCTCCCTCGATTTTCACAATTATTGTAGATATTGCAACCAGAAGCTGCTCTCCCCGTGATGGGGGTATGATGTCATCAGCTAGTGGGTCAACCAAATCCAGTGTCTCTTCTGTCACCTCTTCACCCTCAGCTGTAATCATATGACAACACAATATATTAATTATAAAAAATTTCAAACCAAACAGCATTTAATAGCTCTATTAAAATACTTGTATGACCGGTAAGTTTGATTCATCACTGGAATTGTGTAGAGTTTCAGATATGTCTTCGGTAGATTGTGAGTTTGATTCCAACAGATGTGGAGAAGATACTGACTTCTTGAAAGCAGTCATTTACTCTTTAAATGGCTTTTCCAGTACAGTAAGTGGAACATCTTTGGGGCCTCTAAAAATGTGTGTTCCACTTATAGAGGTTCATTTAACATCGAATCAATTTTTTTTTTATTCAATTTTAGTACATACATAATACACATGTAGTGACTGCCAAAGTTGAATCGAATCAGTTACTTTTGGGACTCTGAAACTTGTTCCAGTAACAGAGGTGTTCCATTTCTAGAGGTGTTCCACTTAACAGGTTTTACCATAAGAAACATAGTACAACACATACTGGGATAATCATTGTGTATATGTTGGACACTGTCAAGAAGAAACATTAAAGGAACTCAAATTAATTCCTTCAACCAAACGCTTCATCATGCGATATAACAACCAAATCTTAAAATTATTTTAACATACGTTTTAACACAGTCTAACTTGCCAAAGATTACTGTAACTTCTACAGTAAAAAGAAATATTATGTATATCATAATAGTGAAGCAATTCAACCGAACCATAATTTTTGTTATTATTTAATCAGGAAAATGATCTCCAAAATAAGCCTCATAGGATATCATTCATTCCAGATCAAACCATACTATAACAATGATATATGATTTCTAATTTGTAAATGTCCCTATTATGTGTCTTTTTCCACAATATTGAAAGTGATTATTATATTATATAAGCCTTTTATTGTTTTTCTTGTATAGCACACATCTGGTTAATCCCTTACTATCCCATACTATAATTGAATTCATAAAATACATAATTCAATATGTCCTAGAAAAAAGAATTGTGAACATGCGTGCTTATGCCTCGAAACAAAGTATTTTTTCAGCTTAACATATACATCATGATGTATAATCAAGCATCCTCGTTAGTGAGATTTTTTATATCCTATCATGTCTTTCAATTAACATATAATGTGTCGACTTAATTTCAAATTGTGGCTTATTTTGACATGAACCATTTTAATGAGAAAAGGTGTTTGAGTTATTCAGAAACGGTGAAATTCAAGCAATTCTATTGTCCCATGTAGAGTAAATCCATCCCGTATTTTCATGCTGCGGGATACAGCATCTTTATTCCTCTCTGATGTTACATGCCAATTATCATCGAATAAAACATTAAATGACGTAAAATGTGTGTTAACGAAAGAATGGCAGCAATAACAAAAGAGTGACGTTATTATGAAGTCAGTGGCAGAACCATTGGGGTCACCGAGGATGCCTCCCCTAAACCAATGTCTTGAAAAATTTTCAAGATTTGAAATCCCAACTTATTCTGGGAAATAAGATATTTCAGTGCTTTGAAACATGAAATATTGTATGCTTATATTTGCTCTGAAATTGCCCAGAATGCACCAAATGATGTTTAATTTCCGTTATTTGCTGGGGACTCTAATCTTGTGCTCATTCGTCTAGGATCACTGCTCAAAGCCATTATCAACCCCCCCACCCTGACACAAAATCGGTGGCTGGATGAGATATGAGTTAAGTTTGATTGCATTGATTTTCCAAATCCCTTTGTTTCCTACAGTTTAAGTATATGAAACTTCCAATAATCATTGTTATTCAATTAGTCCTACCATAATATGACAACATGAATTGATTAGTGAAATAGCTCCCTTCCAAAAATGTATTGTTAAAGGTCTAATAATGTTATCCAAAATTGTATCTTTTCAGATAATATTTCACTATATTAATCCAAAGTGTCTGTTTTATCATATAAAACCTTTGAAATATTTCTAATACTAAAAATTAAAATTCTATTTATTACACAAAGAAAGCTTTAGGTTTTTAAAGAGTCGGCTTAGTTATATATAAAAGCAGAGATCAAGTTTTAAAACTGCAATTACGAACTAAAACATTCATAAAGACTACAAAAATACGAAAACTTTGTTGAGATCATCAAGACAATTAAAGGTATGATATTCAATTGATTAATTATATATAGACAATATCATATAATTAACCAGATTATTTTAATAACTTCAATGTATTAATGAGAAAGACTAGCTTGCAAAAAGAGATATGCAAAACCTAAAGATTTATTTTAATTTTCGAATTCAATGTTTGAATATGTTTTTTGGATGTTGTACATATTCATATTACAATGAACTGAGATCATATTATCAAGATACAATCAATAGCTCCAATATGTATACAATACATAGAGGTAATGCACTAAGAGGTTTTCGATACATGTTTTATTCTGAGGAAAATATGTGTACTTATTGAGGGATGACAGGGACCAAGAGAGATGCACAACTTTCCGAGGGATAGACCCTGGATCCAAAATCGACCATACCATACTATACAGATGTATTCCATATGTACTGAGGTTCTTGGTACCTCACAAGATTCCAAAATATTCAAAAATGGAATTTTGTAACATCAATTTCAATTATCAACAATTTTTCTTAAAACATTTACTAATAAATTCATATTTAGATTTTAAAACTTTTCAAAAAACTGTGAAAAAAATCAAAATACCTCTAATTCTCTCTAATAAGCGCACAGTTCCAATTGGCACACATGCAACTTTTATGTTGAAGAGGTGTCAAGAAAACAGGAAGTTTAATGCATTAGTTTCGATTATTAACACAACAAGATATTAATTGATGATTACATTAAAAGGAGAGAAAGAAATACAGGAGATGTAGAGTTTGTAAACCTTAATAACAACTAAAAAGATTGACAATGATATTTTTTTCTAATTTTTTTTTAATGTGAATTGGAATCTCGTACCTTTAAATTAAAAGTGTGTCATGCTTATGTAGAGCTAACTAAGTTTTTCAAAAAGGCCTTAGTAAGCTCTAATGTCCTGATTAGGAACCCCTATTCTTACAATTGAGTTACAGATGGACTTAAGGACGGTGTATTTTTATAGTAAACATTCTTAATTTGTTTACTATTTTTATAGTTAACATTTTTTTTTATTTATTGCGATTTTTTTTTTTCATTTATTTATACAATTTACTCAGTATTTTAAACTATTTAAAAAAAATTATAGGCATATCTATTTTATTTAAAAATGGAAACCTGTTAGGTATGGGGTTACCATACATACTGATGGAGCCATTTTCTATATCCCCCTGAACTTCGTTCCATGGGATAACTACTAACTACTCTAACTATGAGCTACTATAGAGATTCAAGGATGATTTTCAATATCCAGGTTTCATGTTAGGCTAAGAGAAGTCAAAGATGAATTCTTGAATAATTCTCAAATCAAGAAGGATTCTCAGATAATTATCAAAATGACCTCTAGAGTCTAACGTAAAAATATAATTTATTCTCTTTTTAAGTTGAAAGATGTCACCACGTGTAATTGCCATAATGCTTGTGTTGGTGATGGTAGGATGCACTAATATGGGTGTAGACGCCGGGGTATGCATGCCATGTCTTGAAAAGGCAATAGAATGTTCCAAAATTCCATCAGGGAATGATCCAGCCAATGATCCTAGGGAAGATTGCTTCACCGAGCATGATGCTTGTAAGGCAGCTGCTTGTGGAGAAGACTAGATAACAAATGCTGCATGTTGCATAATTAATTCTGTTAATAAATGATGAAATAATAAAGGACCCATGGCCCTGTGGCCTGTGGTCACACAGTGAATTCTAACCACATTGTGTTATGAAAGGATTTTGTACAGAAATAAACTTTTTTTGTCCAAATTAAATGAGTTACTAAGTCGTTGAATTACTCAGAGTTAGACCTAGGTAGGTACAAGTGAGGAATAACCCCAGGGTCTATAATGTAAATCTGTATTTAGAAGACTAGACATCGTCGCTGATTGGTCAAATCGACAGACAAATGACATCATTCAATTGCCGTTTGAAAATTTCTGACAAGTCAATATCATAGCTTGTTATTTTACATCAAGATAAAGAAAGATGTTGGGAGTAGATCAAAACATCATAATCACACATTGTATTCGTAAACTAGCCAGTGAAAATTCTGACAAACGAAGCTGGAAAGCAAAAACTTTGTCTGTCATATCTAAAGCTCTGGTGATTTCCCTGCTCTTGGTAGGTACTAAGTAATGCCTAGCTCACATAAGCTCCGATTCATTGTACAGGTACCAGCGGATTTGTCTTTTTCAACATCGACCGGACATCATACAGGCATTGTACAGGCACTGGCCAATTTTAGACCTCGTATGGGCACCGGGAGAATTTAATGTCAGACATTAATGCCTAGCTCGCATAAGCTCCGATTCATTGTACAGGTACCAGCGGATTAGTCTTTTTCAACATCGACCGGACATCATACAGGCATTGTACAGGCACTGGCCAATTTTAGACCTCGTATGGGCACCGGGAGAATTTAATGTCAGACATTAATGCCTAGCTCACATAAGCTCCAATTCATTGTACAGGTACCAGCGGATTAGTCTTTTTCAACATCGACCGGACATCATACAGGCATTGTACAGGCACTGGCCAATTTTAGACGTCGTATGGGCACCGGGAGAATTAAATGTCAGACATTAAAGTTGCTGATGTCTAATCAATTTTTCTCTCAATCAAACTCATCGAAGCCTGTAACCCTGCTGGCGCCCGTATGGGCATCATATGATTATTGTATGGCTATCGGTGACATTGTATGGTCATTCTTTGATTTCAATGAAATGATACAACTGGATTCTAATCAAAATACATTGTATAAAAGTTAAATAAAAGTTTTCACAAAAAATGAATTACACATACATGTACCTGTATTGTAAAATATAAATCAAATGAAGACATCCAGATGGGTGGCATACAGCAATCGTATACTATATACGAGTATATAGTACGAGTATAAT